CAATGTATGGTCCAGCAAAGGGGTGCAGGTCAACTCGGTCACAAGTCAACTCAGTCCGAGTCAACTCGGTCCTAAGTGGAGTCAACTTGGTCCCAGGTGAACTCGGTCCCAAGTGAAGTCAACTCGGTCCCAGGTGAGCTCGGTCCCTAGTCAACCCGGTCCCTATGGTAAAAAAAATTAATGTGCGCAAACAAAGGTCTGATAATTTGAGGCCTCTTGTATTGTTGACGTACATGTGCATCCCCTGATGTGGTATGGCCCCTAACGTGACGCAATTTGATTTTTCACCACTTGTGTCTTCCTCGAGCAATTTTTTTCCCTCAGATTTCACAGTTTACCTGGGACCGGGGACCGAGTTGACCTGTAACCGAGTTGACTCAGACTGAGTCAACTCGGACCTACCTCCATGGACCAAGTTGGTTTGGGACCGAGTTTGACTTGAAACCCAACAGAGGGTGTATTTGCTTTTTAGATTATATGTTCATCTGAGTAGCAAACAAAATGGCGTGCTGTTGGCTTATAAATGTTGGGTTCAGCAGAATTAACACTTTTGGTGGGAGTTTGGATTTCCCATGATATATAACAAATTTTTCTTTTTCTATAAATTTTCAACTTGCATTGTTCCATCAACAAAAACCCTCCTTGCCCCTTTTTTTTTTATGTCTGCGACTTTTGAAAAAAAAAAATCTTTGGAAAAATAGTAGGCCTAAATTGTTTTGGCACAAACAGATTCGCTTTGCGAGCAACCGACTCCCGGCCCGTACATTATTGATACTAATTGTGAGGCAGGAACCAGCCTACCCCTCTGCAGTTGCAGCCAATAATTTGAAATTATGAAGTAATAATTCAATAACTAAACATTTCTTTTTTGTTTGATGTTTCACTCAAAAGTGAATAACTTTTGTTCGACTTCAAAAATAGCAATTTAGAAAGGAAATCTATTTTTTTTTTCGGGATGAAACTCGAAAATAGCACGGAAATGTATCTTTAGCTCTGTCTTGTATTTGTAATTTAAAAAGGCTCGTTACATGTGTACAATTGAACCCTGATAAGAAAAGCGCTGTAACATCCTGCTTATAACAAGGAAAATGTTAGGTCCCAAGTCCTTGTTTTTCTTTGTTTTCCATTACTGGTAATACAAGGTACCTGTTTTAACAAGGTAATTTGTCAAGTTCCAAGGACCTTGTTATAAAGGTGTTCGACTGTACTTGTCTTTGTATAGGTATACATGTTCGTCCACATCTACATGAGGGCAATAGAGTTAGGGTTATCGCAACCTGAGAGAAATAATCCAGTTCTCATATTTATTTTACTGCCGCTGGGTAGTCTTCTTCAACAGTGGTGTTATGTAACCAATGTGATACATGTACAATGTACAGGTACATTACAGGTTGATCACTGTACATGTACATGGATGCTCATGGATGTGTGCTACATGTGCCAAATGTACATACATCCAATCAGTGGGTGTGTCTAGGAATCAAAGTTCATTTGCTAGAATTAGTCTAGAATCAAAGTCCGCAGTCAGAAACGAATCCTGTTTGAGCTGGATTATTAAGCAATTTCTGTTTACCATCTTGATAGCAGATAACGTGCCAATTGTGTATTTGTTTATCTAGATTTGCTCCAGTAAGTGTCCTGCTGAGTTGGCGTTCAATTGCGTAATAACCACCACGTTGCTTTTTATACTCAATCTGCATGTATACCAGGAATCTTTTACATGTACATGCATGCTGCTTTGTAGTAAATCTGCTGGGCCCTAAATCAAAAAAAAAATACTGGTAGCATTTCATAATTACTGGTACGGTCGCATTGTTTAATCTAGACCATTATCATGTTGCAGCTATCTTGTTTTTTTTACCCATTCAAATCAACGTAACCAAAGCGAGGCGGGAAGGAAAAATAGTCTGGTTCCTTTTTGCACAAAAAAAATATCATTCAGTACTGTTATTGGATACAGGGATCATGACTGAAATGGTGGCAGCATGATATAGGTCTGTAGTAACAAGAGGACAACGAATGGTTGAAAGATTTTTGACATTCAAACTTGCTCCGTGATGTCAAAACAGCAGTCTTGTGTCATGCTCAATAATAATTGTCAATATGCGAGAACTATTCCAAATGTTTACACAATAATTGACTTACATCCTAAATGAAAATTTCACTGAAATATTGAAAAAACCTTAACCCTAACTCCGTAGCGTCTTTTACAGGAACTGGACCAATTCCATCAAAATCCATCAATCACTGTGCGTCCAATACAAAACTGTACATGACATAATGGAATCCACCACTGACACACTGGTTGGCATTCATGGACTTGCTACACATGGCTTTTATCACAATAGCAGTACAGGAAGCTATAGGCAAAATCAATCGGATACCCCTAGCACTGCTTCAGTTCAGGCCATTAGGCCCATTGTAAGTTCATCATATACACACTGTACATGTACTCCATCAATATTTAGTCATGCCAGGCCTTCTGGCATGTCTGGACCAAGTCCCCCAAAATCCACCAAAACCGGGGTATGGATTTTGATGGATTTGGGGTGGTTAGGGTTATGCCTATACAGTATATGAGAATATTGGTGACTGCTCTATGTTCCGACACCCCTATGTTCCGACAACCTAGATTGTGTTACTCCCGGTTAGGGTTAGGGTTAGTGTTAGGAATAGGAATATGTGCAGTCGGAACATAGGGGTGTCGGAACATAGAGGTGTAACCAGAATATTAACCCTAACTCCCCAGCCTAATTTACCAGGAACCATAATTCCAACACCCACATGGGAAATTGTACACACACACTGTTGGACTTGGTTTCTGGAGGTATGCCAACCTCAGTGTCAAAGACCTTCAGTTTAGGGGTACTGTACCTATCCCAACAGATTTAAACAAAACCTGCTGCGGAACTTTGATGGGTTGAGTTCGGTTAGGGTTAATGGTGGACCATTTGAGGACATTGGAGGTACGTTAATTAAAATAATAACCAAAAAGAACGAATTTTTCTGGTGACTTTCTGAATCTGTTTCCCTTCATCTATGATTGTTTTAATGTGCTTTTGGCATTAATCCAAGAGGAAACTTAAGGCCTCCCTGACATTTAGAATGGCGTGATGCAATGTACACAATGTACATGTATGTGTACATGTTGCATTGCATCGAGTACAGGTACTACTGAACACTGAACATGTGGACTGTAACATGCAGGAGATATTATGTACCGGTAGGGGTCTGATTCTCAATGTACATGTACTACATGTATGCATGTGTAGTACATGTACACCACTGTACCGGTAGCGTAATCATGCATGATGTTCACGTACCGTTTGATTTGAGAAAACATGAAATATCATCTTGTGTGTTTAGCTCATCTCACTTCCAGTACTTTTCCACTCACAGCTGTTTGGGTTTTAGTTTTTTGTTGTGGTATTACTTCTATTCACAATCACCAACCACACACTTTATTGTGTTGCAAATGACAATACAAACCGAGTCTCTCTTGGGAGTGGGACGGTTCATCATTAGGATGTACATGTACATAATTTTCTTAAGGTACTCAATTTCAGCCAGTGATGTGAGAATGAACAGCTGGTTTGCTTTGTTGTATACTGCTGTAAGCAGTTGTGTGTATGGCAATGGAGAAAAATATTCATGCATTGAATTAGTGTTTTCACAGTTGATGTCTTCTAAAATACCCCAAGTTGCCTTATTTGTTCCCCTCCAATTGTGGGTATTTTTTCTATAAAAAAAAACAGTTGAGAAAATGATATCCCAAGTCCAGTGGCAGTTGTAGGATTTTTCAAATGTTGTTGAACTTGAAGCCAACTCCCAGAAAGTCTAAAGGGTTTAAGCAATGAACCAATATTAGCAATACTGTATTTCAAGAAAAGGAAATTAAGGATTTTTCTAGTGCAAGGTAAATACTTAGCATTGATCAGAGTGGGATGTTAGGCCCCCCCCCCCTCCCTAAAAATATGGACTCCATGCTCCAGTATCCCCTGAATAGTTAAAAAGGGAGAGTTGATGGGAAGCTGCTTGGAGGGACACAAGTGCTTTGGCGCAGTACGCATGATGCTCAGACAAAGACGCTCTAGATGGACTTGTGCACATTCAGAATAAATTTGTTGGGCATATTTCGGGCCATACAATGTACATGCGCGAACCAGTGGGTTGGTTATCCATTCAGACTGAGGACTTGGGACAATGGGGTGTGTGCGATTTCAGTGAGCCTCAGGACCTGGGCCCAATTTCATAGCGCTGCTTAACAGCAGACTTTGTGCTTACCGAGCCTCCATCTATTTCATAGGGACCGTTAAGCAGTAAGCACAGCAAAAGCACGCTTAACCCCAGAAGAAAACTTTGCTTAAATCAGTGACGTAACAATAGAATCTCCATGCGCGCGCAACCATTAGCATGAAATAGTGCTTAAGCAGGAGCATAATTTTCTGCTATAGTAAGCACAACTTTTCTGCTTACTGTTAAACAGTGCTATGAAATTGGGCCCTGGGCCCAGGTCCTCTCGAGAATTCATGTACAAACCTTATGGGAGCTGTCGAGAAAAAGTTATAGTACAAACAAAAGTGAACAAAAGAAGGAAAGGGGCAGGTCCTTGTGAGTATAGTAAAGACAAGTTGGGTGCACATACTCGGTCTGTCCCAGTGGTCACAATGAACCATCTACAGGCGACTCTCATTAGTACAAACTCTGTTAATACAAATTCTGGTTCTAACAAACATAAAGCCTTGTTCCTGACTGCGCATTTATGTGCACAATGAATGGGACTGATGTTCCTCTTAATACAAAATTCTGATATAACAAACAATTTGGCTAGGTCCGAACGAGTTTGTATTATTAAGGAGACTCAACTGTACATGTATAGTTCATGCACTGAGCCCATGTGAACATGTGTACAGGTAACATTTGCAGTGTGATTGAAGTTTTAGAATTGCGATGACAATTTTTGAGCAATTTTTTTTCCGTTGTTGCCTTTTTGTTTGCAGAGTATTTGGGACAAGATGAAGATTGCCGTCATCGGACAGAGCCAGTTTGGGGAGGAGGTCTACAAGCTGATCAGGAGTAACGGTCACGAGGTGGTTGGAGTCTTCACGATACCTGACGTCAACGGAAAGCCAGACCAACTAGGTATTGTTGTCGGCGTTTTATTGTTTATAAAATGCTACTTTTTGTTTGTGGGCTTAGACATTTTACACACGTGATTTGAGAGCTGCATACATAGCTTCAGTCAAGACTTTTGCCCAAATGTGCATGTTTAAAATCTATCACACAGTCGGCTATCTCACTGACAATTATTCTATAGAATAAAAGAAACATCCAATGGGGGAAGAATTCCATTTAGATAAATGAATTTTGTTGGGGGATTACGTTATATTATGTTTACCCATACTCCCTAGGCATTTTTGCTAGGATGTAACTCAATGCTGCAAAATCCTCCAACTGCCTCCATGTAAAAATCCTGCAAAATCCTCCGTTATTTCTTGAATGTGGTCCTTGGAGGGGTGACCACTGCCTCAATCCTGCAAAGTCCGCCAGCAATCACTGTCAATATGTTGAGGCAGAGCTAGTGACATCCTGGAGAAGTGTGGAGGATTCCAAGTATAATATAGGCCTGAATTTACCGGTAGGCATGGCTGAGCATAAACAACACAAGGTTTGGCCCAAAACCTTGACATAACGCATCCTCCGAAATCAGCAGCACTCTTTTGCCATATTGTAGCTTCAATCCTGCAAAATCCTCCATTTTGCAAAGAGGATATTGGAGGATTTGGGAAGGTTAGGGTAAATTATATTGAATTCACTCTTTGTACCTGTACATGCAATATAATGTGTAATGATTTCTTTTTTTTTCTCGACATTCAGCGGCCACTGCAGAGAAAGATGGCGTCCGTGTTTTCAAATTTCCAAGATGGCGGGTCAAAGGTCAAGCCATCCCAGAAGTCCTGGAGGTTTGTTTCACTTCATATCACACTGTTTTCAAAATCATTACCGTAGTCAATTTTTTGGATCAAATAAAGAAAATATAAACACAGTTAAATCACCTGCCTTGCAATTTTGCACCAGCTTTCTACCAAGCTGGCAGTGCTGTGTTCAACAATAAATGTCAATGCTCACTATGCACTATTCAGCCAAGCACATTGAACTAGTACACAATAGCAGTGATTTTTGCTGTTTGATATCTGTGAGTATTTTGCAGCTCAACAGAGGTGACTTGCTTTTAACGGACGGTAACACTGTATAAAACGTACACATGAAAGTCATGCTTGGATGTTTTACAAATTTCACAGAAAAAAAAATCAAAACTCATTCCATATTTCTACTTTGTATTCCTGTGGTTGTGCCAATCACATAATTATATCGATGACAGTTTGTTTGTTTGTTTGTTGGGGTGTTTGTTTGTTTGTTTGTTTTAAAGGCGCGTAGGAACATTGGTAATAGCCCAGATAAAAATTAAGATAGGGCTGATACTAAGTATCATGTGAAATCATTTTACTAAAATAGTATAATTCGGAAGAGAACAATCACTGAAGGAGGTTATAATAAAAGCATGCCCCTGGCACTCTTATTTCTACATGTATTATCAATTGAATCCAGTTATTATGAGGCTCAAAATACATTTTTTGTTATTTCTCAAAATGTTTAGTAGCCACTGAGAGGAAATTTCAACAGGTTAGTTGTTGTACACCCTCCTTAAGATTTGGAGCAATTTTATTGCTTCAAATAAACCAAAAAATACCCAAAGAGCAAATCGTCTCATCAGTGTAACAAGGTCGTATCTCCTAAAATGACATAAACGCAAAACGCGAGTTTTTGAATGTCAAAAGGTCGTATCTCGCTTAAAATAACCCGGATGTACACGCAAAGTCAATGGACGTCGAGATATGACCTTGTTGCACGGAGCGTATTCGCGCGAGATACGACTTTGTTGCAGAATCGAGTTACGACCGTGTTGCACTGACGCAACGAAATGATCCTACCTGTATGTATATTTTAAGAAGCACTCGTCAGTCTCCCTTTGATGTGACATGTGGGGTGTAGAATTGCTTAGAATTGCATTAGTTTCTCATCATGATCTTTGTTTTGGTTGGTTGCCCATGACAGGCCTACCGGGAGACCAAACCGGACCTGAACGTCATGCCGTTCTGCTCCCAGTTCATTCCATCGGAGGTGACAGACCACCCGCAGCATGGCTCCATTGTCTACCATCCCTCCATCCTTCCAAGACACCGAGGGGCTTCAGCTATTAACTGGTAGGACAAATCAACACAGGGATGTGATTTCTTCAGGTTTTTTTCCGGAAATCCAGTTTTTTGGGCCTCAAAAGTCCACCAACGTGAATCATGTGAATCCGTTGAGAAAATAGGGGGTAGAATGTGCTAGAATGCGTTGCCGTTAGCGGTGTCATGTGATTTTTCGCTCTAGTCCGAGGTGGTGATTATTTAGGTCTAGTTCCTGTGTCGGTATTGAGATGCACGTGTTGCGCTGGTCAGGTGTACAGACTTACTAATATTACTCAGCGTGCACAATGCATGGCATACAGTACAGTACAATCATGTGGATTGTGCACGTTGTAGTTTTACGTGTGGGCTGGGAGTAGTACGAGTGTTTGGGTACGTATGCTTCCAACATGGCTGCGCCCAACAAGTCGATACTGTCGCAAGGAGATTGATCAGTGCGAGAGCTTGATAAAGAAGTGAAAAATAAGTTCCGGTGGGAATGGTTTCGGGACTCCGTTATTATTGACGGGCATCAGCATGAATTTCAAGAGTGTTTCGATAAAATAGCAACCGCTGGCAAGGTCTTTTGCAATGTTTGCATGACATTATCAACTACGCGTCGAGTGGAGAGAAATCGCTCGTATCCCATGTGCATGTGAAACACCCAAAGCACATCAAGGCATGGCAAATACAGCGAGGTAACATGAAAATGCATGGTTCTTAACTTTGAGTACAGAAGAAACTTTATAAGAACAAGAGTACATTTTAACAAATGAAGGAAAATTCTTCTTAAAATTAAAACAAATTCTGCTCCAAAATCTCAGAGGAAAGTGCCCAGTAATCGCCTCAGATTGCACCACAGAGCAATTTTGACAGTCAATTGACTGGAGGCATTTGCACATTGCTACCAATGCCCAGGCCTAAGTTACATCACAAATCAACCGCTAGTCAACTACCGGTAATGGTCTTCACCGGAAACTTGTTTTCCTTTGTCGTAGGACTCTGATGTGCGGTGACAATTATGGTGGGTTCTCAATCTTCTATGCCGATGATGGGCTGGATACCGGTCCCGTGCTTCTACAGAGAGAGGTGTACGTCGACCCCAACGATACCGTGGATACATTGTACAACAGATTCCTGTATCCCGAGGGTATCAAAGCTATGGTAAGACACTGTGGGATGGGGTGATTCCTGGGGCTTTGCTGATTATACCAAATATTCAATCATCAACGGAAAATCAGAATAGAATTTTTTAAATTCCAATATCAAAAAATGTGAGCAGGATATTAGAAAGAACATATCGTCATTTCTATGTAACAAGATGCAAACTGGCGCGTGACGTCATGTACAAGAAACGCAAGTTTTCAGTGTCAAAAGGTCCTATGACTCGTATCTCATGTAAAATAACCGGGATGTACACACAAAGTCAATGGACGTCCCGACAGGCGAGATACGACCTGGTTGCGCGGAGCATATTCACGCGAGATACCACTTTGTTAAAGAATCAAGTTACGACGTTGTTGCACTGACGCGACGATATACACCATGTGACAAAATTAATGTTGTGGTCACGTCATGCCAACTTTTAGCAACCGGTTCTCTTCTGCACTGCATGCGTACCGGTATGTCTCGAAAGATAATAGAGAGGTTTCGCATGCAAACGGATACGTTTAGTGCGACGGATACGTCATGAGTTATGACGTCATACGCCACTCACTATCCGCTAAACGTGCAGACGACACGCATATCTCGCTCGCTACACGTAAGTAAAAAACGGATACGGAAAGCTAAACGTAAGTGTTAGCGTATCCGTTCGCTTGCGAAACCTCCCTATTGATTGAAAGTGTTGACAGTTTAGTGTGGGCCAAATAACATGCAAACAATGCTAAAACAATTGTAGCCTTTGCCGTTGCCGGTCAGCATGATGTCACAGGGCTCATGGTCGATGAGATGTGCGGTTTGATTGTTTGTCAAATAGGCCACTTTCGCGTATGTTTGGAAAGCTTCCATGAGGAATATGAGCTCAGAATTCTTTTTAAAATCAGTTAAATAACAGCTATTCTTGCTACCTCGTTATGTTGTTTTAACCAGCTCACTGTCAAATTTCGTCAAGTCAGGCAGCCATTTTAGGCTGGCCCATGTTTAAAATTTGATCAGTGCATTTTGACTATTTGAAATTGACCAAGTTAATAGAATATTCAATTAACCCTAACCGCCCTGAATCCTTCAGAATCCTCGTTGCCAAAGTGGAGGAATTTGGAGGATTGAGGTTACATGGCAAAAGTGCGTTATTGATTTCGTCGGATGCACTTTGTCAAGGTCTTCGGCCGGACCTTGTGTTGTTTTTGCTCAGCCATGCATCAATATAGGCCTGGATTATGCTTGAAATCCTCCTTACTGCTCAAGGATGTCACTGGCCAAGCCTCAACATACTGACAGTCACTGCCACAGGATTTTGCAGGATGCAGGCATTGGTCACCCCTCCACGGACCATATTCAAGAAAAAATGGAGGAATTTGCAGGATTGAGGCTGTATGCTATTTTTCCATGAGGCCAATTGGAGGATTTTGCAGGATTGAGGCTACATCCTAGCAAAAAAGGCCTAGGGAGTTAGGGTTATGAAATAACTTGAAAATGCACAGCCCTGTGACAAGACAAGATGCATGATAAGACTTCCATTGAATAGCCCTTCCGAATCAGTTGCATGGAAGTTTGTGGTACCACCCTTACGAGATTTGCCCTGTCTTGTTTTGGAGTTCCAAGCTTAATACAGCCAGTTATTTCCAATGTTTTCTCTCAGGGTGAGGCAGTGCAGATGATCGCTGACGGCAAGGCTCCCAAGGTGACCCAGCCTGAGGAAGGAGCAACCTACGACGCCATCTGGAAGAAGAAGGAAGTCGCTGAGGTAGGATAAGCATTCCGACCAAGTCATGGACAACATCATTATGTTCCACTTTATGCAGGAACATCACTCGCATTCTTTTGACAGCTTAACTCACCACGTATTCAACAAACTTGGCAAAAAAGGTTTATTGGCCTTTTTTTTTTTTTTTTTTTTTTTTTTAAATCATTGGTGCTTGGTCATCAGTGACTGAAGAGATGCCAATAAGTTATAAATGAATATTAAACTACCCTTTTAGACTGAGCCACTTTGACAGTGTTCAAGTCAAGTTCATAACTTTTACATGTTAACTCTAACCACCCCAACTCCATCAAAATCCATCCCCTATTTTGGTGGATTTTGGGGGACTTGGTCCTGGAGGCCTGGCGTGACTAAATATTGATGGAGTATGATGGACTTAGGCCTAATGGCCTGAAGCAGTGCTAGGGGTATACGATTGATTTTGCCCAGCTTCCTGTACTGCTATTGTGATAAAAGCCATGTGTAGCAAGTCCATGAATGTCAACCAGTGCATCAGTGGTGGATTCCATTATGTCATGTACAGTTTTGTATTGAACGCACAGTGATTGATGGATTTCGATGGACTTGGTCCAGTTCCTAGTAAAAGACGCTAGGGAGTTAGGGTCAACCCATCATTTTGGGAGTACAAATATACCTTTTTTTTCAATACACCCTGTGTATCCCTGCAAGCAATATCTTGCATGTTTGATTTTGCGTCAGAGGGATAAGTAAGATTTGAGGTTTTGCATGGTGGAGATACTAAATATTGAAAGGTTAGCGGAAACACCATGTGCGAATAATTTCTCAACTAAGAGAATGGTTCTTTTCAGAACTCGATATAAACTCGATGTTCCGGTCAGTATGCTCTGACCATCTTCAGGAGAGTGCCTAAACTCTATGGAAGTCATCAGAGGGATGCAAGTTTTGTGTTTTACCTTTCGTGATTATGATTCCATAGCCACTGTATACTCATTGGTTTTCTTTTAACGTCGGTGTTTCAGATCAAGTGGGACCAGACAGGAGAGATGCTGCATAACTTCATCCGTGGTAATGACATGATCCCTGGAGCATGGGCCACCATCGACGGACAGGTACATATACACACACTGCCATCAGTTGAACTACATAAAGGCCACTTTATACTTATACACGTGGAGTGCTGTGGACTCGTGGTTAAAGGGCATTGGGTTCGTTGTCTGCAGGTAAAGCTGCAGGTTGTGGGTTCAAGTCCAGCCTGGGGTCATGGTGCGTGTGCCCTTGGGCAAGGCACTTTGTCACGCATTGCTTCTCTCCACCCAGGAGTAAATGGGAACCTGCGAAGGTACGGGCCACAATGCGCTGATTTTGAGCTACTGCAGAAGGGGTCTCATGGCCTGATGAACAGGGGTAACAATTGTAAAGCGCTTTAACACCTTTGGTACAAGGCGCTATATAAGCAACGCATTATTATTATTGAAAGTGAATGAGAAGCCAAAATTGGATGTCATGAAACGCGCAACTTGTTGGTTGATTCACGGGGTGAATACTTCACAGATTCACATTTGCTTTTGCTTCAAGTGTGAAGCTATCGTAATGATCTGTGCAGGATTGACATTTTTCAGACTGTACATGGAAATTAGACTTTTTAAATCTGAGAGAAAGACATTATCAGAAATGCATCTTTCAAACCTTTCATCTAATTTTTAGACTTTTTAGTTTTTAAATTGACAGTGACAATATCATGTGGGACTGTCCCGATATAGGCACTCATGTGAGATGATAATATTAGTTATCTTGCGAGCGCGAGTGGAACACGGAATAATGTAGTGCGTCTGTGTCCCACATGCCACGAGGCCGAAGGCCGAGTGGTATGTGGGACACAGACGCACTACATTTTCCGTGTTCCACGAGCGCGAGCGTGATAACGAATTTATCTTCAAGCAAACTTGACGCACAGTAAAGTTGGAACACGCATGCTGTGTGACCTACGCGCAACTTTTGAATTCACAGTGAATTGTGCAGCACTAATCGCGTCACGTAGGCTTAGAATAGCGCAATACGCGGAGTGCGGTATGGACCGTGGCCGTGCGGTATGGTTATATGTAGCACGGCTTGTTGCCATGGATTGACCAATCAGGATCGAGGAATCAAGTTTGCTTGAAGATAAAGGTTTTTACCTGCACCTATGTAATATTGAGTGCTGTCTTTGAGTTTATGAGGAAAAAAACTTACTAGCTTCAGTTGTGAATTCAAAACAGCAAAAGGAGTTTGAGCAGATAAAGGGTAGTTTTGGGAAAAGTTACAAGAATATCACAATACGTCTGTCCATAGTGCATGTAGTGAGAGTTGGCCTGTGTGTGTCTTCACCGACTGTAAGGTGTATTGTCATTGTGTTTCTGTTGCAGAAAGTGTCCATGTTTGGCTCCAGACTGATCAAAGGGGGGCGGCCCAAGGGTAGGGTTGTGTCAATCCCAGGGTGTGCCGTGCCCGCTATCGTCACCAAGGATGGTATGGTGTTCACCGGCAACGACGGCCAAATGGTGAGTCCCTCCGCCCAGTGTCACAGATCTGCTTAGCAGAGGAAAAAAAAATTGCTTAGCAAATTGATGTGCTAAGTGTAAATCAGCCGGAGTGCCAGTCAGGAGCAATAAACATTGCATGGCATTTTGGCTGGTTATCTGTTTTCGTTAAGCAAATGTATTACTTGCTTAGAGCACGTTTTTTTGCGGCGTATATAGCTTCATGGAAGTAGCGCCCGCACCACTGTTTAGCTTTTCAGCTTCACCCAAACTCCGTTGGCAGTTTTCCAAGGGAACCTTTTTTTAATTTTCCAGAATTCATCATTCTGCAAGAACCCAAACCGCACCTCGTTTGTAATTCAACTGTCAAGCCCCTTGCATAGAATTGTTCCAAAATCCTTTAAACCTGTTGTTTAAATTTGTTTTTATTGTGAAGGATCGGGAATGGTTAGGGTGAATTGGCATCACAATTGTGCGCTTGACAAGCTGACTGAAATATCTGCTAAACAGAACGGAATGTGTAATTTGGTATCAGATTGGGTTAGAGCTAACAAGCCCCATTATCTGACATACGGACTATGATCATTAAAGGGAAAGTACAACATTTGCTTTTGCTGCACTTTTCAGAAATAAATCGATTTGGAGGATTAGTATGTTAAGCAAATATTGTTAAAATGACTTGTTTCACGTTTTGGGCCAGTAGATGCTGGAAAACCAAGAAAACCATTCATGTTCTTGTAGTCTGGTTCCCTGATCCCATTTAAAATGAAATGGAGAATTTATAGACTCTGGGGAATTGTATGGTCAGAGAATCAGTCTAGCAGGCTTGTACCCCTTCACAGTTGTGTAATCAATTGCAAAGAAAACGCGGAATAACTAATTGTGAAAAATTAGGAGCAGTTTTTGAAAAAAAAAGCCAGTTTCCTCCAACGCTGGTCGGCCGACCAGCGTTGAAAAAATACCATTTTTCTTGAAAATGTCAGCACACCAGGAGCCATGATTTTACAGGATGTTTTAGACTGTCATTCCCTAACAATCCAGTTTAGTATTTTGTGATAATTTGATCATTTCGTTTTGTGATGTTTGCAAATGTTGTATCTTCCCTTTAATGTACTGTGGGTACCTTTTCTTGGTCGTCTGTAGTTGAAAGTCAAGACGCTTCAGTTTGAAGACGGCCGCATGATCCAGGCTCAAAAGTACGGTTTGGGTGACGATGCGGAGGAGAAGATTGAGATGACTCCTGAAGAGGTCGGCATGGCAGGAGCTATCAAGGTATGGCCAAGTCCCAAATGTGCTTTCAGAGCTACAGCTTGTCTTTTGTCAGTAAATTCCCCATGTACAGAGTGTCCCAATCCCCCCCCCCCCCAAAAAAAAAATATCAAGGCATTTTCTTTTTCACAGCTTTTTAAAATAAATTAATGCTGATACATATTTGGAAAGTATAGTTCATTAGCTGTTTCAGCAATGAAAACATCTTTCCAATCGGGTAAATATTTATTGAGTTATTTGCCAATTTAATAAAGTGCCGAACGTCATAGATATGGGTTGAGGGTAGTGTTGCTTCCTAATTTTTTTAAAAATCTTTCTCTCTTTATTTGGTTCTTTTATATTTTTCATGTTTTGCAACAATGGTCATTTCTCCAATTGGAAGAAATGGTAGTCCTGAAAATGATTGTTTGGTTAACTTCTTAGATGTTTACTGTGCTGCTCTGTGTCTGCCCTCTACTTGGTAGCCTCTTTCAGGGATGCATGTTTCGACCCGTGGTCTTATTGCGGCAGTCAAATATTTAGTCGCCGTCGACAAAATGAAAAAGCAGCATTTGTTTTCAATTGGTCATTACTCAATGTACGTTTATCCCATTGGAAAGTTTGTTCGTTGTTGAAAAGCTAATGAACTACACTCTCTAAATATATATGATAAATGTGGGGTATTTTGTGAAAAAGAGGGCGCTTTGAGGTTCTGTGTTTTTTTGGGGGGACACCCTGTAGTTGTTTTGCACAAGACCTAAGACACAAAGTAAGGGGGTCCAAAGCTTGACCTTGTCTCTGGATTAGCTGCATATCTGACTCCAGCATCATTATGAAGCCATGAACATGGGCGTCGCGAGGGGGGAGGGGGGCAAGGGGGGGGCGCTTCCCCCCCCCCCCCTCCTCCCCGGCAAACGGGGGGAAAAAAGGGGGGAAGGAAAAAGAGGTGCGAAGCCTTATTGCTGTTAATTTGATGGAGGTGGCGGGTAGGGCAAATGCTCCCCTGCTCACGCTCGGACAAATGATCAATTGAGAATATAATGGAAAAGTTCAGGAATTTTGGGGAAAAATTTGCTTTGCCCCCCCCCCCCCCTGGAAAAAATCCCGGTGAAGCCCATGGCCATGAATATCCAATGCAAATGGACAAACTGTCAACCCTACCATCCTATTTAATCCTAGAATTTGAGGTGTGCATACATTTTGGCAAGAGGCAAACACCTTGTAGGTCCAGAGAGCCTTGATCGTGTGTGTGTGTGTGTGTACAACCTGTCCATGCACACGGTGCCACCTCGGTAATGACTTCAAATGGACTGATTTGTTGAGGCCCCCCCCCCCCCCCACCCCCTCTCATGCCCCTCCCCCAGCCCCCTCCCCAAATGATGATTTGATCAATTACAGTTGTGACTGCACAAGCATATGTCTGGGGAAAAAGGCCTTCATATGCGAGTTTACGCATGAAACATGCGACTGGAACTTGCAGTATAGCGTTTGGAAGAAGCACCTGTTTTATAACGGTCCATTGGAGTTGTCAGACTAAGATCTGGAGTTTCTGTGCCATGCTAGTGAACGCCCATCAAGTCACGACTATTCATAGTAAATAATGGTGAATGATTGACTTGTCATGCAGGATATCTGGGGCGGTATCTTGTCCACTACCAAGATCGATGGGGACTCGGACTTCTTCAAAATGGGAGGTGGTTCCATGGATGTGGCCAGGTAAGGACAGCTGGTCATCAAGTCATCGTCTTGGAGTTGTTAAGCGCCGATGAAATTTGCTTTAGTTGCCGCCCAAATTGTCTCATCAAGGATGCCAGTTTTCCGGCTATAGTCAGAACTCTGGCTTTTTCATGTTTTGGAAGATAAATCCGGCATTTCATCCCTTTGCAGGCCAGACAATTAAAAGGCAATGTGAGCGTGCTAGGTGTGCTAGGATAGGAGGGTTAAAGTCAATTGATTTCTGGGAAAGGTTGATATACATTTTTGATACTTTCGCCGAGTTTGATTTGCCTGTGTTCCAACTGCTCTGTGTGGAGCCTCTCTTTTGCGGTTATAATCCCTTCTTTTTGGGGGCTGCAACCTTTTTGTATGGAGATTCAGGCTGTGTTGCTGTCTCATTGTTCAAATTTCTTATTCTTGCATATTTTTTTTAACTTTTATATTTTTTGTCCTGTAGGTTGGTAGAGGAAGTCAAACAGAAGTGTAACGGCATTGCACTGTCCAACGAAGACGTGTACATGGCCACCACGTACGACGCCTTCGTGCAGAAGGTCATCAAGAAGGGACGCGGCTTGGACGATTTTGTCTTTGAGTATGACGCTGTAAGTATTGCAGTGTGTAGGTTGCCAAATCTACGGATGTGAAAAATGGGTCATATCAAGTCAGTTAACGTCGGATGACGTGTAAACATGCAAAGGTTTTGCAGTATGCGGAACGGATGATGGGTAAACACACAACGAGCAATGCCGGAAATATCGAGGTGTGCTACTCGCAGATGACGGCCTGAAAAACAATCCCGCGTCTGGGTCCGGTGGATGTCAAAATAATCCCGGCACGAACTGGTTAAAAAACAAAAAGAGGAAATCCCTTTTCATGATGCATAGAGAATTGCTAACGTGATTTATTTTGTTGATATCATTGTTTTAGCTCAATAGAATGAGAACTTTTCATTTAATGAATAGACTGAGAACTTTTCATTTGGTGAAAAATATTCTGTCAAATGAACACTGATTGCTGTCAAAGCAAATTGTAACAAATTCATATTTGAAATGGAATACCTTAACAAGGAAAAAAACGTCAATGACAAGTTGGCAGTCATTTAAAACAAACAAGAAGAAAAAACAACTAAAAGCATGTCCAATTATTTTCATCGAAAAGAAATTTGACAAAAATATGTGCTCATTTTGCCCATACGTGTTGACAAAAAGACAGAGTCATGCCTGTGTTTTACACTTTTCATAGTGGGTAATCATAGTTAGGCTCATCAAAGACACCTAGATGGTTTGTTTGGTTGGCTAATACCCCCCCTTTTCTGTCCGACCAATCTTCTTTCCTGAGAATAACGCCATAAAATGTTGCCAATCTCGACTCATTGTTTAAGGCCTTAAGTCTCCGTATGTATTGATTTTGTAACAACACTGACGACAACCCCCCCCCCCCCCCTTTTAAAAAAAATCCTTCAACGGCAAACATTTACCAGGTTTTTCAATTATCACAAATTAACAATTGTGAAGATTATCTTTGGTCTTGGATATTCTCAACCGTTTCCGCTTTTTCTATCTCACAGGTCAAGATGCACATCAACGACATGGACATTGAGTTTCCCAACCAGCTCTTCATCAACAACGACTTTGTGGACGCCGAGGACGGTAAGACCTTTGATACCATCAATCCCACCGACGAGAGCGTCATCTGTAAGGTTGCCAAGGGAACCGCGGCTGATGTAGACACCGCTGTCGCTGCGGCAAAGGTACGTAATATTCAGAGCAGTATGTAACACCCTTTGCATATGGAAATGGCACTGTAAATTCTGTTTCTACTTCTGATTTACAGGTTGTCCCACAAAAAAAAATAATAAAGGTATATTGCATGTGAGTTTTGGAAATTGTCAATTTACCTCTTAATGTCAGATAACCAATTTACAATACAAACTTTGTTTCATTTAAATAGATGCGTTGGAACAAGCGCTATGTGCTTCTTCGAACTGAATGTCTGAAAATCGTCTTGGGCCACTTTCCTTGAATGTTAGAAGCGCAGTTGGAGAAACACGCAAAGGATTTATTTCCTTTGTTCAAGAGTAACGTGTGACTCATTCTACCGGCTTCGATCTGTAAACTTGATAAATTAAAAAAAAGTGGCCCAAGTGATTTTTCAAGTCCCATATTGTGATTGCTGTGTCTTTTGAACAAAACATCCTAATGAAACCGACTAGAGAGGGATTTGGAAGACCAATTATTCTACTCAGCAATATATAAGACACGATTTTGAAGTCTATCTCCACTTTTTTAAAAACATGCCCAAGTCGATTGTTGGGTTTTTTTTGTGGGACAACCTGTATTTGTAAATGTTTATTTTGTATCAAGCCTTAAGTGTATAAGCACTCTTCCTTTTGTAGTTCTTCCTTTTATCTGCAACTCTGTGCTGTATTAGCACTTGTATTACATTGTATTTACTCCTCGTTGAATGTATAAAACCATTTGAGTGCTGGGGCAGATGTGGGTGGTACAAGGAGTAACATGCAGGGGTACTTTGGGCCAATACAGGGATTAAATGGTTAATGCTCCTTGGCCGTTTGTATTGTATAAAGATTTCTTTAGAACCAAAATGACAGGCCTACATAGCTTTGACAGTAAACCCTGCAAACACTCTAATGATTTTTTTTTCAATCTGATTACAGGAGGCCTTTGAGGAGGGAGAGTGGGGGAAGATGAACGCAAGAGACAGGGGCACTCTCATGTTCAAGTAAGTACTCGCAAGTGTCAGGAGACGAGAAGCTAAGATTGTTTGAAAAAACTTAAGAAATAAATCAAAGTCTTTTGATCTGTAAGGGTGACATCATTTGTGGCACTTCTGTAAAAGTACTTTAATTGTGGCATCGGTACTTTTATCAGTAAAAAAAGTACTATAATTGCGGCTTTGGTACTTTTATCAATAAAAGTACTATAATTGTGGCTTTGGCATTTTCATCAGTAAAGGTACTATAATTGTGACTTCAGTCATTTTATTTGTAAAAGCACTGTTATTGTGGCTTTGGCACTTTTATTAGTAAAAGTACTGTAATTGTTGCTTCAGTACTATTATTGGTAAAAAATACTGTAATTGTGGCCTTGGCACTTATCAGTAAAAAGTACTATAATTGTGGCTTCAGTACTTATATTGGTAAAAGTACTGTAATTGTGGCTTTGGTACTTTTATCAGTATAGAAAGTACTATAATTGTGGCTTTGGTACTTTTATCAATAAAAGTACTATAATTGTGGCTTTGGCACTTTTATCAGTAAAAGTACTATAATTGTGTCTTCAGTACTTATATTGGTAAAAGTACTGTAATTGTGGCTTTGGTACTTTTATCAGTGTAAGTACAATAATTGCGGCCTTGGTACTTAGTGTGTAAAGGTAAATTATTTGTTGGATTTGTACAATGAACCATGGAGGTGCTTTAGTTGTAGAATTAGCACCTTCATCCAGAGAGGTACTATAATTGTGGCATTGGCACTCCAATACATTAAGGCATTTATGTGGGTCATTGGTACTTCTTGTTGGCACTCTGATCCGTAAAGGTACCATAATTATGGCATTGGCACCTGTATTATTGTCCAGGCTTGCTGATCTGATGGAGGAGCACAAGGAGGAACTGGCAACACTAGAAACCATCGATTCCGGAGCCGTCTACACCTTGGCCATCAAGACCCACATCGGCATGTCCATCGATACCTTCCGCTACTTTGCCGGCTGGTGCGACAAAATCCAGGTAAAGGAAGAAAAAAAAACGTATTTCATGAGCAAAAGACCAAGGGATTCGTGATGCAGGAAACATTTTTGTTAGAAAACCACAATGACTGGAAATTCTTTTGACTGTAGAAATAGTTACGAATCTTTTTAATTATTTGATTATTTTTTTGTCAGGGTCTGACGATTCCCATCAACAACGCCCGACCAAACAAGAACCTGACCTACACAAAGAGAGAACCTGTTGGGTAAGTGCCATCAAAAAGGATATTGAAAAAGCTGTATCCTCTCTGAGTAATCCCTATTTCCTGGGTTTACAACATCGCTAGCATTGTGACTTTGGGCGTGGTCCCTTGCTACATGGAACATAGGGGCTTATGGCATCTGACTAAAGCCCCTTGACCAAAGATATTGACTAAATGGGGAGCCAACATACCGGTAGGGCTGGATAGCTCAGTTGGAACAGCAATCCGAAGGTCGCAGGTTCAAACCCCGCTCTTGTCGATTTCTTTGTTAAACCTTATAATAAAAAGGATATAACTCAGTACTCGTACTGCTACTCCCACTCATTACTCAGACTTGGAATTCATATTGGTACAAGATTCATATTAATGTTTTTCTTTTTCTTTTTCTTTTTTGTCGCTCTGAGTACCTGAGAAATCCTGAAAGTTAAAACCACAAAAGATTGGTTGACAGAAGTGCATGAGACCTATCATCCTGGCTCTCGTGGAATGGGTTCAAATCTGTGGATATAATGTGAAATGGAGCTGAAAAAAAAGACATTAAAATTTAGAAAACTCCAGCCTGACTGGGTTGCAGCATGTTTTCCACAATGATGTGATAGGCTTCTGATAGAAGGCGCTGATAAGTGCTGAGTGGTCAAAGTCTGGAGGGCCTGTTGTCGTGCATATTTAATTGCAGAATCTGCACAGATTGTACAGACATATGAGACTGAAGTGGGCCCTTTAACCATGCTGTATAAAAACACTTGCATTTTTCAGGATTCTTTTCATACGTAAATCACATTCCTAAAATTTAGCCCAATAGTCCCTGTACTGTCACAAACCAAATCTCATGTTACTCCTGTACCCCAGCAATAATAACAGGTACTTGTATAGCACTCCTTATTTTTTTAAATATTAGATCAAAGCGCTTTACATTATTATTACCCCTGATCATTGGACCAATGAAAAATCCAAATACAATCGCATCTCCCTGGGGATATACAGCTCGATGCTGACATTTCGGAGCAAGGCTGCTAAAATCGAACACAATAACCATCTCTGCCCTCACAGGTACCCAATTTACTCCTGGGTGGAGAGAAGCAATGAGTGGCAAGATGCCTTGCCCAAGGGCACGTGCACCATGCATAAACCCAGGCTGGACTCGAACCCACAACCTGCAGAATTACCCACTGACCACAAGTCCAATGCCCCAGACCATGAGGCCACTTCACTCCACTTTCCCTTACAACAAACCTACACATGTACATGTATAGGTTTATTGATTCTTCATGGAATGAATGCAGTGTAAAACAGTGTGTAGTATAGGTGCTAATGGATTTAACGGTCCTCAATTTTTTTTTCTCCGGACAGTGTGTGCGGTATTGTGGTTCCATGGAACTACCCTCTCATGATGCTTGCCTGGAAGATGGCCTCATGCCTGGCCGCCGGCAACACCGTGGTCCTCAAGCCTGCCCAGGTCACCCCACTGACGGCCCTCAAGTTTGCCGAGCTGGTGGTCAGGGCTGGCTTCCCACCTGGTGTCATTAACATCCTTCCAGGATCAGGTGAGAATGTTACCCTTACAGGTGTTGTAGAGGGGGAGATGTGGTTGTAGGGGGGATGTGTGTTGGGTGGTGTCAACCCGAATTACTTGCTGTCGGCAAAATCGTTAGATGGTGCAAATAGTCAGAAAATGGGTGCAGACACCATAAACAAAATGTAAGTGTTTTTTTTTTTCATGAATTAAAACTCACAATCTGAAACTTACAAACTTGAAGAGCATGGAAATCATCAGTAAGTTTTGAATTTTTTCCATTAGGCCGAAAAAAAGTCCCTTTTTTCCCCCTAATTTTTATCTTCAAATGTTGGCTGATTTTGCAGATGACGCTTCAATCGCCTTAAAACTCTCAAAAATATCCTTCAGGGTGGAGCTTGAGGTGACCTCCGTAAGGCCATAAGGCTTGATAATTGTGCAGCCACTTGCTTTCTTGACCGACACAAACATTCTTCGTGAAGTTTGGATAGTCAAGAGAAAAATGGGAGAAAACAGTAACGTCAGACCATTCAGCGACATCGACATCGTCCGTGTGCTGCCAGGCTGGTCATTAGTCTGCTCCCTTTCACATTGCGCTAATTAAAAAGTGTTGACAGGTTCCAGATACACGACCATCGCTCCCTCAGTCTGGCTTCCAGATGCACAATTACAAAATTACAAAACCCTCTGCAAATGGTGCCCGAATAATTTAGTGGACAAACAAACAAATTTACGATGCCAGTTGAAGGCATAAACTCCTAAACTTGTGGATGTTCACCTTTCCAGGTTCTGTGGTGGGTCAAAGGATGGCCGACCACCCTGATATCCGCAAGCTGGGCTTCACTGGTTCCACACCCATCGGAAAGACCATCATGAAAAGGTAAGGGTGCCTCATCATGTCGGATTTTCATTTTTACTTGGAGAAGCAAAGCGATTGTGCTTCACTCATATGTGAGTCTCTCCCATCCAACTGCCAGATTTCTTTCCTGTTACTTGTAATACCTGCCTGCTCCCCCATTTATGCAAGTGGTTCTTCTTTTTAGCCCAAACTTGTCCCAAATTGATGCTTTTTCAGTAGTGGTGGGATTTAAATCTGGATTTTTTTTTATCATTTGGTTTGAATTTCACTATTTGGTTTCGATTTTAGAAACTGTATTTTTTGTGACACAAGCTTAGGAAAACAACTGGAATAATAATAATAATAATAATAACGGAGTCTTGTATAGCACACATATCCACCAACAATTAGGTACTCAAGGCGCTGGAAATTATGTCTATTATAAAAAAAAGGTCAATAAAGTATATGAGAAATATGAGACCCATTATGTAGCACCTAACAAGGGTTGACAAGGTGCTGCGGCGCATATTGCAGCCACTGCCAGAAACACCGGTGCAAACCCCTTCTCTTAGCGATAAGTGTTACTGGGTTCTTTAACGTGCATTACACAACACACGGGACCTACGGCTTTATGTCCCATCCGAAGGACGAAGCAATAATGGTAAAGTGCCTTGCTCAAGAGCACAATCACCATGTTCCCGGGGTCAGGATTCTAACTCATGTACCACAAATCGAACACCGTAACCATTGGACCACAGCACCCCATCGGCACATCCCCCAGTTTGCTGTATGGTCTCTGATTGTAACTGAATTCACTCGCTTCCCATCACTTTTTTTCGAACATAACAGCTCTGGAGTGTTTTGTGAATTCCCAGTGGTCATTGAATCCTGCAAACTATACCCAGTCAGTGGGAGGGCATTGCATGCGGCACCTCGCTCGTCACTTTTTGTAGTGCATTGACTGTGAGCTGGATGGGAACTTCCGGCCGGTGAAATCCGATAACCGTTATTGGGTTTGAAAAAAATTAGGATAACTGGATTTTAAAAGTCTCTACGGTTGGTTAACTTTTTATCCCCCTGGCTTTCAAGGGGGGGGGGGGTGGTATTGCGATCGCGTATTACTTCTGTATGTGTCCTTGTGGGAGTTTGTTTCTGCATTCAGTGGGGGACGTTGAACAAGAGAGGACAATAGGGTCCCCAATTCCCGAAGGGTCCTCAATTTGGTGATGTGTACAAAACATATGGGAGGTCTTCCTAAAAAGTTATAGTACAAACAAAAGACTGGGTCCCCGATTGCAGGCAAATACACACTTGAGTGGGTGTGCGTGCTCCATTTCACTGTACAGTTCAGCATCAATCTCAACCAAAGTTGAAAGGTGGTCTGTGGAGAGAAGGCCAACGTCAAAAAAATATCATTTCCAGTTTGGATGTTTACAAAGTCTCTGCGGAGCTCATCTCAGTATTGCTAATGACTCTAACATATGTTAGTCCAGTGTCTCACCCTAACTCTCCATTGAACCGAGAACTGGTACCTGCCGGGTACAAAATCAAGGCTGTCACTGAAAATTGTCCTTACTGTCTGTACATGTTCACGTATACAAACTGGCAGGATGCCACGGGCATCGCGCAAGTTTTACTTGCAGTATTTTTAGTCGCAGCAAAATTCTCTGCGCATCCTGTATACATGTTGGCATCACACCTTTGTAAATGTGTTTTTATTTCTCATTGTTAGTTGTGCTGTGAGCAACCTCAAGAAATGCTCCCTGGAGCTGGGAGGCAAGTCTCCGCTGGTCATCTTTGCCGACTGCAACATGGACACAGCTGTCAAGCAGGTGAGCCTCAATATAATCAATAGTATGTGGCAACTAGTCGTCCTTGTAAGCCAGAGGCGTATCAAAGGGATACGGCAGCAGCAACCACTGGCAAAGTATGGCTTTTTGGTTGTTGTTGTTGTTGTTGTTAATTTAATATGCTTAGACTCGTAACATCTTTGAGACTTGAATACGCATTCGTAATGGCAGTCGTGTCTTTCAGATCTCTCTGTCTCTCTTCGTCAACGTTGAGGGGGTACTTGTTGCGCATCGGGTCGGGTTGTCCAGGCCACACCGACCCGAAACATTATAGATATAAACCGAATCCGAACCGAAACTGATCTGAACTCCCAAAGACGAACCTGATCCAACCCGACAAAAGTTCAAGGAAAACTGAACCGACCCGAAACCTAACTGACCCAAAAACCAAATATCTGGCTTTTTGTGCCTGAACCTACCCGCATGAAAATCTTCGTCTCTCAGTAACATAATCATGTGGTACTCACAACGTGACCTAATGGTAGGCCTGCATGTTAAAGGACCGTGCGTGATAGACCGCAAACCGCATTTGGTCGTACTGAACACAGTGACTCTGCAATAAATATTGCACCGTGTGAATTTCCCTCAGTCGGGTCAAAAACCGACTTGACCCGACCCGACTGAAATGATGGACAAACTGACCCAACTCAACCCGATTTCAGTTTCAGTTGGAGTTTTGGTTTCAGGTCGGTTTCACACAACATTACTTGCGGGTTGACATATTGCAAGGTTTGAAATAGATTATGAATCCAGCATTTGGCTTTGTCGCTCGACCAACAGTGTTTCTATATTTAATGATCTGCATCCTCAGGCTCTAGGAGCTGTGTTCTTCAACAAAGGAGAGAACTGCATCGCCGCTGGCCGTCTGTACGTAGAGGACAAGATCCACGATGAGTTCATTGATAGAGTGGTAAGTCTCCACAGATGGGAATTTAGTCAACGAATTCAAAACCACTACGAGAAAAAGAATAAGCAGAGAAATACTTGCTGATCAAAAAAACAGATTACCAGCCAACATTTCATATGGCAACGCATATTACTTGTGACTGGTGTTCGCTAGCTCATTACTAAATATGATCTGAATGTGCATGAGCCATTAATGGGCCTTATTCACGAGTCAGCCATATTGAAATGAAAGATAGGTAAAATCTAGGTAAAATCTTAAATTTAAGAACTTGCGAAAAGAAATGAAAGCAAGTTCATTTATAATAAATTCCAGTCTGCTTCAATGAATAATTAAACAATTTTGTAATTGAACATTCCCCAATGTTTAAAGCCATATTTAAAAAATAAATGACAGTAAAAGAAGGCTGCATTGAGCCTGCATAAATAGTCTGGCGCCATCCCATTCAAGAGTTAACAATTAATGAATTACATTAAGGGAACTCGACAAAAATGGCCGACTCATGAATAAGGCCCATATCTATCTATCCGTAATAAAGTTGTCTTTGTCATCATGGGCCTTATTCAAGAGGAAGACATTTTGATAGTGTTCCCTGAATTCTATTCACAAACGTATATGCGATTTTGTCGCGCAATAATGTCACACACACAAATCAATGAGCGCCTTTACATTTACGCAACTTATCGTGTGATTTTTCAAATCAAAGTTGTTCACACATCCGCGAGCGACATTGCCACGTGACACAGACGTTACGACATAACCCTGTATGTGTAAATAGGCCTTGTAAACTGTTGAATGGGATGATGTCAGACCAGTGGCGTAGCCACGGGGGCGTGGGGGGGCGACAGCCCCCCCATGAAACCTTGTCGCCCCCCCCCCAGTCTCCCCCCCACTGAGATTTCGAGTTTCTAAAAAAGTTATCATTGATCTACATGACGCCCCCCCCCCCCCCCCCCCCCCCCCCCCCCCCCCCCCCCACTGAAAAATTCCTTGTGTCAGGCTATTGATTCATTCCAAACCTCACTTTCAATAATTTTTTTAGATGTGGCTTAAAATCATAGGGTAAGATCAATCACAAAATTTCAATTGTTCATCAGTTAGCACACTGGTATTAATATAAATTACTTCATTTCATTACTTTCATTTCTAATCGCAAGTAAAAAAAATGAAGATTTTACCTCGCTTTCAATTCAATATGGCCAACTCGTGAATAAGGCCCATTGAGGAAGTATTTGTGGCCAGAGTTCTTAAATCAATTTGAAGTGCAAAGCCAGAGTTAAGAATCTAAAAGAAACAACAACAAAAAGCAGGAAAGAAAGTTTGTGCTTCAGCAGATTTATGTGCTGCTTAGCAAAAATCAGCTGGGAGCCAGTGAAGCAATAGGAATACTGTGATATTTTGGTCGGTCCCCTTTTTCTGAAGCAAATATTATCTGAGCTTTAACAATGTGCTTATACAGCTCTGTATAACTGGCCCCAGATAGTAAGTATCAAAGCTTACAATTCTTAAAGAAGTCGGGTGCCCGGCAGAAGGGCATATGAGTGTTCTGATACAAAAATCACTTTCAAGAAAATTGCATTGAAAGGTTCCATTGTTCCCTCGCGTGCATTATGTATCCAATGTTCCCCCACACGCAATATAAATCGTACGAACTTGAAATTTGTCACACGTATGAATCACAAGTTTTGGAACAACTGGTAGAAATTTCTGACAAAAATGTTTAAATTTCATTAAAATAGAGGCAGTTTGCTGCATATGCCCTTTTACTGGGAACATTTTGGTCATTACGCGCTATTACATAAGGGCATATGCACATATGCCCTTCTGCTGGGCACACGACGAAGTATTGTCCACAAAATGATTCGTTTCGGGGGTGTCGTTTTATCAGATTACAGACATCAAGAAGATGAAGATCGGCGACCCCTTAGACCGGTCCACAGCCCACGGCCCACAGAACCACCGGTCTCATCTGGAGAAGCTGCTTGAATACTGTGAGATTGGTCAGAGGGACGGAGCAACGCTGGTCTACGGAGGCAAACAGGTGGACAGACCTGGTAAGAACCAATAGGGCTCTGCCGAATATTTGAGTATTCGATCATCAACAACGGATTATCCGAGTAGCAATTTTTCAATGCATGTATCCTTGGAGATATTTAAAAACATCCACATTGTTATTTGCATCAAATAAGTTTATAGGGTTATATTGTTTGTCAAATACCACACTTTTGTCAAAAGCGGCGATTTGTGAGGTTCCATGAAGAATGTTGACTAATTTTTTTTTTTTTCACATCAGTCAAATATCAGCCATTCTCAGAGATGCCACTTTTCCGGTTTTAACCAGAATTCCGGTGTGTTTGTTTTAATTCTCACAAAATTCTGGGTTTTTTCTGGCCGTCAAAAAAAACTGTAAAAAGAGAAAAAAAACTGTGGAAATGCATTGATTTTTACCTTGTTAGTGCTCTCGAGTTTACATGTTGTAAGGATTGCACACGCACGGCACAACTTTGTTCGTTGAAGTTCTCTTAAAAACAAGTCTTTGTTGTTGCCGAGCCTGCATGCGATACAGGCGGCCAACAGTACTTGCACGCAGTATACAACGGCGCTTCGCGTGCTGCACTGGGGGCGTATTGTGTGCTAGCTATGCAGCTATCCAAAAAGTAACTGACTTAATTTTTGTTGAAAAGCATACTTGGTTTAAAGACAGTAATGGGACTAAACTCCCTGAATGAAGGCCTTTCCAACGATGCGTCTAAATTTCCGTCAGTAGTTCGTTGTTTTATTCAGTGAAGCGTTGACACAACACACGCGCGCGTACGGTTGCTACAATTCGTTGGTTGAGTGTGTGACATCTCGTAGCTGCAATCGGCTCAGTGAGAACGTGTCTCGGACGCTGAATTCAGGCTCAATTCAAAACATGACTCGGCAATTTTTGATGTGAAATGGAGATCCTAGAATACTGGTTTCTCGGAATATACAGCTGAAGCTGAGCTGAAATTTCGTCGGGTTAGTTCAGCACCCTTCTTTAGATTTTGAGCTCTTTTGTTGCTTCAAACGAACATAATGCATAAATCACAAATGATGGGCTGTACCTCTAATGCGATAGGCAATTTGTTTTGGAAAACACTGTAAATGATATTTTCAAATGTGGAGTCTTTTTGTATGTTTTTCAGGTCTGTTCATGGAACCCACTGTCTTCACCAACGTGAAGGATGACAACATGATTGCAAAGGAGGAGTCATTTGGCCCTGTCATGGTGGTCAGCAAATTCAACGCAAGGTCAGAAAACAAAAGTCTCTTTATCCTGCTTCTTTAACCCTTTAACCGTCGTGTTTTTTTTTGGGGGGGGGGGGTTTGGCCGCTTGTACACATTTCACTACTTGTAATGTTTGTCAGCTTATTACAGCTTACTCTTTCGAGATAACCTAATACAAGAATACATTTTTGTGAAGCTCTTTTTCTACTCTTTTGTTTGGTGCTAAAATTAGCAAAATAAGAGGGGTTGATAAAATCATTACCTTCCATTATACTAAGAGATGTTCCTTTCTGACCAATGGCTAGCCATCACTACCTTCCTTTCCTTTTGATAAACCCGGTCGGCTTTTTCTCCGCCCGCAGTGACATTGACGGCATGTTGAGGAGCGCCAACGCTACCGAGTACGGTCTGGCCTCCGGTGTCTTCACCAACGACATCAGCAAGGCCCTGTACTGCAGCGACAAGCTCAACGCAGGCACTGTCTTTATCAACACCTACAACAAGACCGACGTGGCTGCTCCCTTCGGCGGATTCAAGCAGTCTGGCTTTGGCAAGGACTTAGGTAATATTTGTATCCAATTATCCAATACAAGAATCATTCAAATCATGGACAGAACTTTAAAACGGTGGTTGTGTTTAAAATTCTGTAACTTGTAAAAAAAACATGAATGAATTGAACGATTCTTGTACTAAAAGAAAGCTTTTGAATTGGGCTTTCATATCCTAGATGTTGAAAGTGCTACATGCAGAACTTCACTAAAACAATAGTCCCGACATTCGGGTTTCGCTTTTTTTACTCACCCTGTAGAAGGTACCTTTTATTGGACTTAAGTTACAGAGCTAATATATCAGGAGCTTCTGACAACGCCATTTGATAAAGACGCTGTGATGGTGTTGCAAGCTCCTGATACGAGCTCTGTAACTTAAGTCCCCAAAAGGTACCTTCTATTTTTACTTGGATCAATAACTATCCTTTATTTTTGCAACATTGACCTTCCATAGTTTGATATCCCATGGTTTGCAAAAGCTTGGCCATGATCATAATATTTGGAGATCTGATAGAAGTTGGGTGACCTTAACGCCAGGATAGGGTACTTAAAAGTGTCATTTTCCCCCTTTTTTTCCCCTCAGGTATGGAGGCGATGAACGAATACCTGAAGACCAAGACAGTCACAGTAGAGTATTGAGGAGTGTTGGTGAATATTGATGAGTGGTGATGAATATTGATGAGTGGTGATGAATATTGATGACGTATCGACAAGAATTGATCAATATTGGAAATCAGACAGCTGTGAGAACGCCCAAAAAAAGACTAAGCGCCAACAAGACGTATTCTTAACCAAAAACGCTTTGCCAATTTTGTGGGTTGTTTTTTTAATGAAAATTCATTTTTTTTACATTTGGTTTAAAGAAATTTTATGAATAAATGATATTAAGTGTATTTTGTTGTTGACTGCTTGTTGAGTGCGTTTTTAGCCTCGCACCTAGATTACTTCTTGCTTGCATGGCACTGGCAAAAATATACCCCAATATGCAAAGGATTATTTTTGAAATATGATTGTTTAAGAAATTGAAGTATAAAACATTGTATAGCAGCAGATTGGTGCATAACAAATATGGATTGTTATATGTTAATCATTTTCATGTTATGATATAAGCCAAAGTTATATAAGTATTTTTAGTTATTTTTTTGTCTACAGAGACATATCATTCCTCATTTAATTTTAGCTTCTTTTTTTTCTTCACAAAATTTTGGATTGTGAAATCCAATAAAATCCTTTTAATTATACCTAATTGACTGATATTTTCACCATTTTCCCATTCTTTACAAATCTTATTTTTTATTCCTTTTACTCATGCTGCTGTATTTTCTTTGCAGTCTTAGTTGTAGTATTCCCGTAAATATATGGATTTTCTGGGTCATTTTCAATTTTACTGTGGATAATTTAAATCATCAAAACTCCCTACTTTAAAATGTTTGATTTCCTGCTAGATCTTCGAGAGTTTGAAGGAGTTTGCATTTATGAGACATTACATTTATACCATAGTGATTGTTTTAGTGTTATGTTCAGATCTGCAAAAACTTATCAACCGAATGTCTTCTGTTCAGTTGGTGCCAACTTTTATTTTATGCCGAACCAAAAACCTCCAGTTGTAGAAAAAAATGGTAATACATTTTTTTTCAATGGGATTTACACAGTTAATGATATCAGTGCATCAGATTGTCGTGGGCCTTTTCACTCTGATGTAAATGCAGTTAACTGTGTAAAATCCATCCCATTGGAATGGGTGAAAACCCATAGCTTTGTATAATCTGTAAGATCTCTAGTTTGCATGAACGGATTTCCATGGCGTTTTTACTGAATGTACACAAGATATAGTTATATGCTCCGTCAAGACGAAATAGTCATGTTAAGTAGTTTCAGAAATTAAAGAATACATTCGTACACGACATTTCTGGGGGACCCCCTGCAGGGCCAGAGTTGAACCAGTGGATTGTTTCTTCAATTTTCTCACAGTGGTGTTGGGAGGTGGGGAAAAAACGCGAGTTGTTAGAACAGAACTCTTGTTTCAACTTAGTAGCCTTGCAGCTTGCGTAGCTATTGAATGCTCTAAGTAGGTATAGGAAGACTTGCTTTTCAGATTTAAATCAGAGATGTGCCTAATTTTATTATATAAATAACAGTTGTGGATTGTATGATTGCAAAAAAACAAACAAATGCTGATCATGTGTTTCTATCATTAACTCATTCTAGACTAATGCAGTTGTGTTTGTTTGTTTTTGTTTTGAGGAATAGTTTTACAAATATCACATTGAGATTCTATTAATTTTGGGACTACATGTAGTTTAAAGAGTCACATACGTCTGATTGATGTAAAATTTGTAAATGTTTTCATCAATCTAAAAAAATTGTTTTATTTCGCACAGTGTGGATTGAAGGCGAGAAAAAAAAACCTGTTTTATAATAAGCCAGCTGGAGTTTTTGTTTACTTTGCCCTTTTTCCCATTGCTGTGTTAATGAGGACTAATATCTCGATAATTCGCAAAGAAGGCCTGCTATTTTAGCATTGAAATCAGAAAATGTTAATATAATAAGATAAAATAACGTTATAATCATTTTGTTTGACTTCCTATCCAACCTTGTGGGGGAGGGGATGTTTTATTTTCCAATTTGTTGCGATGGTAAATTAAATTGCAAAATCATGCATGTCAGAAGGATGATTTTAAAAATAAGTCTTGTGTTTTGATGATTTTTATTTTCTTGTGTTTTGTTGTCAACATAGGCCTAATTACGGAGGGGCTTGATTGGCCAGTTTCTCGAGATCATACGCAGTCTAGTTGCATAATTAGTTTTTAGCAAAATTTTCATGCAAGATGGCCAGAGCTTATTGTGCAGGCGCACTCAATTTGCGCAACCTTTTTTAATGACTTTATTGCGAAACAAATAAATACGGCCTATAGGACGAAAATAAAACATTGACAAATAAATATAGGACGAAACAAATCAATATAGAATGAAACAAATAAATATAGGACGAAACAGATAGGACGAAGATTATAAAAGGAAGCTAGTTCGTCCTATTTTTATTTGTTTCATCTTACATTGATTTGTCTCATATATTTATTTGTTCTGTGTTTATTTGTTTAGTTGTTATATTAATTTATTTCGTCCTATATATGTATTTGTTTCGTCCTATATATATTTACGTGAAAATAAGTTTCGCCCTATCTTTGTTTCGCAATAAAGTCATAACGGTGCAGCAGGTCCTCGGACCACAGTACTTGTACTTTTGCTGTTCCTTGCCTTTCTTTATAATGTTGTGAGAATGGCTAAATAAATAATAATAATAATAAAGGGCGCCTCCTATTTTTGGCTAACAAAGATAAACATCAATAGGCCTATGGCTGCCCATAGTCCAACATCAATGGACAAAATGGGCGAATTCTAGAGAGCCAGTGCTTTTCCCGATGCACAGCTTCACATTCTCCATATTTTTGTCAGGGGAATTTTTGGTTGCCTCCTATTTTTGGCTAACAAAGATAAACATCAATAGGCCTATGGCTGCCCAGATCAAATTTACATTTGTGAACAACGATCGATAGTTTGTGATTGTGGCACAGCTTCACATTCTCCATATTTTTGTCAGGGGAATTTTTGGTTGCCTCCTATTTTTGGCTAACAAAGATAAACATCAATAGGCCTATGGCTGCCCAGATCAAATTTACATTTGTGAACAACGATCGATAGTTTGTGATTGTGACACTACTCATCGGCAATCCACTCATATATTTGTGGACAAAATGGGCGAATTCTAGAGAGCCAGTGCTTTTCCCGATGCACAGCTTCACATTCTCCATATTTTTGTCAGGGGAATTTTTGGTTGCCAAATCCGATATCAATATTTCACCCAAATGAGGCTGGAGATTTGATATTGGACTGCAGGATGCATCTCTCCAAACAGAAACGCGCGATGCTCAAACTGGTGATTTTCATCACGGTTTTCGTTCTTGTTTGGGAGAGAACAAGTTTTGTGGATCGAATTCAAATCGTGCGATCAGCTGAGGCAGTGTGAGTACATACCTCTAATACTCTTACGAAATTTTCACATTGTACAATATCTTGTGCTTAAAGTTTGAACGCATTATATAAACGCTATATTTTGCAACAGTTTATATAGTGGAGCTGCTAAGCGAAAAATCGTGCACTTTGTGGTAAAAGCATGAAATTTGGCATGTGGGGTCAAAATGGGCTAAAAATCATTTTAAGATCGGGACCCATCCTGGATCTTGCCCATTTTGGGGGCGGAGCTTGATTTTTCAAAAAAGGGGGTGCAAACAATACAAACTCATGAAAACTGTATTTAACATCAAATTTCCTTGTTTTTTTTACGCTTTGAAATAAACTTAAACATGAAATAAGACATTCTAGCATTCTAACACCTGTTAATTTTCCACCCATTTTTACCTAAATGGTAAAAGAGGCGGTATATATTAGCAGTTTGGTTCTAATATGGAAAACATCATTCAGTTTGGTGGTAAAATTCTGAAAATTGGCATGTCAAATTGAAATGGGCGAACATAATTTTTAGAGGTGAACGCATCTTGGATCTTGCCCATTTGGGGGGCGGAGCTTGATTTTTCAAAAAGGGGAGTGCAAAAAAAGAAAACTCAGAAAACTGTATTTTACATTCACTTTGTAAATTCTAACATTCTAACGTGTTATTTTCACCCTTTTGCGGGCGTGGCCTAAATATGTAAAGAGGCGGTACATTAGAGCAGCTTGATTCAAACGAGGGAAAATCATCATTTTTGCTGGTAAAAACACAACTTTTCCATCGGTTAACTATGTTTACCATACACTGTAAAGATAAGTTTAAACGGTTGCAAAACTAATTGTTGCCCTTTAGGGGTGGAGCTACATTTTAAAGTAGGCGGCTATAAAAAAAATCATATCTAAATTGTTATGATTGTCTACAAGTAACTTACACAGGGTGAGTCAAAAAAAGGAAACCCAAATGGCAAGACAAATTTTTTTAATGAAGTTCTGCATGTAGCACTATCAAAATCAAGATATGAAAGCCCAATTTATAAGCTTTGTTTTAGTACAAGAGTCATTCAAATCACTTATGTACTTTGCAAGTTACAGAATTTTAAACACAAACACCGTCTTAAAAGTTCTGTCAGCAAAACGAAAACAATTCACATATAGGGGGATGCGCTGGAATTGTTTTCGTTTTGCTGAAAGAACACACACCATTTTTGTGATACGTGGACAGAACTTTAAAACAGTGGTTGTGTTTAAAATTCCGTAACTTGAAAAGTACATATGAGTGATTTGAATGATTCTTGTACTAAAAGAAAGCTTATGAATCGGCTTTCATATCCTAGATTTTGAAAGTACTACATGCAAAACGTTATTAAGAAAATGGTCCCGCCATTTGGGTTTCCTTTTTTGTTCACTCACCCTGTATACTTACAATGGCGGCATTTCCTAATTGTGCATGTATTATAAACACTATGGGGATCACAAGGAGAGGGAGGGGAATTAGGGGCGGCCCAATGAAGGATTTCTTGAAAGTGCTCTTCTAACTTTCTTGGACGTGCTAGGGGGTGCCCTTTCAGGCGTTTTTATGCCCCGCGGCGAAGCCGAAGGGGCATACTGTTTCCGCCTTGTCCTTCCGTGGGTGGGTGGGTGTGTGAGTTTGTCTTACATTCCCTATGTGGACTTGTGAACAAAAGATGTCCACATAATGCAGGTTGTGTTAACGTTATGTGGACTAAGCCGTGTCCACATAACGTTTTGCCCTTTCTGGAAAACAGGTTTAGAGGCATTTTTGGGTTAGGTTTATCCGTAGCAGAAGGAAGAGAAACACTATAGGGATTCATAGAAAAAAAATTGGGTTGAAAGAGTTTTCACAGTTTAAGTGAAGTTATTTTTTGTACCGAGTTTTCTTAACTACACGAAAACAAAGGAATGTCCACACAAGGTATGTTACGTAAACCTGGGTGTGTGTGTGTGTGTCCGGACAAATCTTGTCAGCGCGATAACTTGAGAAATACTTAAACATATGAACTTCAAATTTGGTTCGTGTATTGTCCTTGGCAATCCTAAGAAGCCTTTGCATTTGGGGCCAAAAGGTCAAGGGTCAAGGTCACAGTGGCTAAAACAAAAGAAATTTTGTCAGCGCGATAACTTGAGAAATACTTTACATGTGAACTTCAAATTTGGTTTGTTGATCGTTCTTGGTCATAGGCCTATCGCATTGGGGGCCGAAAGGTCAAGGGTCAAGGTCACAGTGGCTAAAACAATAGAAATCTTGTATTTATTCTGAAATCATAGAGTTTAGGGATTAATTCATATAAAACCTACACGAACGTGTTTGCTTAATTTTCATTCATACAGATGCGAGTAAATGCTTCAAAATTGGAAGTACCAGTAAAAGCAAATGCCATGTTTTATTCATACGAACATGGTATCATTTGTACTTTATGAACTTTGTTAATATTAATTTTTCGCGATTAACATATAATAAATGCTGTAGCTTTTGCGCAGAATTATTTGCTTTATAATTTCAAGGTTGCCCCTACCCAGCCTTGTGAATGACAAGTGCATATTTGAAATCTGAAGCATTTACTCCTTTATATTCATACGAAACGTACAGATGGGAGTAATGCAAATGCCAGTTTATATTCATACGAACTACCGTATGGGATTATTTGTACTTTTTCGCGATTAACATTAATAAATGCAGTAATTTTTGCGCATAATTATGTGCTTTCATATTTTCAAGGTAGCCCCAACCCAACCTTGAAATATGACAAGTAAATATTTAAAATGTGTAGCATTTACTCCTTTTTATTCATAAGAAACGAAGTAAACGCTTATAGTGTAGCAAAGGCTAAAAGGTAAAAGTAATTATTTTCAGAATTTAGCAAACGGTTTTTAGTAAAAGTGTTTGCTTAATTTTCATTCATACAGATGCGAGTAAATGCTTCAGAATGGTAGCAAAAGCAAATGCCATGTTTTATTCATACGAACATGGTATCATTTGTACTTTATGAACTTTAATAAATGCAGTAATTTTTGCGCAGAAGTATTTTACTTTATAATTTCAAGGTTGCCCCAACCCAGCCTTGTAAATGACAAGTGCATATTTGAAATCTGAAGCATTTACTCCTTTATATTCATACGAAACGAAGTAAACAATAAATATTTTTTTTTCTGGTAATGAAACCAAGGATCCTCAAAAGTGCATGCCCCAGGCACTGTAGCTCGCAAACCCCGAAAAAAAAAACGTAGAGAGAAGACAATGAGAAGAAATTACAGTTTTAGAGGTGGGAGGAAAACCCCAGAAGAATAGTCTGGGGAAAACCCACGGAATCAGGTAGGGACTGAAAATTGAAAGCGCAATTACCCACTGCAGCGATAACCCGCCACCGCGAGAGAGCGCCGCATCACGACCGCACCGTTGCGTTGAGCGCGAATCACGTGTTGCCGGGCCACCCTTTACGAAGTTGTTTGCTTGGAGTTCATGCATACATGACTGGTCGTCAGCCAATTGCGAATATTCTTCATGTTGCGGTCAGGCGCGGATATCCGGGGAAAGGGAGGGGGGTATGTAGGGTTCGTCAAAACAGCGTCAAAATGCTCGTCAAAACAGCGGGGATCCTCATACTATTTGGTAAGGAGCCCTGTTGGCGAGTCAAAAATTATTGGGATATGGCAAAGATGAAAGTACAGGAAGAAAGAAATCATATAACATTCAGAAAGCAAACCGGTATAAATTTGTGTATAGTAAACGGTTGAAATGATTAGATCGGGTTATTTGAAACAATGACAAATTTTCTTCAGGATGTATTTTTTTACATGTATGCCCAACCTTGGGTTATGGTTAGCCTGAACATGAATTATAAAAGATGAGTGAAATAAAAGAGAGAGCCTTGAGTCATGATAAAAATCACTACAAGGTAGACGCCCAGGTTAAGTGACATTAAACAGCCGTCAGATTGAAACTCCATCATAACTGGTTGTCTAACTATAGGGCTTGGCAAGGACTTCGTACTTTTTAGAATGCATGATTCACATTGCGAAGGAGGACGGTTCAACAATGATATTAACAAGATGCAAGGTCAAACGTTCACAATGCGAAGGTACATGGTTCATATTGCGAAGAAGCAAGGTGCAACGTTGACATCAAGCATGATCAATGGTGTACATTGACAAGATCGAACGTGAATATTAACAAGTTGGAACATTCACATTAAGAAGGAACAACTGCCAAAATGCGATATTAAGCCACGTGCAACGTGCATATTGCGAAGGTATAACGTCAATATTAAGAGGTTACAAGGTTCACATTAAAAAGGTCAATATTAAAATGTCGTTCCAGGGCCACCGTAGAAAACCCAATCCACATGTAGACCATGGGTGCCGATGCACAGCGCATTGTGCACGTAAACGGCATTGCGTTCGTCGCGTTTGATGCGCTTTTTTTGTATCGGTCCTCCAGCACGTGACCCTCCCCGGTGCCGCTTTCCGTTTCGGTTATGATAGTGTTATTTTCTGCAAACTTATAAACATGTAAAGCTTTACATTTTGCAGGCCATTTACTCAAGAGCAAATGGTTTTTAGTAAAAGTGTTTGCTTAATTTTCATTCATACTGATGCGAGTAAATGCTTCGAAAGTGGTAGAAAAAGCAAATGCCATGCTTTATTCATACAAACATATGGTATCATTTGGACCTAAGCAGCTCCACTAATAAACGTTTAATACGTTTTAAGAGGCTCAATTTTGAGTCGCATTTCAGGTATCTTTGAGACAAAGACAAAGACTTTGGTAGCGGGTTGCAGTTTTGCTGCTACTTGCAACTGAAATTTAACTTCCAGGAAAGCAAATTACCAACATGTCGATTACACATTGTAATCGTCTCGTGTTTAGCTTGTGTTTATTGTAAATGTTTCGTGAACGGTTTTGTTTAGGAACACTAAACATCGTGTGTAACTTATAGGCCTAAACGCTTCCTTAACGGATCTGCACACTAAACATGTTTAAACGCTTATGTTTTTCTGTTTGTGCACTTACTGTTTTCCGTTCCGAGCCCAAATGAGTGTTCGCAGCAGAACGGTGTTTTTTTCATGCATGCAAAGAAATGCTCGTTCACGGACAGTAGAAACTTTGTTTTTACTAATGAGGGTAAAGCTTTGCAGGTTAGGCCAAAAAAAAAAAGTCTCCGGTTTCTGGTATGCGCGCGCGTCGCCGTAGCCATGCGCGTCGGCAAAATGAAAAAGTTGTTTTTTCAATGAAAGATGATGTCTCAAAACCGCCAAACTCACTGGTTTGACTGGAATTCTGCTGCTGCACAGTTTTAACGTGTTTTTAGATTGGGTTATGGTCGAGAATAAGCTTTATGTGGCCTCTCTGGACTCCCATACATTTGCACTAAGTTTAGTCGGGCACCATTTGCAGTCATCAGCCGACATTTGAAGCAAAAAATCAGGTAAAAAAAAAAAAAAAGCCGCGTCGCCGCACCACTTTTTGGGAAAGCTCCATACCAGAAACCGGAGACTTTTTTTTTTTGGCCTTATCTAAACATGAATTTTTCTACAAGCATAAGTTAATTCACGGATCCTATAAACGAACGACTGTTCTGAGCTCTAGTACTGCACTGAACGGACTTACCTTATTTGGTTGGACGCGTGATAATGGGCCCGTTGGAATGTTCCAGGTGCATGTGCCATTTTGTCGATTTTTCGCATGACATCTATACATTATGTATTTGCTTCACATGAGTTAAAATTACTGCACCTTGGTTGTCCTTGCCTTATAAAACGGAAATATTCACACACAAAAATTAAGCAAAAACCACTAGGTAAGATATACTTGTTCCAAAATTGTTTAAAAATAAATAAATACTTCAGGATATAATAGATGGCATTGTGCAGTTTTTGTTGTCAAAGATGAAGTATTTACCCGGGAAATAAACGTCAAAATAATGTGACACCTTTTACGAGAAAACGCCGTTTACCCAAATCACGTTTTTAATTAGACTTTTGTCAAAAGGTTTTATACTGAGATGTGGTCCCGAACCGATCAAACAAATGCGACATTTCAAAGTTCATTTTAAAGCTAAAGATATTGTGCTCGGCGTTAACATGGTTGTGTAGTTATGACTTATCAGAATTCAATAATAAAGGCCAAAAACATAGGATCATGAATATTCAGAAATATAATTAGCTGGCTTGACAGAATTAAACACCAGATCAGGCACAGAGCCCTGCAAATTTGAAAGCCGCGCGCAGTGAGCTTTAAGCTGTGTAGGTCTTTGTTGACCAATATTCATATTATTGCTAATATTAAAGTCGTCAAAATAACTTATGGTGTCGTCCGCCACAACAATCAAGAAATATAATTCCCATTCCTGTGAGTAGCATTTACTTATCAGACAACTTAGAGCTTCCACGACCGTACACACAGCCAAGCAATGAATACTGTGATCGAACCCTTTAAAACAGCAAAAGGCATGAAATTAATATGTTTAAATGTTCGATCGTTTCTTCCGAAGTTGGAAGAAATACGATTGCTAGCGGTCGAGACAAAGCCCCATCTCATTGGCCTTGTTGAAACATGGCTGAATGATTCAAAAGCTACCCAGGAACTTGAAATACCCAACTATAAACTTTACAGGAATGATCGGAATCGCTTTGGAGGTGGAGTTGCAGTATTTGTCAGGGATACAGTTAACCACAAGATACTCCCTACTGACAGTATGAACAAAGTTGAATCAATATCGTTGGAGATCCAGCTGCCTTCAACAAGACCACTGATTATTGGCTGTGTTTATCGACCACCAGATAATGAGACATTCTTCGAGGATTTTCCAGCTATTCTTGATGATGTCACAAATATGTATAACTCAAGAACTCCCCCGGAAATGACCTGCTTGGGCGATTTTAATGCTGATTATTTGACTCCAAGTTCAAGTCATTGGACAAAATTGATACAGCTTTTTAATAATTATGAACTGAATCAATTAATTACATGTCCTACTAGAATAACACTGCATACTTCTACCTGTATAGATCATGTCTGGGCCAATCAACCATCTATGTACACTAATTCAGGAACATTAGAGGTTAATCTTAGCGACCATTCATTGATTTATGCTGTTCGAAAGTCTGTAAAAATATCCGGAGGTCATAAATATATTCGTGCTCGGTCATTTCGAAATTTTAACGAAGAAGCTTTTAATCATGATCTTAGACATCAACCATGGGATATACTAAAACAATTTATAGGACCAAATACTGCATGGAATGTTTTTAAGGATATGCTAATGTGTGTTTGTGACATTTATAGCCCAGTTAAAAGTCTGAGAGTTTGCACAAAGAAAACTGAATGGATCAATGACGAATATTTGGAACTGCGACGAAAATCTATGAGGGCCAAACATCTTGCTAACATAGCCAAGAACGATGAGCTTTATGGAACAGCAAAGGTTCTTCGAAATAGATTAAATAATCTGGGTGTTAAACTTAAGAGACAGTATTACAACAAAATTATTTATGACAATAAAGGGAATACTAAAAAAATGTGGACCACTCTCAAAAGCCTGCTGTCGAGTAAGAAATCAACTCATACTTACACTCACACCGGAGACAAAGAAAAGAATCACGATGTTGCAAATTGCTTTAATAAACATTTTGCTAGTGTGGGCCAAATTCAGGACAGCTAGTTTGACACTATTTTAGAAGTTGATACAGAATTGAATGAGAACAACAGTCTGATTAACGATCAACAAAACTTTAAATTTTGCCCAGTTTCTACCAGCGAAGTATTGAAGCTTCTTAGGAAAATACCTGCTGGGAAAGCCTTTGGTATGGATGGGATTAATGGCCGTTTTTTAAAATCTGGTGCTTATGGTCTTGCCAAACCACTTGCTGTAATATTTCAATTAAGTTTGCAAAGTGGTATTTTTCCCCATGAATGGAAATTGGCCAAGGTTACTCCTATCCACAAAGGTGGTGTAATTCATGACCCTAATCAATACAGACCCATTTCAGTTATATCAACTGTTATGAACATTTTTGAGCGTATTGTTCATAATCAGTTTTCTCATTTTCTTACAGTAAATGACTGCTTAGCACAGGAACAGTCGGGCTTCAGACCTCTTCATTCCACACAAACAGCACTCCTTGATGTCTCAGACTTTTTACTCAAGCAGATGGACAGTGGTATATTTATTGGAGCAGTGTTTTTAGATCTTCGTAAAGCTTTTGACACTGTCAATCACACAATTTTGCTTAACAAATTACACAATATAGCGTAAGAGGTCTGGAGCTCGACTGGTTCCGGTCTTACCTTCATGGAAGGACACAGGTAACTAAAATTGGGAATGTCTTATCGAACAAATCTGATGCTATCAATTTTGGAGTCCCACAAGGAACTATCTTGGGCCCATTATTATTTTCTATATTTATTAATGACATCACGTCAGTGACTGAGCATACTAAAATTGTCCTTTATGCTGATGACACTTCTATTTTTTACTCAAGTAAAGATATTCGTCAGATTAACTTGTATCTAAACCATGACCTGCAGAAAATATCAAACTGGCTCAATGACAATAGATTAAAATTGAATACTACCAAGTCCAAAAGCATGTTGATTGGTTCATCCCAAAAACTTGCCAGATGTGAACATCCCAATATTGATATTTATGTAAATAACAATTGCCTGGAACAAGTAACCACTTATAAATATCTTGGTGTTCATATTGATTGTAAAATTAAATGGATAGAACATATAGACCATGTAGCATCTTCTGTCTCTAAAAGAATAGGTATTTTGAATAGACTTAAAAATGTCTTACCTACACAAACCCTTAACCGTATTGTGAAAAGCCTTATTTTCCCTCAGTTTGATTATTGTGATCTTATATGGAGTAGTGCTTCCAAAACCTTGATACAACGGCTTGATGTACTTTTGAATAGAGCAGGAAGGGCTATTCTTAGGGTCCCATCCAGAACATCAGCATCAGCTGTACGTAGTGAACTAGGTTGGAAAACTCTACATGAAAGAAGAGACATTCATATTAATACCAGGGTTTTTAAGTGTTTATCAGGCAATGTTCCTAGTTATCTTGGCGAAGTTTTTGTTCCAGTCAGTGAACTACATTGTCATCGAACTAGGAATAGCACTGTTGGCAATGTGGTACTTCCACTCCCTAGAACAGAAAATGGAATTCAGGGGTGCCCAGGGTTGGAATAAATTACCGCAACATTTGAAATCTCCGCATCCAACAAGTCTTAATTACTTCGTCAAACAACTCAAACAGCTCAGTTAAAAAAAAAAAAAATAAGCGGAAAAAAACAAAAAAAAACAGGGGAGGGGGGCGATGTCATCTCGCAGCGATGTTTGTATTGTATTGTAAATGTCTGTTGATCTGTGTAATTCCTATTTTATTTAAGTTTATTTCAATGAATTTTTTAACATTCTTACATTGTACATGTGTACTTTTAATTGTATTTTAATAGTAGTTTTGTGTGAGCTGGGATCCATGGGAGATCAGTGAGCTTTTCTCACTGAATGGATCACCCAGGATAAATAAGAAATAAATAAATAACCTGTATGGGCCGTTATCGCGCGTCTAACCAGGAGTTTGGCTAAGTCGTTAATCCTTGTGTGTAGGATCCGTGGTTAATTTCAATAAAATCTATTTTTACATGGCCCAAATCTGAAATAGAGAAAATTAATATTAGGTTTCTTTGCACGTCACCGACGTGTAAACAATGTATACTCAATTTGTTACCTCCCAAGTGAAAGTTAGAGAAAAATCATTCGGGTGGGACTCGAACCCACGACCTCTTACCGCTCGACCACCGAGCTTGCGAGATCGGGTGGCTGGTTCGAATCTGATATAGCAGCGGGTACCGCAATGGAACTATTCATTTCTATTCAAAGAGAAAGTTGGGTCGTTGCGCGTGCAAGATTACAGCACGTGTGGTTTAATATTCTAATTTTATTTCAAGCCTTTATGGTATGCCCATGCCGAGAAGAGTGTTCATGTAAACCATATATGTGTTTAACTTTGAACACATTAAAAACGTTCTTTTTTGCAACAATTTATAAAGTGCACGTTTAAAGGAGAGGCACCATTTATTATTATTAAAAAGTAAAGCTAAAAGTTCGAGTCACATTCGTTTTGCAGCTGTAGGCCTTTACGTACTAAACAACCCCTCAAATACAGGGTGAGTCAAAAAAGCAGAACCTAAACCCCATCAAATATATTTCATATTTTAAAAAAATATGTAGCACCAAAAATAATAATGAATAAAAAAGCCAATTTCATAAGCTATTTTTAGATGAAAAAAAATACTGAAATTGCTCAATCCGTTCGAAGAATATCACCATTTAAACACAATGTCCTTAAAACCTGTCTCGTCCAAAAAAAAGCAATTCATTGTGTGTTTTGACAGTTTGGAACAACAAAGGAAATGACACAGAATAATTGTTTCAACAACTTTCACCTATTGTAGTACATACTATTTTCATTAACAACCCTGGTTTGGCAAACAATTTGATTTATCAAAGCTCCTTTTTTTCTAAAGGAAGGGCCTTCAAAGGGATTCTGTTGAATATTTGTTTAACGTTTTAACTGAGATTTTATCGCTGGTGATGTTTGAAGACAATTGTGACGACGATTCTTGAAATCGTATTTTTTTTGGACAAGACAGGTTTTAGGGTCATTGTGTTTAAATGTTGATGTATTCTGAACGGATTGACCAATTTCAGTCATTTTTTTTTTCATCTGAAAGTATACCTTACGAAATTGGCTTTCCAGTCATTATTAATTTTGGCGTTACCTATTTCTTTGAATGTGAAATATAATTTTGGGGGTTTAGGTTCCGCTTTTTTTTTTACTCACCCTGTACATTGGCGTCGCCAAGGTTTTTCCGGGGGGGGGGGAGGTCCAGCATGTTATGAGGGGGCACCAAGGACGGACCCAACAACAACATTTCCCCCAAATGTCAAGTAAAGGCTGGACTGGACATATTTTGACGCTAGAGAGCGCTGTTTTGGTTTTCAATTTATGCAAATTTAATAAAGTCGTACGATTAAGGGAAGTCAAAACATAATTATCTCAACAAAATACTTTCAAAAGACACTTCCTTGGCAAGCGGCAAATTTCTGATTTTTGGTGGGGAGGGGGCACCTGGGAGGCACTTGGAATTTGTGGGTCCCCCCCCCCCCCTTGCTACGCCACAGTTCAAATAGCCAGTTTAATTTGTGCAACTGCTTGTTCACAATGGATACGTGTGTCTGCTTATAAAATAAAACGTGTGACCGTGCGATTTATAGTCCGTGGGACAAGATGCCGAAAACGCTTTAGTTTTCGAGATACGCGATCTGGTCCGCCGAATTTTATAAACCTTTCCAGACATGTAGATTATGATGTACCATATCTAAAAATTCAGAAATCAGAAATCGAATTCGTTGTATATAAATCAATAAGACGAATTTGATTTCTTGACTAACAAGGTTTGGCGTGGACTAGACGAACTGATCGATACTCCGGTACGAAAACGTGTACTTGTTGTTTGAATCGCTTGAACTGAACTTTAAATTGTCACACAAAAGACGAAATTAAACGTTGGAAGTGCACTGAATCGTTGGTGATTGACGAATATGAATATTAGAAATGGTGAATTCGAATGACGAACGTTTTAAAATAGCCAGGAAAACCTATATAGGCCTATTCTAATTTAATCCATTTATTTATTATCTATTCTTTTTTGGGGGGGGGATTTTAACCTGCACAGCTGTTGTTACCTACACAAGAAGAATGGTATTTAGATTACATAGGTTTGTTCAATATGTTCTGAATGAGCATTACTTGTTTATTTTTAACTAAACAAACGAGATTACGAGCACATGTACACATTACGGGCCGATTAGATAATTGCTGTATAACTAAAAACATATCAAAAGTCTCATCAAATTGAAGGACCCTCTTTTTTGTTTGCAAACTTGTTTAAGAAGAGAAAATTAATGTATATTCCCCTATTTGGAAGCAGTGAGTGGCTGCAACAACAGCAATTAGTTTCAGCTCAAACCGTTTTACCGTTTCTATAGGTTTTCTCGGTCAATTTCGGCAAATGAGCAGCCAATTTAACCACTACGCTATTCTATTTCGCGCGAAATCAAATGCTACTGAAAAGGGTCATTCGATTTCGTTTTATGACCAGTCAAATGTACTGTTGCGTCATTCGATTTAACAAAATAATCATGCAATTTAAAAATTCAACAAAGCAGTATTCAAATTCGCAGGAGCTTTTTGAGGCGTGTGTTTAGTCAATCAAATTCATTTTTGGGCAGTCATTTCTGGAATTTGTGCAATCTAAAAAACGCTTTGTTAAATTTTTGTTTCCTTAAGAATGTTGAAGGCATAAATGCGGTTCACTTTTTGGCACTTGAGTCACTTTGCCGATGTACTTCGAAGACGAGCTTTCGCTACATTTTTACACGCATATTTCTAGAAATGGCAGCTCGTGGTCGCTACGCTAGAGTGGCCCAGGTAGATCGAGAAAGGTTGATTGAGGCCTTCGAGGGAAACGAGCAAGACTACCTTGAGCTTGCGGTCAATTTGAACATCAACAAGTCCACAGCCAGATCAATTGTTGCAACATATTTGAGGACTGGAAGGCGAGAGACGCTGGCAAGAGGAGGAGCAACCCACAGCAAGATGGATGATGAAATGCGAAACCATCTGCAAGGCATCCTTGACGCTAATCCCGTCTTGACACTTCAACAAATGAAGGCTAGTTTGAGTGAGCATCTGCCAGAGAAGCCCCAGGTTTCTACTGCCACCATAGCCAGGGCCTTGGATGGGATGATGATTACACTGAAACTAGTGGAGGACGTCCCTGATGCAAGAAATTCCCCTGAAGTTCTTGATCAACGCGTCCAGTATGGTGAGTGATTCCTGCAGCATGGTGTTCTGGCGCATCTAGTCTTCATTGACGAGACAGGTTATAACGTCTGGACTCGACGCTCCCAGGGTAGAGCTCCACGAGGGATCGCTGCAAGACGAGTCGTCGACAGACAACGAGGGAGAAATTGCAATGTCACCATCGCTGTTTCTAGTGAAGTAGGCTTGGTGCACCACCGAATCGCATTCGAAACTGTGACGCGAGAGAGATTCGAGGAGTTTCTTGCGGACACAATTCAAGAGTGTGATGCAGTTTTCCCAGACGACAAACCCATTTACCTCATATACGACAATGCGAGGCCTCAGGTGCGAGCCCAACTCCCTGAAGGTGCCAACCCAATGATCCAGCTGAAGCGCCTCCCTCCCTACTCCCCATTTCTGAACAGCACGGAGATGGCACACTCTGCATTCAAGGCTGCAGTTAAACGCATCCTTGGGTTACCTGAGTGGCAACAACGTGTCGGAGACAGACAGGCTGCCCAGCAAGCAGGAATGAACATGCAGCAGTGGAGGTGCAGTCTCCTTCAACAAGCAGCCATCCAGAGCGTTGATGTCATCACCCAAGTGAAGTGCATGCAGTGGTACAACCACACCCAAACATATATGCCAAGATGTCTGGCACGCCAACAGATTGATGGTTGAGGAAGAAACAACATAAACAATAAAAAAAAAAAAACAGGAAAAACATAAAGAAACACCCCATTCAAACACAATACAAAATTAGGTCTTGGTCAGTTAACCAATAAAGATCCCCCCCCAAAAAAAAAAAAGAATGAAGAAGAAAACAAATAAGAAGAAAAAACCTCATTGGCCCCATGTAAAGTCTACTGGAAGCATAAATAAAGAAAACAAGGTTTGCCTGAATTAAAGTGAAGATACGAAACAGTTGCCTAGTACAGTTTATCTGTTTATTCGTATTTCTTTAGTCGTACTTATATGAATTCTCTTTAAGCGAAATTGATTGCCTCTTTACGAAATTGAAAAAAATTAAATCAGTAAAATCTCCAGTCGAACCAGCGTTGCTAAATTGAATGATGATTGTGTGTCACGAAAAAGAATGACGATATGCTAAATTGAACACAGTGCTAAAGGAATTGGAATGCCTCAAAACGAAATTGAATGGCCGAATTCTGAATTTGAAACGCAGTAACAACTGGAGAGGCAAAATAGCTTCAATTCGAACGCACGAAAATTAAATTGGCTGCTCATTTGCCGAAATTGACCGAGAAAACCTATATTATTTTGAATATTGTTTTAAGAACCGATTCGATATTTTGTTGTTGCTCCGTCCATTCCATAAAACCACAAATAACCCGACGGCCCACCCGCTTCCTTTTTTTGAGGCTGCATCAAATTTGTATTACTTTTTTAAAATGTCAGTCGTAACAGTTTGAAGCTGTTAGAAGTTCAGATGCTTCACCAGATTCCACACTCTTAAATTATTTTTGAAAACATGTTACCCTGAGATAAGAGTTCACAAAATCATTTTGTGGTTTAACCACACTAATCGATGTTCAGCTAAGGCCAAAAAAATAATAGGTCTGCTTCCGGTTTCCCTACCTACCATATTCTGATAGCCCCTACCCTAATTTTTTTTATTGGAAAAATGAGGGAAAAAACACCCAAAACCATCAATTTCTACCTTTTACCCTTGACTACCCGCAGACGCCTCCATATGATTGTACACACACAAAATTGGCAAAAAAAAAATTACTTCCCTACCTACCTACCCTATTTTCAAATGCCATGTAATCGGAAGCAGAACTATTTTGGGGGGGCCTAATACATAACAATGTTAACATTCGATCTTAAATTTAAAACGTGATCATTTCATGTTGGACAAAACTATAACGAAGATATTTTGGTATCCCGATGAGAAATAACAAAAAATCGAGAATATAATATGACAGAAGTGTCATCTAGCAAGCACTCAGATCATTGGCTGAGTTTGGGGTGGTCTTGTTCTTGATACTGGTTTATCATAAACATCGACGGATAGGTGCATGGTGTGTGATCCTGTTCTGAGTGCAGTGTTCGTGGCTCGTGTTCCCGCCGTAATGGACCGATTCAGTAAGCACCGCCCCATGGTGTTCTGACTGATCACAGCCGCGATTTACGTCCGATATGCCAGCACATAAGTCCGACATGCGTGCACGCGCGTATAATGCACGCGGCAGGAAAATGCAGTGTGGCATTGGAGAGGAGCACGTGTTAATTTGCCCAGTGCGCACAATGGGCGGGGCTTACTGGATCGGTCCATATTCGCGTCAACTTGAGAACAGACCGCCCGAACTCGGAGTCGGACAGCCATTGCGTGAGAAAAGGTTTCTGACTGTGTCAATATGTAGGGGCGCTGTTTCTTATGGGGTTTTTTCTCAGGTAGAAATTTCTGCGTTTTTATCCCAGATTTTCTCATTTCCAAACAAACTGTGGATCGGGGAATACTGTTTTCGATATGGTACACCATAATCTACATGTCTGTGAAGTTGTATAAAATATGGCGAACCAGACCGCGTGTGAGCGAAAAAAAAGGCCTCGTCCCATATAGTCACCGTGGAACAAAATCACATACCTTCTAGATGGCTGCAATGCGAAGGATCTATAGCATTTTCAGCCTCATGAACATCGGATCCAAATATAAAATACGAGGCTAACGTTTTGTTTGATTAGGTCAAATTGGAAGACGAATTCAAGATTTACGCCCAACGCCCCAAAGGCATTGGTGACCGACGAATTGGCTACTTGATCGTTAACTACCGTCAACCAAAAATCGATCAAGAAATCACGAGTGCTATATGAAGGAGTGAAATAAAACGTTAGATTCATCTCCATCAATTCACTGTTGTCAAATGTTGTTGTCAAAAGTCAGTTGTGAATTTTGTTTTCAATAGATGGCGTTCGTTGGTGGGCACGCACGCTGAGCATTGCCAGGCGAAACACCGCATCGTGTTCGTCAAGACGCACAAAACCAGCAGCTCTACCGTCACCACCATGCTACAGCGCTACGGCTACAAAAACAACCTCAACTTCGCCCTACCGACCAGAAGCCACGTCTTCTCCCAGTTTGTCAAGTTTCAAGCCTCACGTGTGTTTCAGTACGATCTCCAGGACGCCAAGGGTGGCTTGGTATGGCCAGCTTTGGGAGGCTTCCACATTCTAGCGAACCACGCACGATATAATCGATCTGAACAGGATGCCCTGATTCCTAACGCCTTTTACTTCACCGTCATCAGAGAGCCTGCTTCGCAGTTTGAATCCGCCTTCAACTTCTACCGCATGGACAGGTACATGCCTACCATGGCAGATATTTTCCAAATAGATCCGGACTTGTTTTCATTTTCGAGCAATTCAAAACCCATTGGTTTCATGCGGAACGGACAGATGTTTGATCTGGGGCTGGAACAGGATTCTCAGGATAACATATCCGTTGGTGAAAAAATCAACTCACTAAGTCATGAAATGGACTTGGTCATGATTAAAGAATACTTTGACGAGTCTTTGATTCTTCTCAAGAAGATGCTGTGCTGGGATTTTGACGACATCACCTACGTTTCACAACTCGTCAGGAAGTCCTCCGTTCGGAAAAACCTCTCTATTGACCTAATGGAGAAGATCTACAAGTGGAACCACGCTGACGTGAAACTCTACCGGCATTTCAACAGGACCCTGTGGGAGAAAATCCACGCGTATGGACCCGGCTTCTGGAATGATTTGGAGACATTTCGGCAAATAAACGCTGAAGTTACCAAACAATGTCTCACCAATGCGACCATGAACTTTGCCCGGTTACACAAGACAAGTCAATACACGCTTCCACAGAATGCTAGTGAGAAGTGTCGAGATTACTTCAGATTGGATCAAAGATGGGTGCCCATGCTAAGAGATTACATGGCTAGCAAGAGTAGTACTTTCATGAATAATGAAAGCTCTTCGGCGACACCTTTTGGTTAAAAAAAAACAATAGGACTTAACAACATAAATGAATGAACACAACCTGCATATTAAAACTTCATATGCAAAATAGACGCGCGTGCGCATCGATCGAGAAAAAGGGACGCGTTCAAGACCGACCGACAGACTGACAAGGCCAAGGGCGGATCGGGGGGGGGGGGGGGGGGCAGCAAGGGCCATGACCGCCCCCAAAACGAACCCATATATTTTTAAGTGACGTCGCAATTAAAGCAGGCACTGCGTACACCACCCCACCTTTGCTCAAAAAAATTGGTTAAATAGACCATCAGCTTGGGGTTTGGTCAGTATCAAATCAGGGCATAAATGATTATAGTGCGCATGCGCAAGGTATACCGCCCCTAGAGTGGTTACAAGCATTTTGATGGCCATTTTGAAAAAAAAGGTGATAGTACCCAAAAAGCTGCCACCACTGCAATGCTATCACAAATTTTCCAACTCTGGAGGTGTATACCTTGCCAGAAATCGCTATGACGATTATTCCCCTTTTTGATACCGGTTGCCAAAATTTTGGACCGAGGCTGATGGCTTAAAAGTGATCAGAAAGTGCCTAAGTTTTTTTGGGCCCCCCCCCCAAAAAAAAAGTGTTCTGCATCCGCCCTTGCCGACCGACCAACCAACCACGAAGTGACATGTAGAAGCTCCTGCCAGAGATTAAAACAGGTCGGTACTTGAGAGTTATGTGGTCTAGTGGTTACGGTGTTCGACTCGTGTGCCGTGGTACATGGGTTCGAATCCAGACGGGGAACATGGTGCTTGTGCGCTTGGGCAAATCACTTTACTACTATTGCCTCTTTCCACCCAGGAGAGAGGCAATAGTAGAGACGCTGGAGCGCCGTAATGGCAGCCGTGCTAAAGCCAGGTTATTAATAGACCGTCAGGAGTGTCACTTAGTGATAGATATGAGCGCTATACAAGAAGCCACTATTATTATTATTATGAACTTCTTGGGGAACAAGGGCAAGATTTTAATTTAGTTTTCCTCGTGTTGTATTTTGGTAACCAATTTTAAGGTAACCTAAGTGTTTGCTAATTGGTTTGGAAAATAATATCGATTTAGTTTAAGCTGATGACTGTTTTTCTAAACGAAAAGGTCTACACGTGTTAATAAAGGACGTTGGGCCTAGCTTCGCATTGAAATCGTTTCCTCTTAAGTTTGTAATTTCAACTTGCAGCCACGGTTGTGGTTTTGTAATGTTATGGGGTATTTGTTTTACAGTGGTTGGTGGTGATAATGGTGGCAGGCTAATCCTGAAAAAAAAAGAATGATTGATGATGCTACTAAACGAGGCTCGATGTATGAATGCGGGAAATATTAGTTAATAACGAAACCAAAATGACCGTGTCTCTATATTGCATGCCTTCCGTTCGTGCGGAAATCAGGAATGCATGAAATTAGAAAAACAAACATACAAGTGTATAGGCAAACCTGGAGAAGATGGCCCTAAAGCCGCGCAGAGCGCAGAATAGTCTAATTCACATGTGACAGTCAGTCAGTCATGGGCGCCGCCAGGGGGAAGGGGGGGCAAGGGGGGTACTTAACCCCCCCCAAAAAAAGCCAAAAAAAGAGAGAAAAAAGAAAAGAAAAGAAAAAGAGGCGCAAAGTCATAGTGGTGTAAATATAATGAGTTCGGGGGCAAAATGTCCCTGCCCCCCTCTAAAACTGATAAATCGAGAATTTGTTGAGAAATACAAGATTTTTTGGGGGAAAAAAATGTTTTGCCTCACGATACGCCAGATGATCAGACGATCCCCGTAGAGAAAGGGGTTTAAACCGTTCGGAAAGTGCCTTGAAGTGAGCTTGACGACCAGTTATAAAGATCCAATCATTGCCAAGCTCAAGGGCGGAACCAGAACACAATTTTTGAGGGGGCCAAAACAATTTTGGTGCCCCCAAAAAGTGGGTCAAAAAAATTACGGCGTGGGGTTCGGGGCCCGCTTAAGGGCCCGGAAATTTTTTGGATTGTAGATGCTCTGTGGTGCGATCTGAGGCAATTTCTGACCACTTTAGGGGCCAATCAGAATTTTCAATGTTTTAAAATTTCGACTTTTTTTCCAAATTATTTTGACCCACCCACCCACCCCTAATTTCGATTAATAAAAACTGATTTGTTGCGCAGTATTAAAAAAAAAACATGAACATGCACTTGCATGTACATTACATCCCACTGGCACCGGCGGGCCTGTGCGGGTTGCGTGTCCTTTCGGAAACAAATCCATTGCTGCTAAGTGCTGGGCGGAGGCTAAAACTGTCTCTTTGCAACTTTTCGACAACACTGAACATGACGCACAAACAAACCGTTCGTACGATGAACATGGGTTCTTCATTATCAATATCGGATAATTTTGTTTGCTCTTTTTTTCCATGAAAAGTGAATTTCGATTTTCAATTATTTAGCTTGACCCACCCACCCACAAGTTGGAAAAATAGTCGAAATTTTTAAACATTGAAAATTCTGAATGGCCCCTTAACCAATGTTTTTTTTGAGGAAAAGATGGTGGTGTACTCATTGCCTGCCTTTATTGCGATGTCACATAAAAAATTTTAAAAAATGGTTTCGTTTTTTTTGGGGGGGGGCATGACCCCCTTTGCCCCCCCCCCCCCCTGGATCCGCCCTTGGCCAAGCTCGGCACGAAGGGATACACATTTTTACAGACACAAAGATGGTAACAGCTGAAACGACAGACGAACGAAAATCTTTTTTTTGCCTGGAATTGAATTATTTATTTTAGTTGAAATATAGTTGAGCGTACTATATTATTATCAGAGCCATTAAGTATAATTTCCATCAGAGGATTACGTTTGAATAAAATAACGAACGTTACTTCAAAGATTTAATCAGAAATTAATTATATGGATTGTAAAGGTATTTACAAATTATCGGATATTTTGAAACGTCATGTTCGTGATAAAGAGACCGTTAAATACTCAGGAAAAATGGGTTCCCATGCACCATGCATGGGTTCTCTTACAACTAAAAAGGACTCCACAAAAACGTTTTTTCCGGAATGCACAATAATAGAAAAATCCAGTGTTTTAATTTTATTGGTAAGATTTGGTAACAACGGGAGCATGGCTCCCTGTGGTTTGTGTTTCAATACAACAGCTATAGCATTTGCAGGTAGACCTTCAGTTTATCAGTCCAAAAACGAAAAGTGCAAGCCGCAGTTCAAATACCTTCGGTGCCCCCCAGGTGCCCCCGAGATGTTTCACCCCAGTTACGCCCGTATGTACTGGTCCAGCTCTGGGCCAGTTATGGATTGGTTTTATTGGATTATTTCCAGTATAATGTATTGACCCAGAATCGATCCACCAAATACTGGTTTTAAGCCGCCCCAAAAATAAGTCGGTCCCTGGTCAGCACGCGCGTCGATTTTAATCATGCGCGTCAATCTTTTTTTTTTCCAAAATGTTCCGCGGTAGTTCCAACAGCGCCCTCTATTGCCGCACCTCCTCTTTTACCAAAGAGCACCAAGGAAAGGGAAATTGCACCAAGGCAAATGATCGAAAGCACCAAGGCAAAATATGGAGGACACCAATGTACATGAGGACACAAAAAAAGCAAAATAGTACCCCACCTTGTCTGTACAATCAAAGCTTGAAGGGAAAAAGCAAAAAAAAAAAAAAAAAAAAAAAGCCGCGTTGCCGCGTCAATTCTTGAACTTTGGTCTGACCAGAGACCGAATTTTTTTTTGGCCTTATTCTGGCATCACGTGCTGGCCCAGTTATGTTCCGCGCCGCTCCAATTCGAGAAGGCCAGCATTAGGCCAAAAAAAAGTCTCCGGTTTCTGGTATGCGCGCGCGTTGCCGTAGCCATGCGCGTCGGCAAAATGAAAAAGGTTTTTTTTTTCAATAAAAGATGATGTCTGAAAACCGCCAAATTCACTGGTTTGACTGGAATCCTGCTGCTGCACAATTTTAACGTGTTTTTAGATGGGGTTATGATCGAGAATAAGCTTTATGTGGCCTCCCTGGACTCCCATATATTTGCACTTAGTTTAGTCGGGCACCATTTGCAGTCATCAGCCGACATTTGAAGCAAAAAAAAAAAACAGGTATAAAAAAAGCTGCGTCGCCGCACCACTTTTGGGCAAGCTCCATACCAGAAACCGGAGACTTTTTTAGGCCTTAGGCTAGTACCGTTGTACCGGTAAAATAGACCGGCAGCCCAGAGAATTTTGATCAAACGAACGAGGTACCAATATCCGAGCACAGAAACATTTATTGTGTAACCTAACATATTCAGATATGGATGTCTGCCGGGAACCCCCTGCTGCATGTGGCCCCTGGGGCCCAAAAGAAGGGGCAAATAATGGGCTGGATCAAACATTCGAGGTACCACATAAAACCAAGTTTAAATGAACAATTACACCCTACTAGGTATAAAATATCCATTGCCAGACAAATTGTCTGCTGCATAGGGCCCGCCAGACACACCCAAAGTGGATGGGGGAGGGGCGTGGCCGTCACCCCCTCCTTTTCATTTTCGCTGATACGGTTACAACGTAATGATTCACAAAAAATGAAACTAGTTTATATTGATGCCTTAGCACTTGTAGAAAATGAAAATATAACTTAAGGGTGATTTCTGGTCAGGCTAATTAGTTTAAGAGTGGGGCAGAAAGCGCGAAGGGGGGCGTGGCCGCCACCCCGTCCGTGTCTATTTCGGCTTATATCGTCGCAATGCAATTTTTAAATAATGCCAAATTTCTCTGACAGGTGTGCTAATGTCTTGCAGTTATTTTGACACCAGTTGTATGAAATTAGGGCATATCTTCGTCAACAAATGTTCATTTTCCAGAACAGGTAGGCCTAAGTAAACTTTTCCCATTGAAAATGTACACGTATGCACATATGCATGGAAGTGCACTTGAGAGCGGCTCAGGCTAACAGATCGAATTAAAACTTCCCAGATGCATTACAAATTTAAGAGTATGAAAGTAAAACCATGTTTTATTGGTGCCTTGGTAGTTTTAGAAAATTACATCGTAAGAATGATTTCAGGTTAGACAAAATTAGCTTAAGAAAAGAGTGGAGGGGGCGTGGCCGCCACCCCCTCCATGTGCATTTTCGTCCATATCGTCACAATGTGTTTGTTTTTAATCCTGCCAAGTTTCTCTGACATATTAACTGATGTATTTCAGTTGCTTTGAAACCAATATTATGAAAATAGAGCACACCTTCGTTGCCAAACATCCGTTTTCCAAAACAGGGAAGCCTAATGTTAACTTTTCCATGATCATGTTTAATGTCTATGACAGTGCGCATGAGAGTGCCGACTTTAGATGACCATGGCAACTAAATATTTTTAGAGGTTCAATTGAAAGTTCACATATGTACTTCAGATGTCCGGTGGTGTTTTTTTTTTAACCTAAGTACCGGTAATTACATTGAAACACACAGGACTAGCAAGAGATGACTAGTCATAGAACAGTAACGGCTTTGTGGATTGGGCTGAAGATGGAATTGAATCTTAATGGGCAGCAGTGCAGGGTGGTTAAGGTCAAATATTTTGTACAAAATTGAGCACATTTTAACACATTTTTCAATGGAATATATAGCAGTATTCACTATTACACCAGTTGTATCCATATCGACTTGGGTAAACCACGTTTTAACTCTATCAATCCAACTGGTCACCGTCAGAGTGCGACGTTTGTCCGATGTGCCTGTTGTAAATATTCATTTGCACCTGCTTCGGTATTTAAAAAAGGGAGGGGGGGGTGGAGACCAGAGGATGTGAGAAAATTGTCTCTGGGGTCTAAATTCTTAACAAGAAAAAGGTCGCATTTTGAAGTAAATTGGGTATACAAAGTTCACTCAGTGACCTCTTAAAGGTCACCAGAGGTCAGACATGAACTGTCCATATAGCCTATGTGGAAATTCATATCATGGCAAGAAGACTAGAAGTTTAGATGTGGGTCGTGAAAAAGTAGGGTTTACTTAGTTAATAAATAGTCTACCTGATGTTCCCCAATACCGATGTTTCCCGAGATCCTTAGGATAGAGGGTTAGGGTTAGGATAAGGGTTAGGGTTATAGGGTAAGGATTTCGGGGAACATTGGTATTGGGGAACATCGGTATTGGGGAACAGAAGTATGCACCTGCTCCATGGTTAATATCACCATTGAGGTTTTTCTACCCTCATGATATCACCAAAAACCTTGGGCATTTGAACATTGATCTCTTGAAGCACACCAGAGGTCAGAGATGGAATGCCCTTCACGAAAATTCTTTTCATAGCATAACCAACTGCAATTAGAATTGTTCTGAAAAAAATGCCTAAGTTAACTACTTGTAGTTGTCGAATAAATAGCCTATAAATGTACACAAAAGCCATGGCCTCTGCCAATTATGAATTTTTCCATATCGGATCATTACTTATATTGCATATAGAACTTAAATTGTATATATATAGTATATACGAATTGTTTGATCTCAAAGTAAACAACTGTTTAAGATGTTTGACTTTAACAGTCGATACTGCTCAATAAGATTCAATTCCATCTTCAGACTCAAGTCCCAAAACCACTTTGACTAGTCATCTGCTACCTGTGTGATGTAATTACTTATAAAGTTTTATAATAAGAGGACCACTTGACATCTGTAGTGTAAGTTTTAACTCAACCTTTTATAATGCATAGCAAACATGTCAGAGAAACTTGGTACGATCAAAACATGCATTGTGACAATATACAAATGTAGGCACAAATGCACATGGAGGGGGTGGCGGCCAACTCTTTTTGCACCACTCTTAAGTTAATTTGTCTACTCTAAAACCGGCACATTGTAACTTTCTAAAACTATCAATTAAGGCATAACAAAAACTGGTTATATTTTCGTACTCTTAATTTTAATGCATCTGGGAAGTTTCAAATGAATTCGATCTGCCACTCTCATGCGCACTACCGGTACCATGCACTTGTGCATGTGTGTACATTATCAATGGGAACAGTTGTTCAATTATGAATGGGAGCTCTGTTTTCATGCTTTCAAAACAACTAAAATAAAACGCCGGCACCGGGCTAGTTCTGCCCCATATCACAGTTCCTAATTGTTTGCTGGGTAGTGACATGGCCTCGACTCTATTCTCATAAAATTGGGTAAGCCTGAGGGGCAAAACAAGATGTAAAACGATAAGAATGAAGCCCCTGTTATTACAGACAATACTCAATGGCCTTCTGTGCGATAATAACACAATCGATAAGCCGGTTATTCAGAGGAATCAAGCGAATCGGAATTCGGAATAATTGAACTTACTTTTTGGTTTCACGGTCTCCCTTTGAAATGGGGGATTTTTTTATTGAAAGCCCAAAACTGCGAACAAGTATATAATATGCGACTGAAGTTCTGCTTTACGTGCACACACATCATTCTGTGATTTTGACAACGAGCAACAAGACAACGAGCAGCAAGTCCGAATCGTGAGTACATGTATTAATATGAAACCTCAATAATTTCTTAACTTGTATACAAGTCGCAAAACTCTTCCACAAATTAAGGACCTGATATTTCGTTCTTGGGAGATTTTATTTCAATACTGCAAACACAGGGCGTTTTTCTTTTTCGTTTCCCTTTGAGAAACTACGATACGATACTACGCTATTTTTAGGATCGTTTCGGGAGAGTGACCTGTCACGTGCGAGGAATCAACCAATAATAAAGAAAAAGGCTTTCGATTTTCAAAGGAGTCGGATTTTCATGTGACACCGGTACGAGAACGAATTTCGGGGGTCACAATTTGTCGATCGTACCACGATCTGACCTATCTCAGTTTTTGCCATTTCGAGAAAAACGCGTTTGAAGTTGGGCCTATTCTGCATCCACTCTGTCACCCAGAACACTAATTGTTGTGGACTCAGTTTTTATATATAATAAAAATGGATAGTTGAATTATGATTTTAAATTGTTTCTAAGGCAAAAACTCATCATTACCAGGTGAAAAATAGGCGCCAAATCATATTTCATGCGCGCGAACGGCGACCTATCTAGATAGGTCACTTCGTGAAAATTTAATTTTCATTTTTCATGCGCGCGAACGGCGACCTATCCAGATAGGTCACTTCGTGAAACGAACAATTTCGATTTCTCTGTGGCTGATAGTGACTTATTCTCAGACAACACACAAAACCACACAGTGAGAGTTGATTTGACTTTTCTGGCATAGATTTTTCGAGCCGCTAATTTATTTCTCCTCGGTCAATGTTTAACTGTATTAAATGTCCGTAAATACGTTAACAAGCTATAACATACCAATAATTACCTATTTGCTAAAAGATATTTGCCTTAGAAACATTTTAAACAAGCTAAAGATGGGGCACGCTTGCCCAAAATACTTGCCATGCTTGGCATCACTGGGCCCGAAACCTTGGCACGCTTGCCAACCATTCACTAGCCCCACCAGAAAAAGTGGATGCTAGCCAAAGTGTTTTGTCAAATGACTTTAGTATTTGTCACGTGACTTTAGTATTTATATGCCTATATTACTCAAGAAGTTATTTGTAGTTAAAGCACACCGATTTGGTCCACCGCTCGTAGATACGGTTGGCATGCCCCATCAGTACAAATGGGTGCTTGGCGTACTTTTTTACAAAGATTAAACACAACTTGTTAAAAGTTTAACGTCCAAATTCAAAGGTTTTACTTAAGAACTATTCACCCAACTTGTTTATTTAGTTTGAATTGAGGCACTGCCCGTCGCTCCCAGCCAACTTCGCCAAACGCGCAACGCACGCCCCATGGGACGACAGGCAGTACCCTCACACCCTTACCCCGAAGAGTAGAACCCCAAAAGAGAAAGACTGAACGAAACAAATACTAGCGCCAGGGTTATACTGGAGTTGTGTATAACTATTACCAACTGAGGATAGAGTGCGAACTGCTACCATTTCTTTCTTTTTTTAAAGAGTTAATGTTGCAAACATCATTAATGCTGTAACCTCATCGGCATGCTTGCCACAAATCTTTGGCACTCTTCCTAAACCACACAAGCTGCCTCTTTGAAATTTTGAAAATTAAACATGCATAATAATAATACACATTACAAAGTTAGGTATTATAATCATACGCCACAACTTGATCATTGGATAACGTTTGTCAAAAGAGGTAAAACTAATTACAAATGTTGATATATTTCTCAAACCAATCCTGATCGATATAGATTCAATTGATACAAAGGGGGAAATGTTAGTGGCTACCTTCTAAGCTGGCCTACAAAGTGGCAAAACCATTCGTGGACAAAAAGAGGACGAAATGTACTATTTTCCCGTGAGTAGATCTAATCTAAATCAGTAAGGGGAAATATCCCCAACATATCAACCTCCTATTGTGAGTATCACTAACGTGAACTAAACAAATTAGCTAGTATTGCTCCTGAAAAAGGCGAAAAGCCAGTACGAAACCCATCCTGGTGGAAAAGATCGAAAAAATTCCCTTCCGGCTCCCAAATAGGCGACCAAGTTTTCTTTGTAGTTTTTGGAGCAAAATTATCTGGAGGCATAAAGATTTTTTTTTTTTTTTTTTTTACTTTTCAATTGTTTATGTTATCTTCCAAAAGTACAATTATTAATTAAATCCCCCTAAAACAATGAACTTGTTGAAGTAGCCGTTATTCAATGTAAACAGTCAATGTATAGCTATAGTTAGTCATTTAAACTGTTACCTGAAGATGAGTGTTCCGTGTTCAATGTAAAATAAAATACTGTACAAAATAGCCAGGACTATGTACAACCTACAATCCAATACAATGACATCAAAAGCATGAATGCAATTTAGAAAATTCCAAGTTGTAATTTACTTAGCAATATTCATTTCATGTCAAGAAATGTTTCTAACCAGCTTTATCTGTTCCTTGTTTTTGAAGCCCAATTTATTTTTTTTTTGAAAAATCATAACCAGCAGGAGGCTTAAGTACGGTGCATCAACGTTAACATGACAATGGGAAATATTATTACACTTACAGGTAGGCCTACATATGAATAGTACAATTTTCAATTATTTAGCTTGACCCACCCACCCACAAGTTGGAAAAATAGTCGAAATTTTAAAACATTGAAAATTCTGAATGGCCCCTTAACCAATGTTTTTTTTTAGGAAAAGATGGTGGTGTACTCATTACTCATTGCCTGCCTTTATTGCGATGTCACATAAAAATTTTAAAAAATGGTTTCTTTTTTGGGGGGGGGGGCATGACCCCCTTTGGCCCCCCCCCCCCCCCCCCCCCCATGGATCCGCCCTTGGCCAAGCTCGGCACGAAGGGATACAAATTTTTACAGACACAAAGATGGTAACAGCTGAAACGACAGACGAACGAAAATCTTTTTTTGCCTGGAATTGAATTATTTATTTTAGTTGAAATATAGTTGAGCGTACTATATTATTATCAGAGCCATAAAGTATAATTTCCATCAGAGGATTACGTTTGAATAAAATAACGAACGTTACTTCAAAGATTTAATCAGAAATTAATTATATGGATTGTAAAGGTATTTACAAATTATCGGATATTTTGAAACGTCATGTTCGTGATAAAGAAACCGTTAAATACTCAGGAAAAATGGGTTCCCATGCACCATGCATGGGTTCTCTTACAACTAAAAAGGACTCCACAAAAACGTTTTTTCCGGAATGCACAATAATAGAAAAATCCAGTGTTTTAATTTTATTGGTAAGATTTGGTAACAACGGGAGCATGGCTCCCTGTGGTTTGTGTTTCAATACAACAGCTATAGCATTTGCAGGTAGACCTTCAGTTTATCAGTCCAAAAACGAAAAGTGCAAGCCGCAGTTCAAATACTTTCGGTGCCCCCCAGGTGCCCCCGAGATGTTTCACCCCAGTTACGCCCGTATGTACTGGTCCAGCTCTGGGCCAGTTATGGATTGGTTTTATTGGATTATTTCCAGCATTATGTATTGACCCAGAATCGATCCACTAAATACTGGTTTTAAGCCCCCCAAAAATAAGTCGGTCCCTGGTCAGCACGCGCGTCGATTTTAATCATGCGCGTCAATCTTTTTTTTTTTCCAAAATGTTCCGCGGTAGTTCCAACAGCGCCCTCTATTGCCGCACCTCCTCTTTTACCAAAGAGCACCAAGGAAAGGGAAATTGCACCAAGGCAAATGATCGAAAGCACCAAGGCAAATTATGGAGGAAACCAATGTACATGAGGACACAAAAAAAGCAAAATAGTACCCCACCTTGTCTGTACAATCCAAGCAAGAAGGGAAAAAAAAAAACCGCGTTGCCGCGTCAATTCTTGAACTTTGGTCTGACCAGAGACCGAATATTTTTTGGGGGCCTTATTCTGGCATCACGTGCTGGCCCAGTTATGTTCCGCGCCGCTCCAATTCGAGAAGGCCAGCATTAGGCCAAAAAAAGTCTCCGGTTTCTGGTATGCGCGCGCGTTGCCGTAGCCATGCGCGTCGGCAAAATGAAAAAGGTTTTTTTTTTCAATAAAAGATGATGTCTAAAAACCGCCAAATTCACTGGTTTGACTGGAATCCTGCAGCTGCACAATTTTAACGTGTTTTTAGATGGGGTTATGATCGAGAATAAGCTTTATGTGGCCTCCCTGGACTCCCATATATTTGCACTTAGTTTAGTCGGGCACCATTTGCAGTCATCAGCCGACATTTGAAGCAAAAAAAAAAACAGGTATAAAAAAAGCTGCGTCGCCGCACCAATTTTGGGCAAGCTCCATACCAGAAACCGGAGACTTTTTTTAGGCCTTAGGCTAGTACCGTTGTACCGGTAAAACGCCGGCACCGGGCTAGTTCTGCCCCATATCCCAGTTCCTAATTGTTTGCTGGGTAGTGACATGGCCTCGACTCTATTCTCATAAAATTGGGTAAGCCTGAGGGGCAAAACAAGATGTAAAACGATAAGAATGAAGCCCCTGTTATTACAGACAATACTCAATGGCCTTCTGTGCGATAATAACACAATCGATAAGCCGGTTATTCAGAGGAATCAAGCGAATCGGAATTCGGAATAATTGAACTTACTTTCTGGTTTCACGGTCTCCCTTTGAAATGGGTGGGTTTTTTTATTGAAAGCCCGAAACTGCGAACAAGTATATAATATGCGACTGAAGTTCTGCTTTACGTGCACACACATCATTCTGTGATTTTGACAACGAGCAACAAGACAACGAGCAGCAAGTCCGAATCGTGAGTACATGTATTAATATGAAACCTCAATAATTTCTTAACTTGTATACAAGTCGCAAAACTCTTCCACAAATTAAGGACCTGATATTTCGTTCTTGGGAGATTTTATTTCAATACTGCAAACACAGGGCGTTTTTCTTTTTCGTTTCCCTTTGAGAAACTACGATTCGATACTACGCTATTTTTAGGATCGTTTCGGGAGAGTGACCTGTCACGTGCGAGGAATCAACCAATAATAGGGAAATAGGCTTTCGATTATCATAGGAGTCGGATTTTCATGTGACACCGGTACGAGAACGAATTTCGGGGGTCACAATTTGTCGATCGTACCACGATCTGACCTATCTCAGTTTTTGCCATTTCGAGAAAAACGCGTTTGAAGTTGGGCCTATTCTGCATCCACTCTTTCACCCAGAACACTAATTGTTGTTGACTCAGTTTTTATATATAATAAAGTTGGATAGTTGAATTATGATTTTAAATTGTTTCTAAGGCAAAAACTCATCATTACCAGGTGAAAAATAGGCGCCAAATCATATTTCATGCGCGCGAACGGCGACCTATCTAGATAGGTCACTTCGTGAAAATTTAATTTTCATTTTTCATGCGCGCGAACGGCGACCTATCCCGATAGGTCACTTCGTGAAACGAACAATTTCGATTTCTCTGTGGCTGATAGTGACTTATTCTCAGACAACACACAAAACCACACAGTGAGAGTTGATTTGACTTTTCTGGCATAGATTTTTCGAGCCGCTAATTTATTTCTCCTCGGTCAATGTTTAACTGTATTAAATGTCCGTAAATACGTTAACAAGCTATAACATACCAATAATTACCTATTTGCTAAAAGATATTTGCCTTAGAAACATTTTAAACAAGCTAAAGATGGGGCACGCTTGCCCAAAATACTTGCCATGCTTGGCATCACTGGGCCCGAAACCTTGGCACGCTTGCCAACCATTCACTAGCCCCACCAGAAAAAGTGGATGCTAGCCAAAGTGTTTTGTCAAATGACTTTAGTATTTGTCACGTGACTTTAGTATTTATATGCCTATATTACTCAAGAAGTTATTTGTAGTTAAAGCACACCGATTTGGTCCACCGCTCGTAGATACGGTTGGCATGCCCCATCAGTACAAATGGGTGCTTGGCGTACTTTTTTACAAAGATTAAACACAACTTGTTAAAAGTTTAACGTCCAAATTCAAAGGTTTTACTTAAGAACTATTCACCCAACTTGTTTATTTAGTTTGAATTGAGGCACTGCCCGTCGCTCCCAGCCAACTTCGCCAAACGCGCAACGCACGCCCCATGGGACGACAGGCAGTACCCTCACACCCTTACCCCGAAGAGTAGAACCCCAAAAGAGAAAGACTGAACGAAACAAATACTAGCGCCAGGGTTATACTGGAGTTGTGTATAACTATTACCAACTGAGGATAGAGTGCGAACTGCTACCATTTCTTTCTTTTTTTAAAGAGTTAATGTTGCAAACATCATTAATGCTGTAACCTCATCGGCATGCTTGCCACAAATCTTTGGCACTCTTCCTAAACCACACAAGCTGCCTCTTTGAAATTTTTGAAAATTAAACATGCATAATAATAATACACATTACAAAGTTAGGTATTATAATCATACGCCACAACTTGATCATTGGATAACGTTGTCAAAAGAGGTAAAACTAATTACAAATGTTGATATATTTCTCAAACCAATCCTGATCGATATAGATTCAATTGATACAAAGGGGGAAATGTTAGTGGCTACCTTCTAAGCTGGCCTACAAAGTGGCAAAACCATTCGTGGACAAAAAGAGGACGAAATGTACTATTTTCCCGTGGGTAGATCTTATCTAAATCAGTCCCCAACATATCAACCTCCTATTTTGAGTATCACTAACTAAAGATCGAAAAAAATCCCTTCCGGCTCCCAAATAGGCGACCAAGTTTTCTTTGTAGTTTTTGGAGCAAAATTATCTGGAGGCATAAACATTTTTTATTTTTTTTTTTTACTTTTCAATTGTTTATGTTATCTTCCAAAAGTACTATTATTAATTAAATCCCCTTAAAACAATGAACTTGTTGAAGTAGCCGTTATTCAATGTAAACAGTCAATGTATAGCTATAGTTAGTCATTTAAACTGTTACCTGAAGATGAGTGTTCCGTGTTCAATGTAAAATAAAATACAGTACAAAATAGCCAGGACTATGTACAACCTACAATCCAATACAATGACATCAAAAGCATGAATGCAATTTAGAAAATTCCAAGTTGTAATTTACTTAGCAATATTCATTTCATGTCAAGAAATGTTTCTAACCAGCTTTATCTGTTCCTTGTTTTTGAAGCCCAATTTTTTTTTTTTTGAAAAATCATAACCAGCAGGAGGCTTAAGTACGGTGCATCAACGTTAACATGACAATGGGAAATATTATTACACTTACAGGTAGGCCTACATATGAATAGTACAATTGGGCTGCTAAAGATCTGGGTCAAGCACGTAAACGCACAACATGTGGTTAAATGTATGTCTACAGATCATATAACTTAGCGAACACTTTATGTTGTATTATCCTCCTCAATGCCATCATGCTTTTAAATCGCGTCAACTTAATTGAAATGGATGTCCATAGAATTTAATAGGTCATGGTCAAAAAAGTGTGCCGCTTTTTCTGTTGACAGCTTTTTTCCTGTTGACAGTTATTTTCCTGATATTCGCCTTTAGGCAACAGTTTATAATCTGGACGCCAAACTGGCCAAATTGCTGGACGATCAGTACCAACCGAACTTGACAAGATGTCCAACCTTGGAAGACCTCTATGTTGCAAATCTGAAGAGCATTCGATGGTATGAGTCCCGGTCCGAAACCAATTTGTAGCGTGTGCTATCCCCTGGCATCCTGCAACAGAAAATACTCAAAGCAGCAGCTATCTTTTGCAAACATATCTATCTTTTAAATGTATTCATTTATTTTTTGTTGATGTGTTCGTTAGGTTGTTTGTTTGTTGGGATGTTGGGGTGTTTGTTTTATTTGTTTTGTCAGGGTGTTTGTTATCATTGAGTGGTCGGGCACAACCCGACCACTCTTTGGATCTGTTACGATTAATCTTTCTTTCTTTCTTTCTTTCTTTCTTTCTTTCTTTCTTTCTTTCTTTCTTTCTTTCTTTTTTTTTCCGGACAATACTTCTCCGCGGGTTTTCTCTTAAACGGTATATGGTATGAACTTGTAACTTCCACTATATATCGGGGGTTTTTGTCGTGTACGTGAACTCACTTGACCTTTACTTCCGGGTCTACCGGAAGGTCAAAGTTAGGTGAATTCAAAATGAAGACCTTAGCCTGACATCAAAACAAAGCAGCATTTCTTCCAGATGGTTCACGGTATGATCACTAAACCTTGTGTGAACTTGAACCATGTTACGAAGATGTTATAATTTTGTTACGTCATCATGACGTCATCAGGTAACAAATTACAAGCGATTTAAGGGCAAATTTTGACAAAATAGTTTGCGTTATATCTTTTGAACTAAATAGAGTATCGTGTTCGTTTTTTCTTGAGGTTGTAGACTATGCCGTGAGGAACATTTCGTATTCCCGGACGCAAAACCGCTTGACCTTTACTTCCGGTGTTACCGGAAGTGCAATAAAAACTGAATATAACTCAAAAGCGGAAGCATTTTACTACAGACATATATATTATGAAAATGTTAAGTGAGGATGCAAGACGCAAAAAACAGTGTGATGACGTCATCATCCGAAAGGGCGCCCCCTATCGGCACATAAAATAGAGTTTCCCTTCTTTAATTGTAAAACCATCCGTCCAAATTTTACCAAATCGCCCCTTGACATTCTCTAATTAACCTCAGATAACTTCGCAAGGTTTCAAATTCATGACGTCATCAGACCAGAAGTTACTTTAAGGAGAATTTGAAAAAGATCATAGTTTTAATTTAATTCTATCATTTGATCCCTGTCATATCTTCGTAGTCCAAATACTGATATCCATTACAATGTTCACCTTTGGATCTCTAATGCTGTGACGTCATCAAACCGAAGTTAGGTGTTATCAATACGCCATCAAACCGGAAGTTAGGTGTTATTAATACAAATAATTATATTTCCCATATTTTCATACGTTATTTTAACTTTACAATGAAAAATTATCCTCTCCAAACTTTATCAGTATTCACTAACCATTTTTGACTGATGACGTCATCAAACCAGAAATAACTTTTTGTGTGCATAGAATGTTTACTGAAATTAATCACACTGTAAAGATACCTTTTTGAAACATTGACTGTACTTAAAGGAATTTAATTTTGTGATCCTTTTTTCTACATAAACTTATATTCCTAACTTAACTGGGCAGTGTATAATGAAAAGGCTGTCCGCCCGACCACTCTGCGTTTGTAACTCAACAAACGCGAAACTCTAGTTATTATCATTATTATTATATAATCTACAGCATCCCACAAATGGGCGACAGGTTTTTTTTTTTTTTTTTTATTCATTTGGCAAGTCACATCTGGATTTTGGCAACATGCCATGTGGGGGTGACAAATTGGAGTCACCCTATTGTTAGAACGACCCTTAGGACAAGGAATGTTTGTGTTGCAAATTATCTAGCTCGAGAAAATCACCAAATTTCGTGAAGAAAAGATAAGTGGTAAACTTGGATTAGGTGATAGTTTAGGTTTGTGCACAAGTCTATGGTAAAGTCTCGCTGTTATAGCATTAGTAGAAATTATTACTATTTAATTATTAAAGTTTGCAGTATAGTATTTCATTATAATTTTAAATGTTAGTATAAATTCCTATGGCTTCACAAGTTGGCCCAGGTGACAGAAAAGGATGCCAAGCTAAACAGGAGAGAAACTATACCTCGAATGAATAGGTCCCCCTTAATTGTGTGAAAAAGAATCGAGCATTTTGCTGCAATCATACAAGGTTGGGTTAATTACACATTGTCAAGCGGAGCCTACTGCGTTTTTGGACTCTTTGGCCAGGTTACTTGGGTTAACAATTAACATGCCTTTTCAAAATAGGTTAAGATAGTGCCCATCCAGTGATCTCAGATCTGCCAACCTGCTCCGAAAGCAGCTGCTCTGACAAACAGCGATCATGTCATGTTTGGCCAAAATCGCACATTTATGTGGAAGTACTATCTTATATTAGGAACTGTCAAGATTAATCATGCCAGTGGGGACACTGTCACTCCTCTTCTCTTTCTTCTTCTTCTTCTTCCTCTTCTTCTTCTTCTTCTTCTTCTTCTTCTTCTTCTTCTTCTTCTTCTTCTTCTTCTTCTTCTTCTTCTTCTTTTTTTTAAATTTGCATTAAAGTGCTGTCTTTACATTTAATTGTGTAGGCCCTACCATTAATATCATCATGATTATGTTTATAACTATGTAATTGGCATTACATGCACTGGCTAAAAACTGCTCAGTTTGCACCGCGGTGTTATTATAGGCCCCGGGCCCCTATTTATTGTATTAGGAACCAATGCCGAAAGATCGGCTCAAATTAGCTGCAGAACAATAACATTTGTCAGACTAGAAATGGTCTGAAAAATTAATTAATTGCCCAGGGCTGTTTTAGCTCTAGTATCTTATTGGATTTGTTTTTGTTTTTTTTATATTTGTGTGTTTGTTAGTTTATTTATTTATTATTCATTTACTTCTTATTATGTTTTACGGTTACATTTGCACTCTGGCCACGATTTGAGACAAATACAAATGAAACAAATGAAATAACTAAATAGGCGCTAGATCCTAGCCCCTGCTAATTCTTTCATGAGTTTTAGTCCTATATGTTAGGAAAACAAAACAAGCCCCACTGCATGCCTCAACATGTCGTAATATAGGGCCAACAAAGGCCTATTAATTATATTATTAAACATAAATGGCTGGCTGCAAAAACAAAACTATTGATAAAATTCAATAATTATTTTTTTTCAAATAAAATGAAGTAGGGACCAGGTATCTCCGTTGAGGGAAGTAATTGCAAAAGTGAATGAACAAGTCAACTGAACACTTAGAATAGCTCATGCTCATAGTCATAGCTTCAGGAAACCAGGATGTAGGCCAAGGCTGATTAATTATGGCAAACAATTAAGCTACCCAGGTATAAAGTTGACTCAGTAGGCTACCAAAGTTAAGGCCTCGGTGATCAAGTGATGCCTAATCGCATTGATTCGCCTTCAGCTTGCAGTGGATAGGCATTTTAACTATCGCGCTTAACGGTCCCCGAATGATCGAATTTGTATCAAATCGGCCTAGGCCTATGCCGACGTCAACACCGATGCCCCGTCTGAGTGATCATGGTGATATTACATTCAACGTGCCGTAAAACTCATCAGACATATTGGACAATTTGTTCAGTTTAAATATCAAAATCATTAATTTAACTATCCAAATTAGGTCAAACCATGGAGGTATGAAAAGAAATTGTAGGATTCAATCAAATGTCGATCGATCTCCGCACTTTCGATAGGGCCCTACCGCTGGCTGCGTATAATTGAGGCCTAGCGTTAAAACTAAAATCATAGAAAGTAAACGGTGAACAAAAACTTCACACGATATTGCACAGTACAACAAACAAACGGGCCCAAAACAAATGCTGTGTGATTGGAAAATTCTCACCTTGAATTCCATCATGCATGGCATGTTTGAGCATGATATCCAAGCCAGTGCACGAAGCGGGAAATCTCGAGAGAGGGTCGTGAAGAACAAAGATCCAGCGTTCACACTGTACTGCAGGCCGACACGTTGCAGCGGTCAAGCATGCCGAGAACACCAGCCACCAGCACCGGGGCGGATTGAAAGCTGGGCGGGGATGCGCCGCCCGGACTCGGCTGGAACGCACCGTCATGACCGTTGATTTAGCACCTGGACTTCGGTGTCCGTAAACTTATGACGGGCCATGATTCAAGTAGGACTACACAAGCTTCAATCATGGACGGCTGACATAATCCAGTGGTGATTCAGCATTCCAAAAAGTACGAGTAGGCCTAGGCCTATAACGCTGAGAATTCATGTTCTGGAAACCTTGGACGGCTGTGACAAATCGCATGAAATGTCGACAAGCGAGCTGATCGCTTGGGCTGACGTTCTGACGAGGCATCTTGTAAAAGCTGTATGGTCGTACTCGTAGGATATACGTAAATGCCGTCTCCAAAACCCCAAAAGATCACTGAAGTCAGCTGCATAACATTTGCAAATCATAAGTTCACTAACCGAAGTTCAAATGTGAACGAAAAATCCATGGCATGTAAGCGAACAAACGCTTATTCCAGGAGAAATTTATTTTTGTTGTTGCGGTCTCAAAAAACTACGCCGAACTGGCCTTTCATCCACGGCGTGCACGTCGTAGTGCGTCTGTGCGCGTGCTTGGACTTTTCACATTTGTATCAATATTTATATCTCCCTTGGAAGTTACATCAACTTTTACTATACCTCATACATATTCATGATCGAGAGCCGAACTCTCACTGGTCAATTCACCATCACGTGCAAGATGTTATTCTTGCTGTTTACCAAACGCGCGCGCGAGGATTCACGCAAAGGGTAAATACGCATGCGTAGTAGACTGTCGCATGGTTTACCCGTGCGACAGTCTACTACGCATGCGCTTTACAGAGCAATCGAGGAACTGTCGCACGGGTGCAGTACGCACGCGCGAGCATCGCCCAGGAGAGATGCATGGTTGCACGGTTCGCGTAAATGTTAATTTCCAGAGCTCAATGATGCCATACTGGAGAAAATGTATAGACCGTGTAAATGTTTCCTGTACAAAAGAAAGTTGTACACAACAACTGTATTTACAACTGTAGTAACTGTATTATATTGCAAACGAACCGAACTAGTAATTGAAGTTGAGCAACAATATTCTTTTGGTGAGCTGTACAAGTTTCCCCGAATTTTGTTTTAGGTGCATATATAAAAAAAAAATCGACAACTGAATATGTATGAAGTATAGTAAAACAAATATAACATGGTTTATTTCGGGTGGACAGTCGATATTAGCTCCCCTCGGTATTGGAAGTTGACAAACTAGTTCCCTCGGCTTCGCCTTGGGAACTAGTTTGTCATCTTCCAATACCTCGGGGAGCCAATATCGACTGTCCACCCTCAAACCATGTTATATTTGTATACTGCCTATGAACAGCACTTTTGGTTTGATGCCAGCACTGGATGGCCAGCTGCAATTTGGGCAATCAATATGTTTACTAATTCCATACCATAGCAACCATCCGCTGATTAACAGAGAGTTTGAAACTCAGCCAGCCGTGTGTTCGTGGAGAATAATGTATTTAATCTTTCAGTGATAAAATGAATAATGTCATATGCGCATGCGCGCGCGTGGACCTCTTCATGTTAAGTCATATGAAGGTTCGTTGCAATCTGTTGTTTTTTATATTAATATTATTGTTATTAGAGATTAATAAGCTCTTATAAATTAAAACGCTGTTATAGTGAAGGAAATTAGAAAATGAATTCCAATATATACGGGGTGCATAGAAACTTGTTGAATACATTGTGTATACCTCCTAGTAATAATTCTTGAACCAATTCATTGTAAAGGTGTACTTTTATTCCATTATTTTTTTATTCTTATCTGTAATAAAAATCGAGAAATAAAATCCGTGGACAAACAGGTATTTTGTTTAAACAAGACTCACAAGTTCAAGTTACACTGAAACAGAACGATAAACGTACATGTACACTCTCATAATCTTCAAATCTTTGTTTTCTATTTTTTTTATTCTTCAAAGTGTACTTTCTCATTATTTAAACCTATTATTCCCTAAAAACAGCAATTTTCTGCAGATACTTTCTAAGCCTCCCCCTTAAAAAAAAATGATATATCTCAATGACATACATTAAAAAAAAAAAAATCAACTGCATTTTAATTAACAATGCTCAAAACGTCAAAACTGAATATAAATAGGATGTTTAGTCGCGTTAATACAATGAAGATTTTGTTTTTTGAGAGTCGACTATCAGAACAGGCCATATTTAAGGGCCACTCAAGGGATAGAAAAGTAAATCTAAGAAACAAATTAATTATGTAGAAAGACAAGTACTGCCTTGATGTTTGAACTGGGACTGACCATCATGACGCAGGTCTGATGTAAAGAGTTCAACAGAGAGGCAGTGCAAAGAGTTGTTCTCAGCAATCTTTCAAAAATAAGGGCTTTACTTGAAACGTTCTTAGCAATGAATTTCCTTTATTTGTTCGTAATTACTGTTTTTAGTTTTTAGTTTTACTGCAAACTATAGGTGCATAAATGAAATAGTGCGAGAACTGACAATAAAAGAGGTATCTCTTAATATTTCAAGATAAGTCTGGCATTAGTGAAGGATGTAGATCAAAGGTCGGCTCACAGTGACGGCTAAGGAACAGCTCCTGGTTCAAAGATTGTGGAGTTACAAGCACAAAACATCGAAAATCTGGAGAAATGCACACAAAAAAGAATAGAAATACATTCACTCAACATTTTATCGGCAATCAGTAGTCGCCCTTTGTTTTAAGGCTGAGCATTTTCCCGTTACATTCCGAGGTAGACTGTGGCAGGTGACTCATGCATTCAGTAATCAATACTTTTTTTATTAAATTTAAATTTAGAATCCACATGAACATTTATTTGGATTTTTTTCTTTTAATATAGTCGACATGGAAAATCAATATAAAACAATTACAGTTTGTTAAAGGGAATTAATAAATCATTCAGAATGTGTTTAATGTCTGGTGTCACTATCCTTGCAGTCTGTGTCTTTTTTAGATGTTGACATGTTTTGCAATATTAACTATCATAGCAACTGAATTTAACTTTGTTGCAGTTCACCCCATTTAATATATTCTTTTTGTTATCTGCATTGACTTTAGAAGTGTAGCAAGACTGGAGTACTAAATCAACATTTAAAAAGAGAGAAACGAAGCACAAAGCGTAAAAACGAAGAACAGACGCAATGCTCTTTTTGATCTGAGCCGGGCAGTATAAACCCAAAATAATAAGCAGCAAAAGTATGAAAGGTTAAATAATAACCTTTATGTTAAAAAAAGTGCTGACATTCATGCTCCAGGAATCGATCACTTTCCTTTCAACGAAGCGTTTTCAAAACTTCATTCAATTATGTAGACGAATGGTGCTCTGTATAAACTTTTGGTTGCAATTATTAAACCACTGAGACATCCACATTCTGTAACACAAACAAACAAACCAAACCAATCACGAATCATAATATTTAAAAAGCAACCTTAGTTTGGCCCTTCTATTTAATAAATATTTTCCCGAAAGGACAGTCATTGAATCAACGTAAATATCAACCGAGATGTCATTAAAAAGCATTAGTTCGGAATCGAACCCCACTCAAGCGTTATTCTGACTGATTATGACTACCCACTACCGTCTACACTACAGAGTACGCCAATAGGATGATCAGTGTAGGATTTTGTGCTATCATACACACGAGTCTCTGCAAAACATGTATTTAGACAAAGCCCAACACAAACATATTGCAATACGAGATCAAAAAACAGAAGGAATATACTTACAGACGTTTACAGAATCAGAAACTCGGTTGAAACTTGCTAGTTTCGTTCAGACATCAAACGACATGTGTACGCCGCCATTGTTTCTGATAACGCTAAAGACTGGCCCCTAGTAACTCAATTTCAAAAGAAAGTGATAGGGACCACATTAGCGGGTCCGGGTACCAGACTCTATAAGTCACTTCGTGGAAAACTGACAGCGTTGTTTACGCGTTTCACGAAGTGACCTATCTCGATGCGTCAGTTCGTGAAATGATAATTTAGCATTTTGTAGCGATAGGTCAACATTTTTAATTAGCTGAATCAGCTTAATTAGCTAATTAGGCCACTTATGAATTTGAAATTTTCAGAAAATAAAGATTTCATCATGCATAACCAGAATATGCTAAAAACCCAAATTCGTCAAAAATTCAGCCTTGTGGTACGATCGACGAATTTTGACTCTCAAAAATCGAGCTGTTGGGTGCCCGTTGTGAACTCTGCCGCCCATGTTCCACCACCGTATCGCACCCTACGGCACTGGCGTAGCCGGGGGGGGGGGCTTTCTTGGGAACGGTAAGACATATGGTTAGTTTCCTTTCAACGAGACCCGGCTTTGAAATAGGAAAAGAAAATAATCCAAGACATAAAAAGTATGCAACATCTATTTCTATTTCTCTTAATTCGTGATACAAAAGAACTGAATTTGAGTTCATGACTGTAGGGGCACACTGACTGAAACTTCGATTTAACGTGTCAAATTCTTCACAGAATAATTGTGTGTTTTTATTTTTACTCAAAATGTAATCGTCGTGCACAATCACAAACTTTGCGCATTGGGCTTGGTGTTTAGACGATTTTTATTGAGCATAATGATGCATGAGATGTATTGCATGTGTTTTCACTGTCTCGAACGTTCAGACTTTAATCACCGGTCGAAATTAGAAACAAAAACGAAACGAATGACTTTCAGATTGAGCGAGTCACAAACTTGTGTTATATTCAGAAGATACGTCATAGTTAAGCCCATTTCCATGTTATAAAATCATCAAATAAAAGAGTCAAAAAAGCGGAACCCAAACCCCCAAATTAGATTTCAGATTAAAAAGAAATATGTTGCACCAAAAAGAATAATGACTGGAAAGCCAATTTCATAAGCTACTTTTAGATGCAAAAAAATACTGAAATTGCCCAATCCGTTCAAAGAATATCACCATTTACACACAATGACCCCATCAAAAGAAATCGTCTCGTCCAAAAATGCTATTTCAAGAATGGTCGTCAAAGTTGTCTTTAAACATCACCAGCGATAAAACCTCAGTTTAAATTTTTTTTTTAAATATTCAACAAAGTCCTTTTGAAGGCCTGTCTTTAAAAAAAAATTGATTTTTTTTTTAAATCAATTGTTTGCCTACCTAGGGCAGTTAATAAAGATATTGTGTACTACGGTTCTTCACATGCAGTTGTTGAAACAAGTATTCTGTGTCATTTTCTTTGTTGTTCCAAAGAAAACGCACAATAATTTGCTGTTTTGACTCACCCTTTACTGTTAAAAGATATGGTTACGCACTCCTCTGGAAAGGCTTCCCAAAATGTCACACAAAAAACTTCTCTATACTTACCAGACAGTCATGACAGTAATTTGCACGTTTTTCATCAGTAATTACAGCTAAGATGAAGAGTTTGACCTGCCTTGTTGTCTTGATGGCTCTCGGCTGTGTTTTTGCCTACGACGTGAAAGAAGGTATGAATTTGGAATTAAAAGGAATTATTTTACTAACTTTGTCACACTATACAGCCTTGGTTTTGTTAGAAATAATATTTGTTGACTAAAATCACAATATTATGTGTAATACCATGCAGATTCACTGAGGGCACTGTTGGAAGAGTTACGCGGCGAATTGAAGGTTCGAGAGTTGAAGAAAGGTAAATGTCATGGTCTATAGAGCCACAGTTCTCCCGTTTAAAGGCATAATTTATAGGATCATTTGCTTTTCACACATTTTGCTCGTTTCCAATAATAAAACCGCCAGTTATCCAAAGGAAAAACTAACTTGATCGGTTATCAGCTCCGTTTGGATGTTACGCTTTTCGAGTAAACAGTGAAAAAAACATACACAACCTTTTAATTACAAAACACGTTTTTGTTAACACACAAAAAAATTAAAAATTAAAAAAAAAAAAAAGTTCAATTTGTTTCTTCTTTTTTTCAGCACTGGAAACCATGGAAGAAGAGAGAGGTACGTTGAAGAATAATTCGTGCTAAAAAGTGTTAGTTTATGTCATCTTCATAAACACCCGAACCTCAGTAATAACATTCAATAGGGCACAAGATGAATCGTGATCGTGGGTTCCAGCCCGCCGTGGCCATGCATACGTGTTGTGCCCTTGAGCATAGGCGCTTTACCTCAATTACTCCTCTCAACCCAGGTGTTAAATGGGTACCGGCATTATTCAATGCTCAAGGTAACAGACTCGCTGTGGAGGAGGTGTGGCGATCCCCCCACAGCAGCATTTCATAGACTCGAGTCTGGCCCAATCGCTTCGAAAAAGAGCTGGGCACTATAACTACCTTTTCCTACATCCAATCTGACTGGTAAACGGAAAACCTTTTTTATTCAGGTGTGTATTGTGGTGGTACCTTCTGCGCCCAAGGTGAACAGTGTGTGACAGCGAATGGAGGCAAGAAGGTCTGCTGGGATACATAAAATGTAATGCAGAAAACATCGACCAACAAAAACGGAATCAAACGACAAAATGGACATCGAAACATGGCGCTAGAAAGCATTGCATTGTATTATGAAATTGGTCTAACAACTTTTGGGTGGAGGGTACTATCATATCATAGTGTTTAAAATGTTAACATCTATATAGGGGTTATTTAGTTGGTATCGAAGTAAGTTAAGGGTGCGTTCGTTTAGCTCACCCGGGTCGACACGGGTAAAGGCAGACGGGTCAGCCACGACAGCCGGGCTAATCGAACGCTCAACCGCGGGCCATCACGATTCTCACTTGACGCCCTTAGCCGTGGCCGTAGCCACTGACAAAACGCCCGTTTCGGATTGGGTCTTAGTTTGAGATTTACTGCTTTTTAGTCAATTGCAAAACTCAAAAAAGTTGGGCTGAAATAGTCTCAAAGTCGCAACGAACTCAATAAAATGATTACATTTAGACTTCAAATAAAGTCAACTTTAAGTCCACTTAAGATTTTCGCTGTCCGGCCGCCATATTTGCCGGTTTCAAGGGAATGAACAATGCATGCGTGATGTACTTGTAAGAGTGACTCTGCTCCACGAGCAGGGTTTGTGGTGACTAACCCGGGTAAACCCCGAGCTAATCGAACGGCACGAGGCTGACACGACGTGTCAACCTGGGTGAGCTAAACGAACGCACTCTAAATGAGCACCCGTCCTGAGGCCTGGCTGTGAATTAATTATATTTGTGTACATTTCTCCCCCAGAATTCAAAAATATTATAACTGAGACAATAGCCCAGGAGTTAAATAGCCAAAAACAATTCCCTCTGTTCATAAAATCATGTTTAATTAGAAGATTACTAAAGATATTAGTTACTTCGTCAAAACGGAAAATCTACTTCTCCACAAAAATGAAGCATAAATTATGTTTGTACACAGTGAGCGCGTAAAATGCAAATTTCCATATTCATGGACAAAACTGTGATGTCATTCAAGGCACAAACTGCAGTTTCACATCTGCTTCAGCATAAAGTCGGCTACGTTTCTGCTTTCGGTGGTTCGTTGTTGTGTGACAGCGAGACAATGACAAAACGTTTGCACAAAATAACGTCAGTTTCATTTAACAAGAATTTTGAGTTTCTGAAGTGAAATAACAGCAACAGCGCCCTCAGATGTAAAAAAAAAAAGCATGAACAATTTCAAAAGTTCAAGAAAGTGCACTTTGCAAATTTTTGTTTACCAAAAGGGATGTCGGTAGTTTGTATACCTTCCAGAGGAATTGATATTTGCTACAAATATGCTCCAGTATAAAATTCATTTCAAGGACCCTTTTGAGAAGGAATTAATTAAGTTTTTGTGGGATTCCAGGATGGGTGTTCCTTACTGATTAACTCGTACTGTAAGTGTAAGTATTTTCAATCGTATGAATTAGGAGTTATAGTTTGGTTTATTAATCATTAATATATACTCTTATCATATCCAATTGGAACGACATGAATCGTCTTAAAACTGCAGAATTATATCAAACTGCCAGTGTCAGAACGACAGTAGTAATGTAGTGCACTGCGAGTCAGCTTGTACACCAGAATTTTCGGACTGCTTTTTAAAACGCGATTCATGAATGTGTTTCGAACACAAGTGCAGAAACAAACCTTTCAATGACATGATGTATTGCCAGCATGTTTTCTAAACATTAACAGACCAGCATTTTTTCTTGTCTCAAAAGAATAGATTCATATTCCGAAAAGAATATAATTTTTTTTTTCATCTGATGACTTTTTATGTCGGGAAGGTCTTTGAACGAAATAAAACTAATTAGCTTTTTCCCCTTGTAATTAATTATGTCTATGCAAGGACATTTAAGTAACGCTATCGTACTGCCGAATAGGTTCTGTAGAAGTTTAATATCTACATGTATACACCTCCATGTTGGTTTTGGAAGAACTGGGTTTTCTTCAAATTCCGTATTTTTTAAATATAATATTTAAAGATAATTAGGTGAGAGTTGGTTTGAAATAAAGAGTATTCAGCATTCAAATATCGGAGACTCAAAACAAGTTGGTTGTCCCACTTTGGGAAATTTTAACCCAAGTGAAATCTAGCTTCTTTTACCTTAGACCTATATAACCCCTCACTCTCACAGGTTACTTGTCCCTAATCTAATTCTGTCCACTGAGGCAACACAAACCCCAATGCGCCCGTATTTTAAACAGTCAATTTCATACAACATCGGCCCACAAACCCACTAATTGTAGATTCTACCTCACTATCACATAGCACCTCGGCCTTACGTGAGATTGCACCTTCCACCGGAATGTATCGTCACGCTTTAGAGCATCTATTGTAATAAAACAATAGGAGACCCCTATATAACCACGCACGAGGCACAGGTTCCTCAGTGCATTTTTCGTGACCGGAGTGTATCGTGTTAGTTTTTTGCTCTACAAACATGATCGAACAGGTCGATATCCTAGAGCTGTTGGCCGGGGCTACAGACGAGGAGACAACCCAAGCGACTCAAAACGAGTCCGGCCCCTCCAACTCCTACAGCGGCAATCCGCTGGATAAACCATCGGGTAAGCCTAAAGGCAAAACCTCGACCAAGGGTAAACGTAAATCAAACGATTTGGTTACTCGTAACGAGTTTGAAACCCTTCAAAACCAGCTCACTTCCATGGCTAATGCAATGGAACAGATACAGAATTTCACTCTATCTGAGCCACTCCCTAAACGGGCCAAAACTGACCCGACATCCGATGACGAGTCGGACAGCACCCTGAATGTTAGTAAGGCTGTCGACGATCTCTTGCAAAACAAAAAGCAAACTGAGCAAGGGGATTCCGACATGGCTGTGCTACAAGACTATGAACAGTTGTATGATGATGGGAGTGCAACTGGGGCCCCAATCAACGAAAAGTTGGCTGGGCTCATGACCAAAATGATGCGTCAGAAGCTGGCCGATGACAAAGTCACTGAGAAATTGAAAAGTCTAGAACGCCCTTCAAATGTTGAGGCGTTGGGAGTCACCAGGGTAAACCCTGAGGTATGGAATACCCTTAAACCAAAGACCCGTTCGCTAGACATTAAAATGCAAAAGGCCCAACAATCCCTTCTAGCAGGTGTGGTGCCTATTGTGCGGGCAATTGAATCACTAATGGCCACGGCTAACGCCCCCTCTGCGTCCGATAAACTGGACAATGCCAGAGTCGAGATTAACCGACTACTTGACGCAGTCTCCATGATTGGGCATGCCAATCGTGAACTGAATCTCCGCAGACGAGATCTCATTAAACCCGATTTAAATCAACAATTCGGGGGTCTTTGCTCTGCCCAAGTACCCATAACTGGACTGTTATTTGGGGACAACCTTACTCAAAAATGTAAGGACATACAGGAAACTAATAAATTGGGGCACAAAGTCGGTCAACGTTACCGAGGCTCAACGGGCAAACCTGGCTATGGACAATTCCAACGCCGGCGGGACACACGACCGTATCAGTCGTCGATGTCCCGCGGGAATTTTCGCCAGGGCGCTTTAAACTACAAGCGCCACAACAACACCAACTGGCGGGACAAGAAGTTCCAATACGCTCCCGCAAGACAGTCGAGTGCACCAAACAAATAGATCCGTGCACTTCGGTGAGTAAATACAGTCAAAATCAAGCTGATTTACCGATAGCAACGAATGCATCTAAAAACATACATGTATATGAGTTTGTGAGCAAGCAACAATTTGGAAACGCTCACCCCAAAACGGTCTCTAATGACACAATGCATGAGCACAAATGTGATAGTGCGAATAGTATCATAGCAGGCAGACTTGCTAAATTTATAACAAAATGGCGTGAAATAACTTCAGATAATTGGGTTCTCAATGCAGTACAACATTACTACATTGAATTTGCCAAACGCCCTGTACAAAATACCCTCCCTCGTGAAATTTTATTTTCACAACATGAAGTTAGTCTAGTATGTGAAGAAATAGACAAAATGCGTCTAAAGGGCGCCATTGTTGAAATATCTTTATCCGCCCTAAGAAAGACGGATCTTTTCGGCCCATTATTAACCTGCGTGGGCTCAATGCTTTTGTTGCATACTTCCATTTCAAAATGGAGACAATACATTACGCAACGCAGTTGATCACACAAAACTGCTTCATGGCGTCTATTGATTTGAAAGACGCATATTTTGCTATTCCCATTGCGCAGGAACACAGAAAGTTCTTAAGATTTATTTGGCAAGGGAAAGTTTATGAGTTTACCTGCCTGCCTTTTGGGCTTTCAAGTGCCCCTCGAGTGTTCACTAAGGTAATGAAACCTCTTATTGCCACACTCAGAAACATGGGTCACGAATCTTGTGACTATATAGATGATTCGTTGCTATTGGGCAGAACATTTGATGAATGTTTAAATAACATCAAAGCCCGGACGTCCCTTACTGAAGATTTGGGATTTGTCATAAACAGACAGAAGTCTAATTTGGAACCCGCACATGAGATAACTTTTTTGGGGTTTGTACTAAACTCAGTACAAATGACAGTCACTATCCCACCACAAAAAGGGGACAAAATTGTGACATCCATTCATAAGCTAATACATGCTCCTCATCCTAAAATTCGGGATGTGGCGAGAGTCATAGGACTCCTCGTCTCATGTGAATTAGCAGTGCCCTATGGACCGCTTTTTAGACGATCGGTAGAGAACCTAAAAAACAAGGCACTCACGCAAAATGGCGGTAACTTTGAGGCGCAAATGACTCTGTCCGAGCGAGTTATTTCTGACCTAAACTGGTGGGCTTCTAATTTAAAAACATCATCAGCCCCAATGCGTAGAAGCATGCCTGATTTTATTGTCGAAACCGACGCTTCATGTCAGGGCTGGGGAGCCCATTGTGGCGACCAGACTTTTGGGGGACAGTGGTCTTCTGAAGAATCAGTGAACCATATTAATTTTCTTGAGCTAAAGGCATGTTACCTGGCCTTAGAATCACTTTTTTCAAAGGCTCATGACATTCATGTCCATTTAAAATCGGACAATTCAACTGCAGTTGCATATGTATGTCATTTTGGGGGCTCACAATCCCCAATATTGAATGAATTGGCCAGGGAAATCTGGCTATGGTGTATGGTCCGAAACATATGGCTTTCAGTGTCCCACTTGCCAGGCATTAAAAACGAAATCGCTGATTTTGCCTCAAGACACTTCCATGAAGATTTGGAGTGGAAATTAGATTCATGCATTTTTGCAAACATTACTGAAGTTTTTCCAGTACCGCAAATTGATCTGTTTGCATCTCGTCTGAATTTTCAGATAGAACCCTTTGTATCTTGGCATCTAGAGCCAGGTGCATCGCATGTGGACGCGTTCACCCTTGACTGGTCACGGTCAATCTTTTATGCGTTTCCACCATTCTGCTTAATTGATAGAGTGCTGTCAAAAATAGACAGTGACATGGCTGGGGGAATACTTATTTTTCCAATTTGGCACACACAAACGTGGTTCCCTAAATTGCTCAAAATGCTAATAAGGTTACCTATTATATTGCCAAACAAGCCTGATTTGCTTACACTTCCCTCCTCAGATAGACGTCATCCATTGCGACATCGACTGAGGCTTGCGGCCTGTCTCTTGTCAGGAAGACTTTGCGAATGCAAGGCATTTCAAGCGAGTCTGCCGACATCATCATTGCATCTTGGAGAGATTCTACCAGGAAATGTTACTGGTCTGCCCTCAAAAAAATGGGTTTCGTTCTGTATTAGGACAAAAACTGATCCAGTTCGAGCAACTGTACAGTCAGTAATTTCCTGCCTCACTGAACAATTTCACGAGGGCAGTGGGTACAATAGCCTGAACACATTACGCAGTGCCTTATCTGCAGTAATCCCCGAAGAGGGAATGACTGTCGGATCACATCCTCTCGTCAAGAGATTTCTGACGGGTGTTTAACCTCCGACCTCTGACACCAAAATACTCATGTACATGGGACGTTAAAGTAGTTTTAGACTACCTCAAAAATTTGGGTCCCAATGATAAATTATTACTTAAAGACCTTACTATGAAAATGGTCGTACTTACTGCCCTCGTGTCGGGGCAACGTTGTCAAACACTGTCTTTACTTAACCTCGATAGTATTCAGGTTACCACAAATGGTGCTGTGTTTGTTATTGATAAATTAATTAAGACCTCAAAGGTCGGGAGACAGAACACTAATGTTGCAATGCAACAGTATCCCCAAGACCACTTGCTATGTGTTGTAACTTTACTGAAAGAGTATCTACGCAGAACACATGCCATACGGGGTACCAAAAGAAAGCTGTTTTTGAGTTATGTGATGCCACACAAAGAAGTTGGCGCACAAACAATCTCCAGGTGGATAAAATCCACGCTTGGGAATGCAGGTGTAGACATCAACACCTTCTCAGCTCACAGCACAAGATCAGCATCATGCAGTGCCGCCTATAGACAGGGAGTACCGGTAGAAATCATCCTGAAGACCGCAGGCTGGACGAATTGTTCAACATTTGCAAAATTCTACAATAAACCGGTTCAGGCTTCCAGTTTCACTAAGGCAGTTTTGGACTGTGCCACTGCCACGGTACCTTAAGAATAATTAATAAACATTATTCATGCTAACTGTTTATCATACAAACCATGATATTTGTCGAGACCTGTAAACAGTCTCTGTTTATGTCAATTCATGATTGGGTTTCAATTATTTTGTGCTGACTATAATTGCTGCGAAGCTTCAGCAGAGAACAAGTCAAAGTGCACGTTAATTTTATTTTTTGCCTTGAGCAGAGCCAGGCTTTAATTCATACTGTTATAATTATCGAATAACTTCGTTAAACTGAGTATATCATGTACCGTTATGTACTTATACGTTGGTTCAAATTTGACCAGAATATCTGAGGTGAGGTTGGTTCAACCTTTTCAGTAATTACGGAACATGTTGAATTAAAATAAATTCTGTACCACGCTGTGCAAATGCGCAAAAATTGATCATGAGAAATAAACATGACATACTTGTATTACGGCAGACTGAATTGTTTGTTCTTTTGTTCTTGCCGTCAACTTGTACTCTAAACCTCTCACGTAAGGCCGAGGTGCTATGTGATAGTGAGGTAGAATTTAAAAATTAAACGAAAGAAATGAAGTTTAATTGTAATTCTATCGAATCTATCACTAGCACCGAAGGACTTACGTACCCGCCCATGGTCCTTTGCCAAGAAACAGGCATAATGTTGGGAAACCCATCCCTTTGGAATTGACGGCATATTCAGAGTACACTGTACCCTCAAAATGCACTGAGGAACCTGTGCCTCGTGCGTGGTTATATAGGGGTCTCCTATTGTTTTATTACAATAGATGCTCTAAAGCGTGACGATACATTCCGGTGGAAGGTGCAATCTCACGTAAGTCCTTCGGTGCTAGTGATAGATTCGATAGAATTACAATTAAACTTCATTTCTTTCGTTTAATTTTTAAATTATTCACGCGGATGGCCGATAAATGGTGTCTCGCCACAATAACCTGTTTGCGCAATAATACCCCGGCTACCCCCCTCCACCCCCCCCCCCCCCACCCCACCTTTTGATTTTCGGAGGCCATGTGTCCGGAGAAAAAAACTTGTCTACAGTTGAGAATTTTTTGTCGATCAAAACCTTCCCCCCCCCCTGCAAAAATTCCTGGATCCGCCCCTGTTCAAGTGATCTCTTCAAGCGTTCTTCAGAGGGCACAGCCAAGTCAACAAGTGCCGCACCTCAGTCGTCGTGCACATCAACAGCGGCACGCCGGGCGTTCCTCTGGGCTCAGCTGCCGTTCCGTTGGACCGTTCCGTCGGTCTGTTTCATACTTTTCCTGTGCTCGGCGGAACGCTTCATCGGAATGATCCTTCGGAAAGGTCTGCTAGAGGAAATAATACTGATTTCTGAATGACAAGGTTTGGCGTAGACGAGACGAAATCGATTAAACATTCCAACAAATTAATGTAGCCCTGCCACGTACTAGCCTTCTCACGTGTATTCGCGACTATTCTTCACGCAGAGGCATAGCAAGGTAGTTTGAGGGGTGTTACAAAGTTTTTTGAAAATGGCACTCGCACATCTGTGCTAAAAATGTAGACCGGTTTTTTTTTTCTTTCAGGACACTTGGTCTCCATGAAATCGAGTAGTGGGTAGGGGGCGCATTTCAAACCGGACGATCTAATGGGGGCGCTGTTCAAACAGACGATCATGCACACTATCGGACAATATAGTTTTTTGTTCGGCACACGAGTGAATTCAAAAAATGGCGCTCGTAACGGCCGCTTGTAAACACAAAGGCATTTTTTTAAAGGGTATTTGTTAAAAATAGGGCACACTTTTAAAAAATATTGGGGGTCGCCCCTCCCCCCCCCCCGGCTACGCCTATGTCAAAGTTTATTGAAATAACTACTGCATCTTGACGCTTTGGGAATGCAGAAAAGTGTACGTAATTTACAAAAGAACATATTTAAATAAAAAGAAATCTCCACAGAAAGAAGAATGACAAAAATGACTCAAGTTTTGATACCAGCCATACTCGAATTTCTCCCGATTATAATCTTGCGGCCATGACATAGAAGTTGCAGTTGTTTAACATATATTTTACAAATCGTGCAAAAATAAACTGCGGCCATTTTACAACGCGTGTTCCTACACCATTCATGTAAATGTAACCTGGAAAAATGACACACTTGACTTGGGGATTCAACTCGACACAAATAATTTAATACAAGACCAGGATCTAAGAACAAGTCGCGAACTATTTTATTAAGAAAAGGATTTTAAAATGAAACAAACTTGAGACCAAAGCTGAATAAAAAAAAAACCTTTAAAACCAAAAGTAAACCTCAATGATAAAACTAAAAAACTGAGATAAAACACTAAAACCAAAAACCAACAGTAAAACCAACTTAAAAACCAACTTAAACCCAAAACTAACACAGAGCGTCAAATTAGTGAACCCTAAATGCACTCTGACTGAAACCTAAAAATCAAGAAAAGACAAGAAAAGAAAGAATACAATTAAGAGATATAGCAAAAGAAAGTTAAATTGGTTATATAGCGCAGTCTAACTCTATTATGTACAGTATGTTACACAAAGTCACTATAATGCCCAACATACGCAATGGCAACACAAGTTTCTGGCTGAATATCTATACTAATCCATGGCTCTTATCTGTTCCACATAACTTCTAATTAGACTTCACCCAGTCTAAGACAATCACACTAAGCCTCAAGGTAAACAGGTGGTAAAGTGGAGATAAACATATAGGACAATGCAGTCAAGGAAGTGGGACTAGGACAAGTCTAATTACATGAATAAACATCTGGTGATCTTCTAAGAAAGGAATTTATACACTTGGGTCTCTAGATCTGTGGGAAAGTCAAACCTCCTAGCTTAAACAGTGGTAGAGATACACTAAAAAAGTCATTCAATCTACATGTTCTAGGGGTAAAATATGAATCTTTCTCAACAAAAATCAATTCTCCAAGCAAATCTTTCAAAGAGAAACCAAAAGTTATAAAGCAAAACTCAATAAATGTAAACTCATGAAAAACATTCTTCCATCCTGTAAAACTAGTCAAAGAAACTTAATTCCTATAAAAAACAGTACTCGATCCCTACTTCAAATATATCAAAAAGGTAAGACAGAAATCATAATTGTGCAGAATCCAAATCATAACCCATCATGGAACAGTAAAATCTCAATGCTTCAAAATTAAACTTTCACAAAAACTTTCCAAAGATTAAAAAAAACACTTTAGACCATAACTAAGTAAAAACCTTCCAAAAACTGCACTAGAACTCAAAACATGATTATACAATATAAAAGAACAACAATTTCACAATAAAACTCACCAGGTGACTTAAGCAGATAAACACACAGGGCAGGCGCTCCCAAGAAAAGGAGAAAGAGAGGAAATAACTCGCCAAAACACAACTCTCTTCTGTGCCACTGGTCTTCTAAGTGAGGGCTGTGGACTTACAGGGTGGCAGAGCACATGGTCTTATCAAAGGGGCTATTGTTCTAAGGGATCATGTTACTGGGGAAGAGGGAAAATTTAATCAGGGGTACACACTTCTATGAAAGGGTAGGAGACATCTAATAGAAAGGGGTAATTTAGGCAGGGGAGCTACACCTATACTTAAACACTAAAAGCAATACAGTAAAAACTACAAGTTCAATTTGGCCCTGCCACATAAGCAAACAAACATCATACATTTTGCATTAGACAAAAGAAGTTCCCAAATAAAATCTTTTAGAAATCTAGCGGCAGCTTTAAAGCTGCAAATAATTCGTGCCACATTCTAATATTGAAGAGTTTGCTTGCGGCAAATTTACATGAGTATTTTATAATTATCTTAATCAACAAGACCACTTCAACAATTTAATTCGTTTCTCTCAATGCCTGATATTTGGTTTGTGAATCATGACAGAGAAAACTCACTTAACTCATTTACAGATAATATAAGAGCATTGGATTATGGCATACTTCCAGTTCTCTTCAAGAAAACGCTACTTTTTTTTCTAATGAAGTTTCAATGTTTGTCAGATTTGTTAGGATTTTTTTTACAAATTTGCTTTTGTGCCTCTTGTGCACAAAAATGCCAGAATTTATAGGCTTTCCCGGCTATTTTAAAACGTTTATCATTCGAATTCAACGTTACTTATATTGAAATTCGTCCACCAACGTCGATTTAGTGCACTTCCAATGTTAATTTCGTCTTTTGTCGGACAGCTTGAAAGTTTGTCAAAACAAATTCAAACAATGAGCTCACATTTTCGACCCGGAGTATACAATGTCGTCTCGTCTCAGCCGGATCGTGTTATTCAAAAATTAAATTCGTTTAATGCCACACAATTTAAACATTAATTTTGTCAAATGTCGTCATACGTATAGCGATATCTTCAAAGGCCTATACAGGCCTCTAAGAAGAAAAATCTTTACTTTTTCTCTATCCTTATTTCTTCATAAATGTGACATTTCTATTGATTCTTCTTAAAATGTTAGACTCAATATTGTAGGCACATTACACGGGGACTTATGGGTTTTTTTTTTCATTTTTAAGACTTTTTCTTTTCTTTTGTTTATTTTAGATGCCGTTGTGTCGTTGATCTTGGTAATCTTTACTGTTTGGGTGACTCTTCTTATAAGTACTCTGCTTTGGTCCAAATATCGTGCACGCGAATGGGCCAAATTGTGTTTGGTGACACAAGGAAAATGCTTTATACCACACCTGACTAATTTACTTTTTACACGTTTTAAATCGATTGATAAAAGACAAATTTCATCTCTGAGTGTTGCCATTCTGCAACAGCCTAGACGAATTTGATCTGTAATGAGGAATATCCTCGACCCGGTGACTAAAGAGGATGACCAAACTTTGAAATTGAATGGTAAATGACTAAATTGTTCTGGTAAAAGCGTGTGAATTTTTTTTCTCGGACGAAATCGACTGTTAGATTTGGTGATTGTGAATGAATTTTTTTTTTTAAGATAGCCAGGAAAACCTATACTAGGATGCAAACAATTAGAAGTTAGCAACGAAATTATTCTGTAACAAAACGTGTGCCGATTTTTTTTCATTCGATATCCCTTTAAAAAATGAATCAGTTCTATTTTGCAAGAACCATAGCAACTTCAAAAATATTTTCCGGGATGAAACTCGTAAAAAAGCACGAACAATACATTATTATGTCCCCCAGTGCAACACTGAACTATTTCTAGACATACTAACGCAAATGAATTAAAATGTAAAATCCCTTCAATTCAAAATAGTTTTGTCAAACTTTGATTTAACATCAAACAGCAAGTTAATAGGAAGAAAACACTATTCTCAGTAAATCATGGGCTGTTCCCTTAAAAATTAGTTGCAACGGTACTCCTACAGCAATCTGTAGTAATAAAGCAGATTCTACAATAAACAAGCATCGAACAATCAGTCACTGTTGACCTTACGGAAATTGTGAATCCTATTTTTGATGAGCAGAATTTAAGGACTTAAGAGGTCTAAATTTTCTTCCTGATACTCGGCTCCAAAATGTTTCATGTTACTCTGCTTGATTCTTTTCATGTTCACCTGTTCACCGACTGACACCAAATCGACAGCCAAAGTCGACACGTCCTTTTCATCTCCTTTACGTCGCCTGCATGAAAAGACAAAAATAGATCACAATCAGCCAAAAGCCCATCGTAAAAGAGTACGGCATTGATCAGAACATCAATTTTTAGCATACAATACGTACACCACAGCAACACATTAGACGTACTGTCATTTTTTTCCAACGCATTTTAAATTATATGCTTTGTATTGGTTGTCCCAGCTATTTCAGAAACGTTTTTCAATCAAATTCACCAAGTAACTCTAACATTCAATTTCACCCAAGAAAACTTGCACTCAGTTTTAACCAAACCAATTTAGTCATTTACCATTCAATTTCAAAGTTTGGTCACCCTCTTTAGTCACCGGGTCTGGAATATTCGTCAGTACAGATCAAATTCGTCTAAGCTGTTGTTGAATGGCAGCATTCCGAGATCAAATTCGTCTTATATCAATCATTTAGACGAATTTGATTTCTGAGGGTTTGGCGTAGACAAGACGGGACAAAACGTGTGCTCTTTGTTTGAATTTGCTTGAACTGAATTTGAAATTGTCTGACGAAATTAAACATTGGAAGTGCACTAGATCCATGTTGATGGACGAATTTGAATATTAGAAAGGGTATAATTATATGCATGATAAACTTTTAAAAAGACAGAAAAACCTATATTCAAAATATCTTGTTCCTATTTTTGGCACCTGCAGCACTCTGAAAAAAAAGTGTTTTAAATTTGGGTTGATTTTGCCCATCGAGTAGACTGGGTTCCTGTCTCTACATATTACGATGTCAGCAGTGGACGGGAACCAGTCTGATAACTGGATTACTGATAAACATGTATAATTAGTCCCCAAAAAAAATGTCCGGTTTCTGGTATGGAGTTTGCCCCAAAAGTGGTGCGGCGACGCGGGTTTTTTTTCCCCAAACTTTTTTTTCTTCAAATGTTGGCTGATGTTGCAGATGACGCTTCGATCCTCTTAAAACTGTCAAAATTATCCTTCAGAGTGGAGCTTGAGATGACCTCAGTAAGGCCATAAGGCTTGAGATTTCCGCACCCACTTACGATCTCGACCGACAGTAACATTCTTTAGAAAATTTGGATAGTCAAGAGAAAAATCAGAGAAAACGGTATATTTGGATCGTTTTGGGTTTACCTTTTGGTGAAGTTCTCTCCGTCTTCGATGGTAATCGGAAGGTCTCTACCCATAGTCTCTGGCAAGAACAGAATCACTAGTATGGAGGTCAAGATTGTAAGAATCCCGAGGATAAGCAAGGTAGCTGGTGGCCAGAGGTCCTGAATGCGGGTCAGGTATGGGGCTAAAGTGCTTCCCAGACCAAATCCCATACCGTTCAGTCCTGAACCGACACTCCTGGTGATATAAGAAAAATCTTACAATGTATATTACAATGTAGCACAACGAAGGAAATGAGGGTATTGGCTTCTTGCCAATTAGAACAATAAAAAAATACGGGCCAATAACGTCTTTTTATATGGGGGAGTTGGCAAAAACTGCATGAAGTCTTTTCATAAACATTTTTTTTTAAATGTATTAAACGGTCAAAAAGCGCCATCTATGGGCAAGTTCGCGAAAGAACTTTGTTGACCAATGGTTAACCATGCAACTAAAGCAGCTCGAGCTCTGTCTAGTCGACGATGGTTGACTTTACGCTAGTCGACTATTTCGAACCAGCCTACCGTGGCTGGTTGCGCAACGATTTATAGCTGGTTATCAATTTCCATAGCATAGTCCAGAGGGGACCAACTATCAACAAAAATGGCGGAAAACAAGCAGTGAGCGCTAAATGTCATTTTCATTGCACAGTTTTTCCATGTTAGTTTACGATTAAGTCACTTTTGTCACCATTGTATAATAATATTGGCCATTATGTAAGATGTCCTAAACTATACACAATCACTATTATTAGTGTAAATAAAGAGAAAGAAGTGTTGAATAATTGTGCAACCGCCATTTTTTGACGGTCGTTGACATGACAATAGTTCCACTATAGAGTCGTTCGCACTTCAACTTCAGTGCGCATGCGCTATAGGTACGTCGCCAACCAACCACTAGTTAACCACTGGTCCTTGCTCGAACTTGCCCTATACTACTCATGCATGAAGCCCATACCTGACTTGGGTCGGCAGAAGCTCAGCGATGAACAGATCTGAAACACTGAGGGCGCCCGATATGCCGAATTTCCCCACCATGGCCAGCGCCGTCTGAGCTACTGATCCTTGCTCTGTGACCAGAATAATGTGAGAGTGTTATAGGCTCGTTTAAGCTGTCAGCTTCGGTCCAAGAATTGGGCCACCGGTATCAAATGATTGAAAGGAGCAATGCTCATAGCGATTTTTGGCAAGGTATGCAGATCTACAGTTGGGAAATGTGTGATAGCTTTGCAATGTGAACGATGTCAGTTTGTTTTTAGGTGTTATCGCCTTAATTTTTTTTTTTCAAAATGACCGCCAATAGCCTATGCTTGTTACCGGATTAATTATATGTGGTAACAAGCATGTTCTGGCCGCCATTTTTTTGTGTAATTATAGCACCCAAAACGCTGCCACCGCTGCAATGCTATCACATATTTTCCAACTACAGGGGTGCATACCTTGCAAAAAAAACACAATGAGCATTATTCCCCTCATTTTGATACCGACCCAACCCCAATGCTGATGGCCTAATTTACAACGAGGCTGTAACACTTTCAGAAGAACTTCCATACAGTTTCGTTCACAGAGCCCAGTCATTGCCCTAGCTTGACAGAATAATCCACTGCAGTCTTGTTGAGGGCTGACTGCCATGGTTTCTTTATTCGGTATCACATCTACAGTCTCTTTTAAGTAAAATCCGGATTTACTTAACAAACACACTCGATCAATCATCGAAAAGATATGTTTTTGTAACTTGTCTATTTGTGAACATGAAATTCTAATCTTATAAAAACATGAACTTTTTGAAGTCGTGCTTAGTTTGCTTGTAATTACTCCAACATTTTGTTGGTAAAAACAATAATATTCCACAGGTTCCTCATTCAAACATAGCCAAATAAAGTGATGAGAGCCCCTTTAACCAGAGTTGAACTATTGACAGCAATTGAGTATATTTAAGTCCTAAGATAATCAATTTAAAGTACGGTCCATGCATGGAAAATGCGATACAACGCCGAGAGGGAGCATGAATAATCAATCATCCTGTCAACAAGACTAGTGAGCAGCTCAAGTGACGGCTGTTTTCAGTCTTGTAATCCAACTTACCAACGAAAGCAGTAGCAAGGCAGCCGGCCGCTGAGACGGCAAGGCACGCCGCCATCGTCCATTTACGTCCAATGCGATCCAGGAGCAGGAAGACTACGACGAAGGCAGGTATATCAGCGACGATAAGCAATACATATGACAAATGGGGACTGGTGCCTATGTTACCACTGTTTAGTGTCAGGCCAAAAACAGTCAGTTCAATGCAAAACCTGTCAAAATGAAAGAGATTTTTATTATCTTCATTAAACAAAACAATTAATGTTGGTAAACGTGTCTTTTCAAACAAATTTAAAAAAAATTCCGTACGAATTTTGAAGGAATATAATGCCTTGTTACAAATAGATTTGCTTGTTTTGCATTTGCAGGCCTTTATGCAATTGTATATGTGGTTTTTAAACAGCGCGCTCTTGTTCAGAAAGTTTTGAGCGAAACGCTATAAATATTCATATCTAGTGACGTAGACATGTATTCATAATTAAGTTAATTTTGCAATCACGCGTTATAATTATTGTATTGCCACCATTGGCACCATGGACAGACTAGTTACGCGATGATTGCAACAGTTCTGAGCCGTGCTCCGCAATCATTGCATATCTAAATGCAGCAAGGCCGGCCTGGCTGCACCTCAGATCCTTCGTTCTATTAGAATCTTTGCTACTTTTGCGTCTTTCCTTTCAGAGAATTGCAATACCCGTAGTTTTCTACAGCGCTCCATGAGTGCCATCCACTTCTTTATTTACTCGGATAATTTATCACGTCATGTTGACATATCGCCGAGAGTAAGGCGACTTAATCACATAATTGTATCGCCCAGTCGACTTACCGAAGTCGACTTGACGACTTGTCCATATTTATTATCTCGCCAAGTCGACTTAATAAAGTCGACTTGGTGACTTGTCCAGATGCATTATCTCTCCAAGTCGACTTCCATAAGTCGACATGACGACTTGTCCAGATGTATTATCTCGTCAAGTCAACTTTCCGAAGTCGAGATGACGACTTGTCCAGATGAAATATCTCGCTAAGTTGACTTCCTGAAGTCGAGACGAAACTTGTCGAGATAAATTATCTCGCCAAGTCGACTAACGATGTGGAGAGGATGACATGCAAAAATCTTGTTCTGCATGAATATCCCGTTGTTGAAGCACTGTCGTGGATTCTCTCATGTTCGTTGGTGCATTTGAGGTTTTCCCCACTCGTTCTTATATGAACAGTAAACTGACAGCGGAACAAGAGATAAACTGTAGGGTATTGATTTGATCTGGGTCAAAGTTGATTTGTGTTTTTTTATTTTCAATTTGTTTTAAATTACTCCCCCAAGCTTCGTAGGAAACCACACCTCTGCCTTGTTTTCCCCTATTTATCCCGTTGAAAAGTAATTCACTTCACGTTAAACATTAACAATCATAAATTCACAAAAATGTCTTTATTGACTGGTTGCATTGCTTGTTGCTTTCTTAAATAACACTAACAAATTCAACATTTGCTTTTAATCATATTGAGATTATACTTAAGATAAAACGACTCTCATGGCTTAAATTGGAATGTCGGAAATTTAGCAAAACTGTTGTCTGATATATTACGAGAAATGATTTGGTAAAGATATCACTATGAAACTCTTATTGTCAACACTAAATCAATGTTTTTTAAAGGACATTGGCTTATGATTAGCCTTAACACACTAAGATCACACTGTAATCATCACATTATGATGAAGTTTTGCTCCTAGCAAAATAGAAGTTGTGCACTTTTGAATGAGACGTCGGCCTCAATATTACTGTGACGTTATTCTGATGTCATGAAGTATGAAATTACAAGCAATTTTAGATCCCAAATCGACTTAAATCGTTAAGGCTGAGAAAATCCCTCGGGAAGAATGAAATTTTGTCAAACATGTAATTCAAATTCCCAAGAACCTAAACAATTTCCCTATTAATAAGTTAATGATACTTTCCTCCTCGACGAAAGACACCAGGTGGAAGACGTTAAAAGAGAGTACTTTTTTGTTCATAGGTATTAACAGTCAGTGGCGTGAGGTTTAACCTAATTCCAGTGGGTGGGTTGGGGGGGGGCACATGGGTGCACACAATTGTTAATGGGGCACTGAAGGCAAATGACAAATTTTTGTTCATTTCAAGATTTTAAACGGGGAGCGCCGGGGGGGGGTATGGCACGGACATTCGTTGTGGGGGGGGGGGAACAACCCAGTTACGCCACTGATAGTACCGGTATGTTTTACCTTTTTTTAAAGAATTGAAAAACAATTATAACTGTAAATATATGTCAGCATGTTTTTTTATATCCTTCCTTTATGACCATGCAAACGGTAGCCATATTTTACAGCATAACCGGCTAATTTGACAATATTATACTTTTGCCCATCTGCCTGTGAGTTGTGCAAAAGGAACGTTTTCCCTTTGGAATGTTGTTGTCAGTCTCTCTTTTTGGAAAAGCCGAATATATTGGCTAATAGGACATGATGCAAACCGCCATGCGAGTGGTCGGTTTCAGAGTACCGGTTATACTGATGAGGCTACCGTGTATTTAACCATGCATGCGGTGCTCAACCGATACCGATTCGCAAGGCTTTCTACCGGCTTCTCCTTGCAGGGGAGTCAAAAAAGAAAGTGACTGAATTTGAAAATATTTAAAAAAAATTCGGCTTGCTCAATTTCATTATGAAAAAAAATGATAAAGTACATCTTATTGACTTTTAACTGTGAAAATTTCACGTCACGTCATTTGCATACTTTATTCCCGCGCGTTATATCTTAAACAAGATAAGTTTTCGGTAGCACCATGTGAATAAATCTCTTTTGTGAGTATGTGTGGTTCTGAAAAGAACCGAGGGACTCAACGTTTCGAACAGTATGCTCTGCCCGTCGTCAGGAGAATGTTATTCACATGGTGCTACCGCAAACTTTTCTTGTCTTAGTATCTTTCCACCATGCAAACCTTCAAAATCTCACGTTATGTCTATTTGAATAAAAAGATCACAAATGCTCGGCTGTCCAACTCTGATAATTCTACGAACTGGTTAATACACATTGAGTATTATGAAACATGGACGTTTTCCCACCTCGATGAATGAACGAGAACTTGCAAAGGATTTTTATATCGCTAACAACATTTCAGAAGAAAAAGGGTTGACTTGTTCCTCATATGCAAACCATTACAACTGACAGCAAAAACAATGGTCTTGATTTCAATTATTAATATCTCATTTTAATGAATGCTTGTGTGTATTATCACTACGCTCAATGGCACTCCAAGGACAGCTATAAAAATGGTTTCTTTAAGTAAAACAACTTCTGTTGGCATAGATCAATATCAGTAACTGCTTTTTTTTTTCAGATGAGTGGAAGAACATGCTCTTATTAGACATACTTCATTGTATCAAATTTGTGTATCAAATTTGATTGCATTTTGAATCACCTTATGCACAACAACAATCGGGGGCGGAACCAGGAGTTTTTGTGGAGGGGGAGTTTCATCAGCAAATCAATGCTGAAATGTAGACAGGGTTTTTTTGTCCGGACACTTGGCTCCTTAAAATCAATAGGGGGGTGGCTCGTACCATACTTTCAAAGCGGTCGCTGTTCAAATCCGACGATTATTAACAATATGTTACGGGATGTACAAATACCCCCTAACCCAGCAGGTTCTGTCCATATTTTGGGGAAAGGCGTATACCAGTATAATTTCTTGGGGTGTCGGTGTAGGGGCGCTGGGCAGTACTATTGTACAGGATCACCCCGTAACGTCACACGAATGGGCTATTGTGTACACAGATGCATGCAAAGGCCTCAATTGAATAGCCATTCGGAACCAGTTGAATATAATTTTTTTATGATTTGGGAAAAGCTTGGCTAGGCTTGACTTGTCTTTTTTTTGCCACAAGAACATTTAATTTTACCTCAAAATAAGTCATCAACTATTATTTACATCATTATGATGTTATCAAAATATAAAACAACAAACCAAAAAATTCGACGAAATGTATTTCTTTGTAGATTATGTTTATCAATCGAACCGGGGACATCTGTGGTTTAGTCGAGTAAACACACACAAAGACATGTAAAATTAGAACTAAAGGAAATTTGAGTGTCAATACGTTTGTGTTACATTTTGAAACGTGTAAATTATTTTCGCAAACGGACTTAATATTTCTTAATTATTAAATAACATTCCTAGAAACTAATACCCGACGACACCGAGACTGAAAATTTGATCAAAATGCGGCGTGCAGAGGCAACTAATGGTTGTGTCTCTTTTGTTGATGTTCATACAAAATGCAAAAAGTCTGCTCGTCTATTTCCTTTCCACGCATGAAGCGGCACAAAGACGGATGATTTATGATGTCATTAGAGTTGTTTTCATTGAAAAGGTATTGTTGCTTTGATGCAAAGCGTTTGGGTATTATCATCTATGGAGAAGCTGTTAAGTTTGACGAACATGCAACGCATGATTGTATAGTTTTGGGAATTTGAAAGGTTATTGTTGGTATAATTATATACGTGCTTTTTCAAAATTTCAATTTTTCTTTTCCGAACGAAATGTAAAAGAATATAATGTCCTGCAACAAATACCCCCCCCCCCCCGGCGCTCCCCATTTAAAATCTTGAAATTAGCACAAATTTGTCTTTGTCTTCAGTGCCCCAGATTTAATGTTGGCAATGAGAGCTTTTATAGTGATTTTTTTATCAAATCATTTCTCGTAATATATCCAACAAGAGTTTTGCTAATTTTCCGATATTCCAATTTAAGCCGTGAGAGTCGTTTTATCTTAATTATGTTCCAATATGATTTAAAGCAAATCTTGAATTTGTAAGTGTCATTTTTAGGCAACCTGTCATTAAAGAGATTTTTGTGAATTTATGATTGTTAATGTTTAACGTGAAGTGAATTACTTTTCAACGGGATAAATAGGGGAAAACAAGGCAGAGGTGTGATTTCCTACGAAGCTTGGGGGAGTAATTTAAAACAAGATGAAAATAAAAAAAAACACAAATCAACTTCGACCCAAATCAAATCAATACCCTACAGTTTATCTCTTGTTCCTCTGCCAGTTTATTGTTCATATAAGAACGAGTGGGGAAACTGACCTCAAATCGAACAAGAAAGAATCCACGACAGTGCTTCGTCAATGGGATATCCATGCAGAACGAGATTTTTGCATGTCATCATCTCCACATCGTAAGTCGACTTGGCAAGATAATTTATCTCGACAAGTTGTCATCTCGACTTCAGGAAGTCGACTTAGCGAGATATTTCATCGGAACAAGTCGTCGTCTCGACTTCGAGAAGTCAACTTGGCGAGATAATACATCTGGACAAGTCGTCATGTCGACTTATGGAAGTCGACTTGGAGAGATAATGCATCTGGACAAGTCACGAAGTCGACTTTATTAAGTCGACTTGGCGCGATAATAAATCTGGACAAGTCGTCAAGTCGACTTCGGTAAGTCGACTTAGCGATACAATTATGTGATTAAGTCGCCTTACTCTCGGCGATATGTCAACATGACGTGATAAATTATCCGAGTAAATAAAGAAGTGGATGGCACTCATGGAGCGCCGTAGTTTTCCAAGTCTAGTGGTCGCGCACTATTTAAGACATAATAAGCCTTTTCGGAGTTCCAACTGCGCATTCGTAACCTGTGACAACGCACATTATTTGTCTCAAATGACCTTTGACAACATCGCGCCACTGACTTTACAAAAAGGCTGTTTGTGCATTGTGGGCACTGTCAAAGGGCATTTGAGACAAATAATGTGTGTTGTCACAGGTTACGAATGCGCGCAGTTGGAACTCCGAAACATAGATATAGAATAAAAAGACTAGATCGGCAGCGCGTCCACACGCGCGGACTTTCATGGAGGGTCACGTGCTGGAGGAAAGATACAAATAATGCGCGAAAACGTGACGAACGCAACGCCGTTTACGCGCACAGTGCATTATCGCTCACGCGTGGGCGCATCGCGTAAATACTCGGTGCGCATTTCTGGCTTCGCACGCGTTGAGCTTGGTCAAGTGCTGGAGGAAAGATACATATAGCTCCATTCTTCTTCTTCTTCATTCATTCATTTTCATGATGACTTGATGAGTTGGGCCCAACTGTCCCTGTCGAGCATAGTGTTGGAAAGAGATGGACCACTCAGACCAATTTCTAGCTCGATGGATGTTTTCAGGGTCATGTTGGGACGACCTTTTCGTCGAGGGGCTTCAGGATTCCAGAGGAGAACTTGACTAGCTGGCTCATTATGTCGATAAACGTGACCGGCTAGCCGAAGGCGACGCTGTCTGATGGTGGTGGAGATAGGGGGAAGGCACCATACAGAACAGAGTTAGGGAGATGTTGTTGCCAAGAAACGTTCTGTACAGCCCGCAACATCGGTGTATAGGTGCCATCAATGGATGCAGAGATCTGTTTGGTCAGGGTCCAGGACTCGCAACCGTAGAGGAGGATGGATTCTACTGAGGTCTTGAAGATCTTAAGTTTGGTGGTCTTGGAGATCGAGGATCTCCATACTTTGGTCAGTGAGAACAGAGCAGACCAAGCTTGAGCTTTTCTATACTCGATGTCATGAGCTGTGTTGGTGTAGGAGCCCAGATACTTGAAGTCATCAACTTTATCGAGCTTACTGCCATCTAGTGCAGTGACGTCATCAGAGGTAGATGGGTTGATGACCATGTACTTAGTCTTCTTTGCGTTAAGAGAGAGACCAACGGACTTGCAGCAAGCTTCTACTTTATGGAGGAGAGATTCGGCATCAAGGAGGGTGTCAGCAAGCAGACTAATGTCATCTGCATAATCTAGGTCGGATAGGTATTGGGCAGGGTGTCTACTACTCCTACGGTGTGAGAGGGTGAGACCATCGGTTACATTTAATGCTGTCCGCAGGGCATAATCCAGAACTATGATGAAAAGGTAGGGGGCGAGAGGATCACCTTGAAGAACTCCAGTGTTGACGGAGAACGAATCTGATTCACCATCGGGAGTGAGAACAACAGCACTTGTATCTTCATACATAATTTTGATGGCATTAATGGTCTCCTCCGGGATACCGTAAGCATGCAGGATCTTAAACATTGTTGGTCTGTCAACAGAGTCAAATGCTTTACGGAAATCGATGAAAATGATGGCAGCTTCCTTCTGGTGGTTTACGAATTTCCTCAATAAGGCGCCTGAGGGCAAGGATTTGAGATGAGGTAGAACGTAGAGGCCGAAAGCCACTTTGATTGGGACGGAGTATCTTCTCAACTTCCGGACGAATGCGATTCAGAAGTAGTCGATTGTATACCTTGGCAGCAGTTTGAGAGCTCCATTACTTTACGTTAATTTGTTGCGCGTCCACGAGGGACAGCAAAAATGGCGGAGATTTATCGCACAGTGAATGGGCGCGTGTGGACGCGCTGCCGATCTAGTCTTTTTATTCTATATCTATGCTCCGAAAAGGCTTATACGTGTACGCACAAAGTTGTGTGCGCGTATATGCACAGTCAAGGAGCAAGTGCATACCAGGCCTTGCAGAATTCCAGTGGATAGGCCTACGTCAGGCTCTGAGATATTTCCACCCATAACAGCACTTCGAGAGTTAACATTTACAAATGGCTTGAATGGCGCTGACCACTTCTTCGGGTATGCCATAGTGGCGTAATATGGAAAGCGTGACAGCTCTGTTGACGGAATCTAAGGCTTTCCTGAAGTCAATAAAAGTCATTCAGAATTAATTTGATCTGTTATGAATTCTTTCATACGATACTTACGACATCCAACAAAGAATCAATTGACGAAAACGTAGAACTGGTGATTTCAGAAGATCGATCATGGACGCTTGCTTAATACCCTGAAATATTCATCAGAAATCGATATTCAAAAAGAGCCTAAACTGCGGATGGGGCAATCGAGAGACAGCCCCCCCCCCACACACACACACACACCCACCCACGCATGTGTACAATCACCCATACTCACGCTTACATAGGCATAGAGGTGGGGTACTTCCTTTGTTCTCGTGTACTAAATTTTTTTAATGTCACACATTTTTGTAATGTGACACACCACAATCAATTCAAATCCTTGATTTAGTTGAATATGACACTCTCCAAGCCTCTTAGTTAGACTTCCTCGAGGAGTTCTGAATAGGATAACCACCAAGTAGTACCAAGTACAATTATGTCAAAATGCTCTTATTTTAACCATAGTTAATTTCCTGGGCTGAAATTCAGACTTAATATCCCTTTTCTAAAACTCTTCCATTTGCGACGGATCAACCCACCTTGGAAATTCCTAGTTTTTCAGTAAAATCTATATATCTATTTCGTGAAAAACTTGTGGGGTACCAAAACAGTACCCCGCAAGTCGGTGGGCATTCCTTGTGGGATACCTCCCATTGTTCCGGTACCACACAAGGCAGTGTTTGTATACGCACACACACTCATGTTTGGATATGTTTGGAAACCCTCACGAATTGGAATATAAGAAACGGTCAATTCGAACGAAAAATATTTTAAAATAGCTGGAAAAAAACCTATAGCATTAGGACTGATAGGTTTTACCTTGAGTTCAGCGATATCTTCGTCGGTGAAGAGCTTTTCCGGTAGTTCCGCTTTGTTCACTCGCGCCATTTTCCGGATGGTCTTCTCTGCCTGGTCAATCTTACCGACTGTCAGCTGCCAGGCCGGAGACTCGGGAATAAACCTGCAAACACCAGATACAAAGTCAATGTTTTTTTGATGTCATCGTTTGAAATTGTAACATCAACAGCGAAAATAACAGTTCTCTTCAAGCAGCTTCCTCAGAATGAACTGACACATGCCTATAACCGAATCAAAATATATTTTGAACATACTCTCTAAATTCAAAAGAGCGAAAGTTCTCTCCCTTCGAGTAAATTCTCTCCCGCAGTCGGAAAATACAGGGCGAGTCAAAAAGAAAGCTACCCAAATTAATGGGGGGGGTATCTTAAAAGCAATCAAATTTAAACACCAATGAAGTTTATCTGAAAAGAGCATCTCCTTCCGCACATCTCAAAAAAAAATACTGAAATTGATCCATGCTATTAGGAGTTTTGAAGTTTTACTTAAATAACACTTTTGTACAGCTGTCCATGGAATGACATTATAACCTATTTAGCTGGGTGAGTATTACAGATTACACGTCCACTTTCATTGTACTCATTCATCCATCGGTTCGAAGAACGGTAAATGATCAGTGGTAAGTGATCAGCCGAGTTTTGTGATCTTTTTATTTTTTAGATATAACTTGGAAATAGAGAACGCAAATTACGTGAAATTTAATTAAGTCAATAAGATGTACTTTATCCCTTTTTTGTGAAATGGAGCAAGCCAAATTTTTTTTTTAATATGTTTCAAATTGGGTAACTTTCTTTTGGACTCACCCTGTATAGGGACCAGACACTTTATAGTGAAATTTCATTCAGTAGAATAGATCGAGTTTTCACTCGAGCGTCGACTGAAGTGATTTTTTTTTCAGACTATTTCAATCTAAAATGAGAGTGATTTTCACTTTTAATTTCACTCCAGTCTACTCTTTGGGATTTAGAGAGTTAAGTATAGTTTGTCTTGAAGAGGTTTATCCGATCTATACAGGGTGAGTATAAAAAAAACCAAATGGCAGGACCATTTTGTTAATGAAGTTCTGCATGTAGCTTTTTCAAAATCTATTATGAATGCCCAATTCATAAGCTTTCTTTTAGTACAAGAATCATCCAAATCACTCAAGTACTTTTCAAATTACGGAATGTTAAACACAACGACCATTTTTAAGTTCTGTCCATGGATCACATCAAATGTAAGTGTTCTTTCAGCAAAACGAAAACAACTAACATTCATCCCCATGTGACTTGTTTTCGTTTTGCTGCAACAACACTTACCTTTTATTTGATCCGTTGACAGAACTTTAAAACTGTCTTTGTGTTTCACATTCCGTAACTTGAAAATTACATGAGTGATTTGAATAATTCTTGTACGAAAAGAAAGCTTATTAATCGGGCTTTCATATCCTAGATTTTTTAAAGTGCTGCATGCAGAACTTCATTAACATATTAATTTACACGACATTGGAAATGTCGGAAAAGGACGGCCATAACAAAACGAGTTCAATCGATCACGCAGATAGCAATAATGGTAAAACGGGAGTTTGCGTCTATACTAGTCAGTGTTTGGAACCTAGACGTTCACATGAAAACAGAACGTGAGCTGGAATGGACTGGATAAAACAGTTTGAATTGCACGGGTTACTTTTTGGGTGAAAATGAAACTCACTGAATTAAGGGTACCCCCCAAAAGTTTGTATTGTCAACATTACTGAATTTGAACAAACTCACGGGATGAAGAAGTCCAAGACAATCGCAGTTATGGCCATCGCAATGGACATGCCTCTCCACCAACGGATGAAATACGAAAAGCCCGCTAAACTCATCATACAAACGGCGCCGATACACATCAGAGAGACACGAACAAGGTTCCGCTTGGACGGGCCAATCATTTCCATGACTGAAAAAAAGTAACAGTGGAACACCTATATTATAGGTTTTCCCGGCTATTTTAAAATGTTTATCATTCAAATTCACCGTTTCTAACATTTGAATTCGTTCATCACCATCGATTTAGTACACTTCCAATGTTTATTTTCGTCTTTTGTCAGACCATTTCAAATTCAGTTCAAGCAAATTCAAACAACGAGCTCACGTTTTTGTCCCGGAGATTTCAATTTCGTCTCGTCGACGCCAAACATTTGTTATTCAGAAATCAAATTGATTGATATCAGACAAATTTGATCTCTGAATGCTGCCATTCTCGCCTAAAGAGGATGACCAAACTTTGAAATTGAATGGTAAATGACTAAATTGGTTCTGTTAATGAATGTTAGAGTTGGTGAATTTGAATGAAAAAGGTATCAGTCGGTAAATAAGTAATGTAGTTAGTCAGTGAGCCAGTTAAAAGCCACGCTGACCCTCTGGGACTTGTTAAAAATAAAGGAATAAACAAATGAAGTGAATGCGTACGTGTTCAGGCAGGGGCGGCGGAACGCTTGCAGGGGGCAACACCAAAAAGGGGCACTGGCTCAGAAACAAGGGCACCTTCCGTCGGTGTGATAATGGAGGAAAATAAAATGGTCCCGTCCATTTCGCTATAAACCTATATGACGAGAAACAAACAATAATGCACACGTTGTCCATCTTGCTCTTTGTCTTTCTTTCACCTATGTAGAAAGACCATTTGGGTTTGTTTTATCGCGAGAGGGGCACTGTTGCTTTTGATGGCCAGTTCAGTGACCATAATTGTTATTCGCGAGAAGAGCTCTTTTTTAGAGGCCAGTTTTCCATCTTGAGAGGGGGCACGCTGAGTTTTAATGTTGTGAGCGGCGCACTAATTGTGCTTTCGAGTGGCAGTTTTCCATCTCGAGAAGTTTTAGCGAGAGGAGCACTATTGTTTTTGATGGCCAATTTTCCATCTCGAGAGGGACACAATTGTATTATTGCGAGGGGGGTATCTGTGCTTTCGAGGGGCAGTTTTCCATCTCGAGAAGGTGCACAATCTTAGTGCGAGAGGGCACTAGTGTTTTTGAGGGGCAGGTTTGCATTAAGAGAGGAGTGACAATTTTATTTGTAGCGCTTTCATAATTATGCTTTCATTTGTGTGCGTTTGAGGGGCAGTTTTGTTTTCATAAGGAGGGAAAACATTTATTTAAGCGCGAGAGGGGCATAAGTGTGTTTGCTTGGGAAAATCTGGGGGGGGGAGCAGTGCCCCTGCCCCTCTGCCCTCCCCCCCCCCCCACCCAGTTCCGCCGCCCGTGTTCATGTGTACAGTGGACTTTATTTCAAGTCGGGATGTGCCGCCTGGTGATTTAGCAACCTCGTTCCCTCGTCCGCGAGCAGTATGATGCGATTAGCTGCTCTCTTGAACTGCACTAGATTAGATCGTTTGATTAACCCCCCCCCCTTCAAAAAAAAATTCTTACGTAAAACAAAACTACAGTAGAACACGCTCCCATTGACGAATCCCGTAAAAGTACGGACGACAAAATAGACGGTAAACGACGGAGAAAATGCAGCGACTAGTCCAGTCAACGTCTGTGTGATCAGGCAAATAATGAACGCGGGGCGACGGCCAAATCTGTCCCCTATAGCACCAAAGACGACCACTCCCACCATCCCCACGGCACCGAAGATTGTCAGCGGTAGTTCGTTCAGCAAAGCTTGGTCGCAAACAACAGAAAACTGCAGACAAAGCATCAAATTATGATGAAAGACATATGCAGCCTTCATTATGACCTTTGTACAGTTTTCATGAAAACCCCTGGTGAAGATTAACAAAGAAGAATGATGAATTTAAAAAATCACTCATATGTATAACATTTGCATTTTGTCGTTATGTCATGAAATTGACCGCTTTAGGCCCAAAAAAAGTCTCCGGTTTCTGGTGTGGAGCTTGCCCAAAAAGTGGTGCGGCGACGTGGCTTTTTTTTTTTTACCTAATTTTTTTTGCTTCAAATGTCGGCTGATGACTGCAAATTGTGCCCGACTAAACTTAGTGCAAATATATGGGAGTCCAGAGAGGCCACATAAAGCTTATTCTCGATCATAACCCCATCTAAAAACACGTTAAAATTGTGCAGCAGCAGGATTTCAGTCAAACCAGTGAGTTTGGCGATTTTGAGACATCATCTTTCATTGAAAATTTTTTTTTTTTCATTTTGCCGACGCGCATGGCTATACGGCGACGCGCGCGCATAACAGAAGCCGGAGACTTGTTTTTGGCCTTACCGGCTATAGTTTAAGTTATATCACACATTGTTCCACTGACCCGCAAAGTGTTATGTCTCGTAGGTGCTGGAACAAAAAAAACGGGGGGAAACGCTATTCGATTTTAACTGTGCGTCAAGTTGCAGCTCGCCCGGCGAAACTTTCTGGGATAGAACCCATGGTGAAGGAGGCAGATAGGCTATTTTGTGCGGATTGTTCACTTTGATGATAAATTTGGCACAGAGTATGTCATGAGAAAGATATTTGGCTATAGGGCCATAGCAGATTGTCCTTTGAAAAACTATTATTCCGTCAAGTCGGTAAACACAATCATCACTAATAACACCGTGCAAGATTGAATTCAAGTTCGATGAAAACTACACACTCTTTAGACTTTTCGGACAATCTATAACCCTTCTTGTTATATTTTTACTGGGCCTATAAACTATAGGATGCAACGGGTAGATATAACATCCCTGCCCCAACCCACCCCCTCCCATCCGTCCTTGAAGCACCGTGGCCTCGCGCGTCTAGACTATGGATTTTTCAATTTCTCTATAATCCTCCGTTTCTGTGTTAAGTCGAATGACGCAGGCTGAGGCCTACAAGAGCTGACTTTCTTGCCTTTTAAAACCTTCCCCCGTTTCACAGAAGAGACTGAAGTCAATTACTGGCGCCCAATGGCCGACTTCAGTGGTATAATAGCCATCTGAGATAAAAAGCTGATATTGAACGTGCGTGGTACGTGGAGATTTACTGGGTTCTTTTGCTGTTGTTTTGAAAACGGCACAGAAATGCGAAGGTTGAAATTGAGCTAAAGCAATAGCTAGGTTGCTTATCCTGGCCTGCTTTGAGAATTTCCCTTCATCTCACATTCTATTGGACAATTATTCTTGCATCAAAAAGAGCAAGGAAACTACTTTATAGCTGTATAATTAAACAAAAATAAGGTTTCTTATTAATCGTTACATCTTCCTTATTTACGTCTGTGAAAACGGCCTGAAATCCTTCAACTTACATGACATTATATACTTAAACATCACAAACTCAAACGACAGATGAGATATAATGATAAACTAGAGGTATGCGTCTGTTTTGAACAGAGCACACGGCTTTTCCGTTGTCCGTATTTTTGTGTTTTTGTTTTCACAACATGTAGCATACAGATATGTTTTTCCCTCTTCTGACATATAGGCCTACCATACTCATGCCATTTTGAGCAACTACTGGTCTGCACAATCTGATGCAATCATGACTCCTTATATTTCAAAACTTCAAATACTAATAACGACATTTTCTACTAATAAAAAAGTAAATAAAATAGACGGGTAGAGGGCTATAGATCATTGCAATCAATAACATTGGCGTAGTTAACTTCTATAGTAGAAAAATATACAGGGCGGCAAATCATTTCAACGGCGATAGCCATGCACACACGGTTGAGTGGCAATAGCCAAGTGCGTACAGTACAGCCAAGTGAGTATATAATTTACGTCAATAGAGGGCAGCAGATACATTTAATGTTTAACTTGCATTTATAGCTGCCGGCCGAATGCTAAACAAAACTAACCATTAAATGTATATGCTGCCCTCTGTTGGCGTAAGGAATACTTGCTCTACGTGCGCATTATTGCCCAAAATCGGGAATTACGTGATTTCGTCCGTTTTAGACTAAAAAGTCTCCTTTAAATTTCTGGAAAATCTGGCAATAGGTTAGTTCTTTTAAATTTGTTTCGAATATCGCGATGCGCGTTTCTTTTGCAACTTCGTACCCTGTATATACATGTACTGTACATGTACGTCATTTACGTGTATGTAAGGAGGTGGTTTTTCAATAGACTTGGATTTCGGGCGTTTGTAGCGGTTAGGCCGTGCGAGGCAGCAGGGTACCAGGTGTACTAGATCGGCTCTATTACACGCCGCGGGCGTTGATTACCAATCGCTATAAAAACTGGACCATTCAACCCCTGGTGTCCAAGACTATCGCAGCCTGCGCTCGCTATACTGCATGCATCAGGCATGCGTGAACGTACAACGACGAGTGCGGCATTTCCACGACTCGACTGTAAACAACATGGCTACCACCATGGATGTCACAACATGTGCCGTCACACTCACAACATGCGAAATACCTGCCGATCTTTGCAGTTTCTGGAAACAGCAAAAGCTAATAATGAAAAACCCAAGTTCACCGTACGAAAGGTTTGTTTGTGCCTCATGTTTGCTGTCGAAAAGCTGCAAAGAGACAGCTTTCGCCTCCGCCCAGCAGCATTGGATTTTGTTCCGCAAGGACACGCAACCCGCACAGGCCCGCCAGTGGGATGTAATGATGAAGGTTGAATTCTTCAAAGACAAACTACAAAAACGCAGATACAACCAAGAAGATTTAGCCCTTCTTCCCCAAAAAGGCGAAACTCGCGTGAACTCTAAAAATCGTGCAAAAACCGAAAAGAATATCCCGCTGGTCTTTGTTTTACCCTACAACCCACAAATTAAACACCCAGCTCTTAAGCAGGCCCTTCTGAAACACTGGAATCTGATCAGCGATAATGATGTTCTCAGTGCACCCTTTGCGACCCAACCCATCCTGGCATACAAACGACAAAAAAACATAAAAGATGGCCTGGTCCGATCAAGGATTAACCCATCTCCACCATCCAACCAAGAAAAAAACTTGGATGAGGAGAACGTTCAAATCCTATTAGAACACCTTGTATAGAACAGAACTAACATAATGGTCATTTAGGCATGGATTTCGAAAAAAAAAAAATTTAAAATAAGGAATCCACTTAGTCTGATCATTACAAGAAAAGCTAACGCGTAAAATATTCTTTACCATCATCAGCAATACAATAAATACGTACAAAAGAATTAAACAAAGGGTGACTGATGAAGTGCGTAAAAAGGGCACAGAAAATATGCACTGTTTCCCCCGACACACAAAAAAGAAAAACAGGTGGGACGGCATATTATCACCGGTATAAATCAAAACATTAAGTGAACTAGAAACAAAAACCACATGTACACAAACCAGTCCCTGCGTCGCCTAAACACCGGATGGGTTTTTTTGAAACTCCCGCTCTCCGGTTATCACCAATCTAATGGGCCCGCTGGCGAGGTATGTGTTGACAAGTTATAACCCACCCATCACCGCAACCCAGCAGTGGAACTGATTTTACTCCCTATATGCGTATTGAATTTCCAAAAAAGGAAAAATAACCTTATAACAAATACGCTCTAGGCAGTTTAGTCATATAACTACACAGGTATCCATACCAGTGCTTGTAAGTCTTAAATAAACGAAAATCTTCCCTAGCTGGTTGCAAACACAATGTTTTTTTTAAAAAAAAAAGATCATCAGCTCGCAGAGCCCCTCGTACTCCAATGTTATTGTAACGGACAGTCTATGCACACTTTTGTTGTCATTGCTTTCTAGCACTAGTGCTCCGGCGGAGGGGCTCCGGCGGCGCGCACCTGACCTGGATTTGGGTCTGGCTAGCGCGCGCTCCGGAAATAGGCTCTACAAATAGGTTGGCTAAGTGGGGTTCTTTTGTTCAATTGCGCGGGAAGAACTTGGCTGGATTCCAGGGTTGGGTAAAGTTGTAACATTGTAATACATTTTGTGAAACTGTGCATGTATATGCTGGGAATTTATCAGTTGCAGTTCTGGTAGCGGTGTGGCAAGTTGGCCGCAGAGTCCGCTTGGCGAAATAAATGAGATCTTCCTTCAGAGTTAGAAATCCCGTCTGTCTGTCCCCTTTTCTTGCGTTTGGCCGGATTTGGCGGACAAGAGCCCAGTAGGATCCCGCTACAAATGGTGGCAGCTGGTGGGATATTGACGGGATTTTGGACCGACTAGAAATGACAGAAAGCACAGCTGCAGTTGAGATCGTGGACGCCATCAACGATGTCATCATTGACGTTCGGAAGGTGGGAGACTCCTTGGAGCGGCAGATTTGTGGATCAGCCCATTCCTCGGACAGACGTAATCCACAGGCAACTGGTTCAGCGGTAGGTGTGTTGCAGAGGATCAATAAAATGATCGCCGAATTGGAAGCGATGTACAGCTCCGATGATTCTACCAGTGCGGATCAGGATGAAGATGAACGACGAGCAAGCCTGTTCAGCGGTCCGGGGGCAGAAGTTGATGTTAGGCCGGGCTGTCGCGTGAATGGGGAGACCACGAGTAGGGAGGCCGCTGCGAGCGATGATAGCCCTGCTGTTGACGTGGAGCCCCGTCCCGTGATACTGGCGAGCATGGCAGCTGTCCATCGGATCGAGGTTCGTGGATGCACCGACTTGTCCAGTCCTGATCCAACTGCTGCGGAGAACTTTAGCTGCACATCGATAGCTCCATCGTTGCGGACATCTCCATCGATGCACACTGATCCACCGTTGTGGACGGCTCCGCTGGTGCATGCCGATCAGCCGGAGCACGCTGAACTCATCGACCGCCGTACTGCCGGGACAGCAAC